TAAAGATAATATAATTCAAAGATATATAAATAAATTTAAAAAATTTAAATGGCCTTACCTTTCACTGAAAGAACACTATTTTTATACCCCTGAAGGGTATTATAATTTCAGTCAGATGTTTGCAACGCAGTGAAGGAGACGTTTCCGACCCTATAAACCATATATATTCTTGATCAGCATCAACAGCGGAATCTTTCTAGATATGTCAGGAAGAAATCAATTTTTTGGCCATTTTTGCAAAATTTTATAAGGGGTTACATCATTAAAATTTTTGATTTTGATAAAAAATTGAATTCTCAAAATTTTTAAATGAAGTATCCAGATTTATTAACTGTAGAAAATCTTGCACAGAACAGTTTTCCGATTTAAAATTAATGCTTTTTTGGCCGAGTTATGATATTTTTAATTTTAAAAAAATCAAGAAGTTGTTTAATATAAAAAATCAGATTTTATAATACAAAATAATATTTTTCTAAGTCAAGGAATCATTTCCGACCCCAGAAACCATATATATTCTTGATCAGCATTAACATGCGAATCTTTCTAGACATATCCGGAAGAAATCGATTTTTTGGCCAGTTTTGCGAAATTTGATAAGGGGTTACATCATTAAAATTAGCAAAAATGGCCAAAGATTTTGATTTCTTAAAATTTTAAATTTGGTATGCAGTTTTTTTAAATTAATAAAAACTAACACAAACTGCTTTCCGAATCGAAATTAATGCATTTTTGGCTTAGTTATAATATATTTTAATTGTTACCTGCAAGGGTATACAAACTTTGGCTGGCCAAGGTTAGCTTTCTTTCTTGTTCTTAGTAGAATTTAAAAAAAAAACTTAAGAATGTAAATTAATGTAAATAAAAGAAAATAAATCTTGATTACAAAGTTTAAATTGAATGAAAATAAATTATTTGAAATACTAGTTATCAAGATCTAAATATGGGCCACTTGCTCTGGTATTTAAAGAAAACCTGGAATGTTTTTTAAGCGGCATCTTATGCTAATGTGGATCGACCCATGGGCTGTCCTAAAAAACAAAGGCATGCATTTTCCATAGCCCACAGAGAGCCCTTTGAGCCTAAGCTACCTGTTGGCCAGTTATTTTCGCTGTGTAGCCAAGGCCCTTGGATGATAATGAGCCTTGTCTGCTTATGAAACGCTCCCAAGTGTAAGTAATTGGCGGCATTTTATGCAGGTCGCGATGCCCAATTTCTAAACGCAATTGGTCATTGGAATTTTATAGCGCTCGGCCCGGCGCGCCTTATGTGGGTCAATATTATTTTGTCGGCCCAAACTTTTCGGCCATAACTCAAAATTTCACTTTCATAACGCTGCCGAAAATTTCGGCTATAGTTATAGTTTCTATTGTATATTTTTCAGTATTTATATTTTATTTTGAAATATTATTTTTAACAAGGTTTTTTAAACATTAACAACATAATATTATTATTATACCTTTTATTTCATACATTTATCATTTGTTTTCTTTTTCTTTTCGGTTGCGTTTTAGACAAATGTTTAAAATATGCATTTAGCTTTTAATTTGTTATTTAAAATTTTATTTATTTGTTATTTGTTTTGTTGCCCTTTCGGGGCCCGCTTTAGCCTAAACTAATTTGTCATTTTATGCTTTCTGCTCTGATTTCGGTTTATTTTTCGGTTTTTTATTTTACTTTTTTAAATATAAATTAATGATTTTTATCGCTTTACGTTTTTAATTATGTCTACGTTTACGTTTCCCGTTGTGTAAATATATTCATATAAATAGCAAGTAAAAACTAAAAAATGTAACTACAATAATGTCGTCAATAATATATGATTTGCATTTTTTTTTTTGGGCTTGCATAATTTATACAATTTTTTTAGCACACACTATCGGGTGTGTATAGGTGTGCGGGTATCATGTGAAAGTGCTGCGAAATTATAAAAAATATTTTTTCATTTCGTTTTTTATCTTTTTTTTTTTTGTTAATTTTATTTGCTATTTTTGTATATTAATTATGATATCTTGTAATATCTTTATTCCTTAAAAAAATGAACATTTTCTCCTGCTGCTGCCTTAAACCTGTAAAATTATCATATTAGTTTTGTTTTTCTGCTTTTCGTTTTTGGTTTTTTAGCTGCGAACGTTGATTCTATACAAAAAATCTAACTACAGTAAAATGCTGCATAGCTTCACATTTACGAGTATGATAATATATTTATTTTAATATTTTTTTGTGGCTTTTTATTGACGAATTTTCTACAAAAACCTTTGCTCTTACATTTAGTTTATACGGCATTGAGTAGTTTTATGCGACATAATTTAATATATATGTATGGTGTATATATATATATATATATATATATATATCATTGTTTTGCGAACAAAGCTGCTCGTGAATATGGTGGGAAATTGGAGAAGAGTTTTGAAACAAGCGAAGTTATCAAAAAAAAATGGGAAGGGCAGCTTTGTCTGCAGGATTTTCATCTTTTCTATATTTTTGAATACATTTCCTTTTGTCGTTAGTTTCTGTTTTGTGGCTGAGTATGTACTTTACTTGTCGGCTATAGCGTAAACATGATTTTATCAAGTTTCACAACATCGAGAGTTCATTTTGTTCTTGTTGTTGGGGTTCATCGCTGTCGAGTGTGTGAGTGTGTTAGTGGGTGTGTACTAGTATCTGTATTAGTGTGGCTGTGTGTGAGTGTGAGGTGTGAGAGTGGGGGCTTTCTATAAATTTAATAACTAGTTTTATTCATTTAAAAATTATGTTTAACTTTTGGGTTTTCGCTACGCCTCTCGTCTATTTATCGTTATCGATTTCTCGCTTTATTTTAGGATTGCAAATGCGTTTTGTTTGTCGATTTAATTACTATATATAAGTTTATCGTTTATCGTTTACCGTTAACAATATATGAACTTGCTCGTCGCGATATCTAGTCGTCTTATGATTACGCTAAGCTATGCTATGCTCTCGATTCGTTAACATTTACACTTGACTATTTACGTTTACGATTACGTTTACCATTACGTTTACGTTTACCATTAGCTTTAAATTTACTTTTTAATGGAGTTTAAATGTTTCTCACATTGCACGGCTACATACACGTTTACATAAATTTCGAAGGCGCATAATATTCACATATTTTTGTTTTAAATCTTTACGTTGTGGGTAAGCCTAGGCTACACAAAAATCCACTACAAATCAAATATAAGTATATAAAACGAAATGGAAATCCGCTCTTCTTGATTCGCTTTCCCTTATCAACTGTTTATATCTTTGGTTTTTCCTTCATATTAATTTTAAAAGCTCGAATTCGTTTTACTTAAATTTGTTATTCGCTAATCATTTTGTATGTGGAAACAAACAAACTCATTTATCGTTTTTATCGTTCATCGTTTATCGCTTTTTACTCTCATTTAATGCTGTTCTGTGCCATTTTCTTGTAACGCTTTTGGGTTTTCCCATTATCTTGAATGAATGCTGCTGTCTGAATGCCTGCTCCTGGCTGTCTGATCTACATTTAATGTGATTTCTATACGCTTTGGCAGTGTTTATTTATTTGAACAAATTACAAATGTAGGTACCGATAACTCTTGAACAGCAAAACGAAACAGCACGAGATACACGAGTTAAACGAATCAAAGGATAAGGATAACATATATTCGAGATACTTTCTTATCGTATTTACAGGCTATGTACAAAAAACAAAGCGTTCCCTTTTGGCGGCGGTTCGAGCGCAAGTGCGTGAAGGATTTCTAAAAGTTATAGAAGAAGTCGGAGAAGAAGAGTTGAAGAGAGAAACATTACGCGTGTCGCCATTTTTGGTTACCGATTTTGTATCTATCAAAATTTGTTTAGAACACCACAGTTGCTGCTCGTAAATCGCTGGTAAAAAGCGCACACATTCACATACACTAAAAAATATTACTAACTACTCTTGTCATCAGCTTCCCTCGCACTCTATATTCCAGCATAGGTGTGTCGGTCTCGGTGTCCTCTATATATATAATGAGTGGTATAATGACGCTACTTACAGAATTTTCGTCTCACTTTGCATTTAGTTTTTGTTTTTCTTTTTTCTTGTGTGTGTGTAGAGATGCGAATGCAAGAAGTTTTCAATTTAGAATTAGCAAATTTGACGACTTGACTGAGTGTCGAGTTAAAAAGCTGAGATTCCTCTAGTTAAGTGTAATTCTTTGCTTATGCTTGGCTTCACCTTCTTTGTTTTGCTTTGATAAAGGACCAAGTAGAGCTTTGTATTTGCATTTAGGTCTACGAATTAGTTAGCAGATTGTTGGCTTTAAGTGTCGTTAATCGTTAATCGATAATCGATATTTGTGTTTAGTTTACTTTAAAAGTTTAATGATTACAATATGCTCTCTGCTCTATATAAATCGTTTTGCGCTTGCTCAGAATCTTCTAAATGCAGTTTTTGAATTCTTATGCTGGCACAACATTTGCTTATAGCCTCATTGCCATGTATGTATCTTGTATCTTGTAGTTGTCTTTGTATCTGTATCTCGTGTTCAGTATCTGTATCTCACGCAATCTGTTTGGTTTCTTTGTGGTGTTTAAACGTTTAAATTAAGTGTGGAATTGTTGCGTAGTTGTTGCTGTTTGCATCTCAGAGAAAGATTTTGAGACATGAGAGAGTACATAGACCTAGTAGTACTTGGTAGTTTCTTTCGCTCAGTGTGGCTGATTTGATTAGCTTGTTTCCTTGTTTAATGTGTAGCTTACCTCACTAATGGTTCCCAATTGCTTACGTCACACCATTGAGATGGATTTTCGTTTAGAATTCAATTTGTCAATTGGTTCTTATGCAATGATAGCGCCATGAACTGAACTCAAAATGTAAATGTTAATTGTAAAGTGTTAAATGTAAAATGTAAATGTAAGTGAAACGATTCTTAAGAGTAAATGATATCTAACGTAAAATACATACCCATAGAAATAACTAATGATTGTCGCTTGGAGAGAACTAAAGTCGGGGTAGAATCCGAACCAAAAACTCAAATAATAATAGTATTTATTGGGGCACAGAGTCGATTACAAAATAATATGGATAAAGATACGGATAAAGAGAAACAAAAGATACAAGATAACCAATGTAGAGTAAGAGTAAAGGTATACAGAATATAGATAATAATAGATGTTAATTTTCAAGGTTCTAAAAAGGCATACGGAATGATGTGGGAAGCAATCAGTTGGCAGTTGAACGATGGACATCAGGGCTGTGGATCTTGAGGGCCCCGATCTGAGTTAGCTATTTATGTGTGCGGAGACAGGCGGCCCTGCCGTCGACGTTGTTGCTGATGATGCAGTTGCTCTTCTGGCTTGGGGCTGTCTCTTGATTGTTAGTTGGGATGGACACAAAACACCGGGCCGCATGCCTTCACACACATAAAAGGGCAGAGCAACGCATTGGATGGCACCCAGGATTTTCTGGTATTCGGTTTTTTCTAACTAGTCAATAACAATCGCTTTTGATTTCAATTTCTTTCTGCTTGTACATAGTACATACAAATATGTCTTTTTTCCTATCTTTTTTTCGGTAAATCTTAGGCCAATATGGTTAGGTAGTAGTTAGGTAGGTGCCCCCAATGCGCTGCTCTGCATCCGATTAGCTTCTCCATCGTTCAAATGTACGAATAAGGACCATCAGTTAAGGCGCTACACAGTAACAATCAAGAGTTATCATCCTTGTTTGAGCCGCCCCCGCCGACCCCGGAGCCCTGTGTGTTGGTGCCGCGTCCGCCGGACGGTGCTCGTACCGCTGGCGGCTTGTACTCCAGGCCCGGATCGAATTGCATTAAAACGAATACCTGGAAAGGGGTTTTAAATTAATATTTTTAGATTTAAAAAGTAAAGGTAAAGAAAGGTTTTTGGATCATAAAATTATTATTATCGAAAATATATTTTTCTGACTGTAATTACAGATTTTCAAAGCTAATAAAACACACCAATGTCAAAGGGTTTTATACATTTTTAAATCAATTATTGATAATATCTTTTAAGTATTAATAGTTCATGAATGTCCTACATCTATAATATTCCTACATATGCAGTAAAGCTCACCTGATCTGTTGGCAGTAGTGAAAAGTCATCGGGTGGGTTGGTTATTACATAGCGTTTGCTGCTCGCATCACAGCTGGAGCTGGTGTCCCTGAACCGATAAAGCCCGATGCACAGCATTCCGTAAGACTTGAGGGCAGCCACGAAGAGATCTCCGTACTTGCCGCACTCCCCGAATTGAGCCAAGGGACCGTCGTAAAGCGAGATTTGACCCACTCGACATCTAAAGGGAAAATGCATAAAATGTTAGTTAATACATAACAATCTTAAAATAAAACTATCATAATAAAACCCAGGAAATTCTAAATTAAATATTTATTATTATTCTAAATGTTATGTTATTTACCTGTCCCGATTGCTCAGACTCTCCACTGTGCTGTAGCCTCCCCGGAGGCCAGCTCCCTCGGCCAGAATCAGTTCCAGCTCGGGCGTGGCGCCGCCCGTTATCAGTGAGCGGATCAGCGTTAAGGCGTTTTGATTGAAGTATGTCTGTCCGGGGCAATAAATCATAAGTCATTAAGTATTTATAAAGCTTTAGTTAGACAAGACAAGTCCCAGAAGACTTGAGAAACCACTTTGGGCATCAAAGCGAGACATTACCGTGGACATCAGCGAGTCTAACACACTCACAGCGAAGGCTGTGCCGCAGGCGAATGGCTGCGTCAGATATAGTTCTGTATCTGGATCATCATCGTCGTCTTGATCGAGAAACTGCACGTTACTATCATTGACCAGTTCTTTAAACGACAACCAACATGTGAGAGCAATTAGTAGAGCGCACACTTGAACCGCTTTCGAGGGAGGCGGGTGAGGCTGGCCAGGAAAATCTTTGCTTAAATTCCTTCTAAGCTACTCTCTAGCAAAGGCTATATTCTAAAATAATGTATCCTTCTGAAACACTTATTTCTAAATTTAATTTCCGAAGCCATTTTTTTTAGAATCCCTTTTCTAAAATCATAATTATAGAAACCTCTCTCTGAAACCCTTATTCTGAAGCCTTTATATTCGAGTTCTTATTCTGGAGACCTTTTCTTGGATCCATATCCTGATATTCTTTCTCTAAAGTCTAAGTTTGTTAAAGAAGATTTCTATTTTGTTAGAAATTCCCTTTCTATTGAACTGAATCTAGATGCAGAAACCCCCATTTAAGGACTCATTTCAGTAAGTATCTTCTGCAGAAACCCCAATCTCATACCTCAACCTGGCCAGCCTCACGATTCGTTCGGTCGTTCGCAAACTCGGCCAACTTAGTGCGATGCAGTTTACCTGTTATCATGGGCACATTGGCGCCATAGACTGAGCCTCGCCGCTGCAGCACAATGGGGCTGCCGGCGGTGGCGCTCAGGTTGTCGAACTCCGGGCCGCGCTGGCTTAGCACGCCGATCGTGTCGTCGAAGGTCATCGCCTTGATGTTCAGCGAGGCGAGAATCGCCTCCTTGTCGGCCAGCGTGGGATCGTCGTTGCTAGGAACTTTGGCCGACAGGATGCAGCACATATCACACAGATTGACATTGACCGCCCGCAGGTCGGCGCGACTCAGCGGCGAGCCGTTCAGCACCGAGATCTTGGGCAGGTTCTGCAGCATTTTCCACTCGCGTCGGATATAGTCCACCGAGCCCACGATAACCACATGCTTTAGCTCGTGGTAGTGGAAGTTGGATGCTCGCAGCGGCATAACCAGGTTGCGCAGCCCAATCAGCGGCGAGTCAGGATCGGCGAACAGGCAGACGACCACATGGCCGTTCAGCACGGTCATGGCCGCCTGGTTGCGATCCTGCAGGGAAATACCGATTAATTAAAAAAATCAAAGGTTTAACTTTAGCTCAGCAAACGTTACCAGTATGCAGTCTTCTAAGCTCTTTGCCGGACTCCAGTGGAACATGCCCGTCGAGTCGTACTTCATTTCGGTCTTCTCGAAATCAAAGTCCTTCGACTGGTCGTCCGCAATGCCGGCGGGCAATGAGACGCCTCCGTTTTGATTCTGTGTGCCCGTGCCGGAGCTGCGACTCGTCGGCCTAGATGCAAGTAGATCGATACAGAGAGAGAGAGAAAGGAGAGAGACAGGGTGTTAGCCATCGGCGGTCTGTGCTGGCGACGATCGGGCGATTCGTTCTTAATGGGGTTTACTTCGATTCAACTTTTGACTTGCATATGCTGATTATCAACCAATTCAAAAAAACAAACGCTACATCCAAATGCAAAGTGTTCATCGGAAACGCTACGAGTACGTGTTTCGTTCAAAAATGATGTGAGAAATACTTCAATACGAGTACGAGTACTTGGAGCATATTGAATTTAAAATATGTGATCTCAATACGATAGTAAAATATAGTTTAAGAGAGTTTACGTTTACAAAGATAAATACACGAAATAGTAAGAGTGGAAAGAATAGAGTAAGAGTCAGAGATACAGATAGAGAGAAGGTCATGTGCTAATAACAAAAGTCTCGAAATGAAGGCGAACAACAAATTTGTTGAGTAAAAAACTGAAACTGAAACTGTCACTACGCAAAATGCTCGTTCTGCCGTCCGGCGGTGCTGAGGGGTGGATCGAAATAATATACTAAAAGTGTTGCCGGGCTATCTCCCTCCAGGTGTTCTATTGTGTTTCAGGTGCTCGCATGCGAGAGAGAGACGCCACAGATGACCGAACCATCACCCTCCATATCCGCCGGATACGTCAGTTTTTATCTACAAAGTACTTAATTCAGTTTTTTGGTGTAATTTATAAGAAGAAGTAAAATATACATATGGTACACGGGTGCAAGTTTTGACACAGAGATGAACACAAAAGAACACACACGCACACAACAATTATATTTGCAATTCAAGTTGAAATGATCCAGAGAAAGATATAGTAGATAGATAGAGAGAATGCAGGATAAAGAGATGGGCGATTATTGAGCTTAAAAGTATGTATGCTTCTGGGGGTCTAAGACCAATAAATTAATAATTCAAAAGTAACTTGAGCAGGTCTTAGACCTGCTAAAAAGTAGGCTATACTTTTAGGTTTATATATCTTTACAAAAATTGAAGCAGGAATTGTAGTTCCTGTTTAAAATCAAAAGGTTAAATCATCTTTATCTTGAAAAGATGAGCAAAAACTAGTTTAGGCAAATAATTCAGAAAATAAGATCATTTCTAGGCAGACCTTTTGAAAGCTGGCGTTTTTTTCTTTTATATAAATAATTCACATATGAATATTTAGTTTAAAGTTAGTAAAGTTTAAGTAATTAGTTAGCTAGAGGCGCGCACACACACACTGCTGTCGAGTGGAGAGCTCAGATGTTAGTAGACAGAGAATGATTGATGAATGCGATTAGTTATGCTGGGGTTAGTTTATAGTTTATAGGATGCGAACTTATCACGGGGCGTACACACACCCATACACACACTCAAACACCTACACATACGCACACAGCACAGGCACAGACACAGATACAGACATAGGTACAGATACAGAAGACAGCGACATGACAAGTAACGCACAGGTTTGGTTAAGATTCGCTTATGGTTTAGTACGCGTATATTGGATGGAATGGCATAGCTTTGATCAATCAATATATCAATATATCAATGTGTGTTAAACAAAATGCGCATAAAATGTAGTTAGATTAAGTATTAACGAATACTAAGGTATAGTTTAAAAAAAGGCTTTTGGCTTCTTTTTTTTATGTTGATAGAGTTTGTAAGTTAAAATTCTAGGAAATTATGGACGCATACATGAGCTTTTTAACTTCGTAAGCAAGTTGATAGCCCGCATAAGGGTTAGCATCATTCTCTGGTGGCCTGAAACAAAATGTTTTTCGTTTTTATACATTTAGACTGGTTAAAAGTAATTAGTTGGTTTTGGTATTTGTTTTTGTTGTCATTTCTTGAGTTTCGAGTTTTGAGTTTCGAGTTGGTGAGTAGGTGAGTGAGACAGTTAGTTGAGGTGTTGGGATTAGTTGGTTAAAGAGCATTTACATGGGCGCCAGGATGGCGGAAGAAGGTCTTCCTGGACATCCCAGTCCCTTATCGTTCATCATTGTTCATTGTTCATTGTTCATTGTTCACTGTGTGTTGTGTGTAAGGTAAAAACTTAACTTAAATTAACTTAATTCAAGTGTGTGTTTATCGGTTTGCTGTTGGCTGTAACTTTGTTCAAAAAGGCAACGGAAAAGTGGAAAATCATACTTGATGCAGCTGGTAGACCTAAGAAGTGTTGTATTCATTGAGTTTTCTTTGCTCTTGCTCGATTACCGACTTTGCTTTGCTATTTCGTAACTGAACAGAGTGCCGTTTTAATGTGATCAACATCTATATGGTAATAGATCCTTCTCATGTTGTTTTTTCCTCCCCTCCCCTTATGTACAGCTCCCCGCCATTTGTACTTGTACTCACCTGTTGTATTGCGATGGCGATATCACCTGGCCCTCCACCTGCCTGCTCACGTTCACCGTGGGCTTCACCTTGTTCACCTGCTTGCCCGCCGCAGCGGCAGCGGCGGCAGCTGCCGCAGTGTTGTTCATGTGATGCATGGCACCTGTACCGTTGCCAGTGCCATTCGGACGGCGCACATTGCGATTGAGTACTGTAAGGAGAGGTAAGGGGAAAAACAGGGAGTTTAAATTTAAAGTACTTGCACCTCAAGGAAAAATCTAATAAGAATTATAATTAATTCCACTTTACGACACTTAACCTTAAGTCTAAGGATTATTCGGGGTTAATTTCTAAACTTACGATTCGTATCTTCTCTGTCACGTGTGATATCACCTGTGGCAGGACGATGGACGATGTAGCAGCGGCAGTAACAGGTAGCAACATTCGCGGAAGCGTTTCGGCGGCAGTCGAAGAGATCAGAGAACAAGAGCAGAGGTCATTCGATTAGTAAGTTGGCCCGGCCTGGACGCGCTGGTCAGAGTGTGAAGAGATACTCATTTTGGCTTTAAGTATTAGTCAAAGTTAATCAAGAAAGGTATTTTTGAGCCGCGTGTTGCATGTTGCATTTGGTTTGGTTTAGTTCTGGATATTGTGGCATCTCGTGTGTGTGACTTGCGACAGTAATAAATAAATAGTTTTTGTTGGTAACAAGCAGATCGGTTATGCAATTAAAAATGAAGGGCACACGGGGTGCTGTGTACAAATAAGTATGGTAAGTAAAGAATGCTTTAGATAGACATCAATATGGGTTCGATTAGGTTATAGGAGATATATAGCAGTTCCTTAGATAGGTTACATTAACGAGTTACATTAGCAGAGAAACGAGTTCTGTTCAAGAATCAACGCAAAAACAGAGTTATGCAAACGAATAGCTAAACAGTTATCATATTTTATCGACTGGATTGGATACTTTTTACGTTGACAACTGAGGGAAAAAGCAAACCAAGGCAAAATGAAACTAAATCGATTGAATAATGTACGAGTGGGTGTGGGTCGGGTTCGACCTATCAACGACCTGTCATCTGGCGTTCAAAAAACCCTTTCTGAGCTTCTGACTGATACTGATAATTGCAAGTGAGTGGCACGATTGGAGGAGACTTTACCCGAGACAGATCCACGCACATGCACCCGCTTGGGTAGCTCTGGAGGCGTAAATGTGGGTGCAGGATGGTGTTCATCTGTAAAATATTTGGTTCGTTATCGCACGGCTCGGTAAATCAGATTCGTTGTGTATGCATTTCTTGTGTTATTTATATGGTCAAGCTTTTTTTTTTTATGTGAAGCTCATAATTGCTTTTGAATATACAACAAATTCTTTTGTTTTTGGTTCTGTTTTCTTTTTTTTTAAGGGGGATTTGTGTTTGGTTTTTGTAATAACTGAAGCGGTAAGAGTTTTGGTTTGTTTGTAAATTAAACACGAGAAATTCGAGAGGAAATCATAGATAAATTAGTCTGACTCTTGGGGAAACCCAGGAAAACCTGACGATAAATCAAACCAAATCAAAACGGAAACTGAAACTGAACGAAAAGTGTTCAAGATGGTCGGGGGATGGTTTTCGGGATTCATTTTAGGGTATTTGCTTTATAGATTAATATCGGAGAAAAACATGCAAATAAATATGAGTTGGAACAGAACTTGTGATGGTTATTATACATATTATACATACAATACAATAAAATATTGGTACAAACAAGGCTAGGCAAGCATTTGGTGTGGGTATCGGTATCGGGTTATACAAACCAAATCGGTTAAAGCTTGAAGCATTATTTAAGCAACACGCTGACTAGGTGCGGATTACAAGCTGAGTAGCAACAGATTATTCAACACATATTCGTTTAGCTGTTTGGCTTAGGCTCGATCTGGATGTCAGTATCCGATTATTGAAGCATTTAATACTTAGACTGCTAGGACTGCTCTAACACCCACTTAAGAGGAACACTTTTCAAACACGATCGCTCCAACTACTAGTTGCATCTATCTAAGGTCAGCCCCACGTTCTGAGCTTAACGAATTGTTTATTTGTTTCAGCAATTTAACTGCGTGGAATTTGGAATTTATATTTCTCTGATCTCCGGTAGCTAATCTAATCCCTTCCCCCATTTCTATGATCTGTGATCTATGGTGCAGTGCGCGGGGAAGGAGGGCTATCTGCTTGATTGCCGCTTTGTTTACATATATTATTTTTCTTTGTAATTTTTCAAGTGAGATTAATTGTGGCTCTAATCGTTGGCTTCAGTTGCTTTGCTTTCTCAAGTCATTTGCATTTATATTCATGTTTGGTTTATGTATATTTATGGTAAAACAATAACTTATATGATAATTTAAGTCTAATTTCACGGGGATCTCCCTTCGGAGGGAGCCACAAAATAAAAACGGAATGGAGGTACAGTACTAATCACGGGAACGGAAAAAAACAAAACGTGCACTGGCACACCGTAGAATGAAGGTATGGAAGGAATTTCTCAAAGAACTTTTCTAATAAATGGTAAAATAATAACGAAATGTCTTTAGACGTACGAGTACGAGTACAAATGCGATTTAGATATAGTAGGAGGAGGGTTTTGATCGGGCGGTTTTTTTTTAATGGTTATACAACAGTTTGAGTTAGTTTGACTTACTTGACAACGAGTATTCATCGTCTTCTACACACACACACAGAGACATAAATATAGGAGTATTGTAGTTGTTGTAGTTGATAGGGAGTTCGGGGGGAGTACAATAGAAAGATGATAGGTTTACAAATTTGAAATATATATTATACGAGTACGAGTAGAAAGGAACATGGAACATGGCTCCGGGCGCAGAAGAACGAGTTTATATATATTTTACAGAAATATGTGGTTGTAGTATATAGTGTCTTTGGTTCAGATTCTGAACCTTTGGTGTGTCGTGTTTTTTGAAGTGTGTATTTGTGTGTGGGGTATATCATATAGAAAGAGTATTTGAAGTATTTGTCTAAGATACATGGTTGATTTTGTAGAAGTATCACGAATAAACGATACGATACGATTTTGATACTATACGACATGGTACGATGCGATATACGATAGTTAAACGATAGATACGGTACGGTACAATACAATATATGTAGTTAACGTTTGTACAAAAGATACTTTACGAGATACGAGTACGAGTACGATAGGTATGTAGAGTATGAGTTATTGACACACACCGACTCGGCGACGTGTGGGTGCTACATGTAGTAACGAGTACATACGAAATCGAGCGAGTGAATGCTTTCTGAATATATAGTATTCGGATATTTGATAGTTCGAATTGTAGTTCGACTCATAACGAAGTTCGGTTAGCTCTTGACTTTACTACACACTCACACGCACACTAAGTTTTAAGTTGGTTACGAAAAAGTATACAATTACTATAGAACGAACGAGTAGAAACGTAACATGTATGTGTATGTGTTACTGTGTGTGTGTTTGTGTGTGCGGTGGGGTTTTGGGCTGGGGTCAGGTCAGGGGTCAGAGGTCGGGGTTCAGGGGCTGTGTGTGTTGTTGTGTGGCTGTTTCTGTGGACTGACAAAGATTGATTGACTTTCGATTGTTTTGGCTGCCTGATTGATTGGCTTGGCTTTCGATTGGTTTTTTGGCTGAATTGCGAATGCAGCTGAACAATAGCAATTAGAGTTAGTTGAATAGTTAGTTTGGCGTTTATAAACGGTTATAAGAGCGTTTTTACTTGGTTAGCGAGAGTCTCTAGGGCAGATGTAATGGTAAATTTTGGTTTGCCAATTGGAAATCACCATCAGGGAAGCTGCAGGAAATTCCTAGAGATTTCAGTGATAGGCAATGATATTTAAAAAAATATACAGCATAATTTTCGGCCACTCTTAAGGCGATTTCAAATCTCTAACAATTTCTGCAGCAACCCTAAAGCCTGGGTTTTTGTGGTCTTTTCATGGAATGTATGTTCGTATGCTTATTGGGTTACAGTAGTAGTAGTGGTAGAAGTAGTAGTATTTGTAGGAGACAGAGACAGGAGATAGAGATAGAGAGATAGGAGATAGATAGAGAGAGAGAGAGAGAGAGTGAGAGAGAGTAGAGTAAGTTATACGTACTTGCACGCCCAACCATTTGTACGGCTCGGACGCCTTTCCGGAAGGTGGCCACTGTTTTTGTTTCATGAAAACAGAATTTTATAGGATTCGTGTGAATAGGTAAATGATGGCAAGGTAATGATTGTTGATTTCAATATAATTCTCTTCATCTTCTTCTCGCAATCTTCGTCTGCTTATTATCATTGAAACATCATTCAACAAATGATGAGAATATAAAGTAAAAGGAACTAAAGTACGCTATAATGGAAATCATAAGTAAATCGCACGGCACACGTTGTACTTGAACTTTCGATAAACATATGCAGATATATTCATATGTGGTATGTAGTTTATGATTATAAATAGATATATGCAATGTATACTGAGAATATATACTAAGTATATGCTTCTGCTTATGACATTATGCGCGCATCGGGCGAACCAAACCAGAAATCGTTGAAAGACTAATTTAGTTCTATGTAGTATATATATTAAGTATGTTATATTTATACTGAATACGATATAGAGAGAACGATATAGTGGCGATAGCAGGAGCAGAAGTACAAACTGAACTGAGTTTTTAACTGAAACTGAAACGGATTTTATCGCAGTTAAATTTTATCCTTTTCCCAACGGTTCCCTTGATCCCTTTAGTTTACCCACAAACCCCAATAATATTATTTTCCCTGCTTCCCAGCTTTGGGGCGGGGCTCTCGGTTCTTGGCAGGGTTATTTGGCATTTAGCAGCTAGGAGCTTTTCATGGTTTTTAGCATTAACTAAGGCACACAACGGCTGACAGATGTACATACATCATTTTAGTAATTTTGATTTAGTTTCCACGTTCAATTAGTTAATTAGAAATGAGCTATATTTTTTATGACAATTTGGCAAGCCAAATCTTGAAAAACGATAGCCAAAGGTCCCTAAGGTTATATATTTTATTTTATATGTCATAAGGAAGATGTTACAAAAAATGTATATAATTTAGGGATATCTTTAGGCAACATTTCTAAAGATTTTAAATGTGTAATACCAAAAAAAAAAAAATACTATGGCGACGTATGTCACTATAGCCAATATATATTTTTAAAAATCTGTCTAGAAATATATAATAAATTAGTTAGAGGAAAAATATGATAGAAAAGGACTCTCCAATTGATTATAACATACATTTAGACAATATTTTAAGTTAGTTTAAAACCACAGCAATTTCTGTGGCATTCCTTATTGAATGTTCTTTTGAATTATTAAAACTCAACGGACATTTTTTTGGATAGACTGATCAAATTAGAGTAGCTTAAAGATTGCCTTGGCCATCGCTCCTTGAATTTAGGTTTAGGATTAGGTTAGGATTAGCAGCAACGAATAAGTCTTATGGCTGGGTATAATATAATTCGATATTAATATTTTTGGATAGAGCGCCGCAAATCGCAAATTATTATTATTTTTTGGTTTCGTTTGTGGAAATGGTTTTGAAAGCGTACCCTCCATTGTATTCATCACCGACGTGATGCCTTGGTTGACCATGCCCGTCTGCATCATAATCATGCCCACATCTGCAAGATCGGTATTCATGTAGACACTCGCACAGGCACACACATAAATGCATTTATATATATATAGTTTAGATATCGATATAACACAGGATCGGGAGTGGTTCACAAACTTAAGCTCTAGGCACTACGAAATGCGAACTGCGATTTCAGATTTTTTTTATCAGCTGCCAGATGGATCCCGTTCCGCCGCTTCAAAGCCATAACGCAGGCAACGCAAACTCGGCAAACTTACTAACTACTTGAGAACATTTGCAGCTAAAATGGGTGTTTACAGATTAAGATTCAGATCACAGAGTATAAGTAGAGTTGTTTAGGTGTTACGCTACATAGAAACCAAATACATAAAACGTTAGTTATTCCCCGGCAACGCTTCTGCCAGTGGCCTGCTCTAAGGTTATTTACACTCTCTGCTGCAGCTACTCTCGATTATATACAATTCGCATTAAATATTAAGTACAGTATAGTAGATAAATATAAGTAGAGAGAGATCTGGTGAGTGAGGTGGTGAGTGCCACGCCAAGAACACAAATCAAAGGAGAGTGTGTTGTAAGAGGGATTCGTGAGGGCGGCGCAGCATTTCAGTAACTTAGGTCTACCGTTAAGTATTTAAACGTAATTTAATCATAGGTATTAGGAAGAGTATTAAAATTAGAGCTGGATGCTGCAAAAGTGAGTCAAAATTGATCGAAAAGAGAGTATATTTTTTCGTATAAAACATTTGTCGGTATGGTGATGGTGTGATATAAATGTAAACTGATTCTTGTGCTCATTTCCATGCACTTATTTTGTTCAGGTATTATTCTCAACACATAAGTATAAAGTACAAAGATTAAGAGGGAGTTACAGAGACAGACAGAGAGAGAGATAGATATAGAGAGAGAGAGAGCAAGAGCGAGGATTAGCGAGACAGACTTTTTAAAAAAATGGTGCAGTTTCGGATTTGGAATAAAAGAATTGATCATCAAAAGAGAGGGTTGTCAATGGGTATGAACTTTATTAAAAATACAGATGAAAAAAAGTGGTCATGCCTTCTTAATGAAATACAAAGCTTTAGATTCGATTGCAAAAAAGTTTAAAGTTTAAAAAGAGAGTGGATAAGCCTTTTGGAAAAAACAATGCATAATACTTTGAATGGCCCCTATATATATTTAATTTTTGCAACTCCTTTGTATTTCGCTTTCGGCATGATCTTATTATCGGGCTGATGCATCGCGCATACGCCCGGTAAAACACAGAACACAAAATCGGAGGTGTCAACTATCATGTTGTTACTCTAGATAGCCGTGTGTGTGATGGTTAAAGAAAAAGCGCAGACTTAACATTTCTTGCTGGTTGAATGTAACTGTTGTAGGTAGTATAGGTATCAAAGAACTGGGGTTGCATATCGCACAAACATATTTACAAGGTCAATGGTACGTTATGTTTGGTTGGTTTTCTCCTCTCCGCGTAGTCCTTCGGATGTATGGGGATATTTACTTAATCGTTATACGGTGGGTGTGGGTGTGGTTAACTGTTACTTCGTGGGTTACAAAGAGGCGCATGTCAAAACAAACAGTGACCAAAAAAGAACTGCACATGGGCAAGATAAACGGGCAGGAGGACGGATATGGTTTTTCGTTGTTCATATATATAATATATAAGTATATAGGTATACGGTGGTTATGATATCGGAAACGATTATGGCCGGGCGAAGGGGTCTGGGCTGAGCTGAAGAGCACTCGGTGGGGACAGTCCAATGATTTCGCTTTGCAAAAACTGTTTTAAAATTAATAATGACAATCAACGGAAATCAAAGGAAAAACTGATTTTGTCGTGCTCTTGGTGGTGAGGTGAGGTGCTGCGAGGAAGATCGGATCAGGAGCAGGACCTTCGCTTTGTTTTGTAAAAAAGGAAACGGAACGGAACGGAGGAGGGGAGTATGCAAAATGTACTTTATACAAAAGTTGGAATCGTAATATTGGAATCGGCGGTAAATGGTATTTGGTATTTGGTATTGGATAAAACTTCAAAACTGAGAAGTGTGTGGTGTGGTCTGTGGTGTTCTGCTGTTTGTTGTGGGAAATTAGTGTGTGTTCTTTTATTCTTTGGGGTTATTCGGTTTGTTGCTTGATTTACCTAAGTCATCGAATTTGCTCCTGGGCTGAACAGTCACTGTGGGACAAAGTTATGGCATTGGATTGTATTATTTGGTATTAAATTCGATTCGATTTGGTTTAATTGGTTGTATTTGGTTATGTCACGTCGCCAGAGCGGCACACCCAACCCACACATCGTGTGTATATGTGTGTGTGCGAGGGGTGTGTCAGCAGTTATCGTTTATAGTTATACATAGTTAGTTATTTGTGATTTTTGTTGCAGTTTTTTTTTTTTTTTTTTTGTATAGATTTCATTGACGAGCGAGGGCCACACGCGCCAACACACATACATAATAAATATATAATAAAAACATGGATATTTATGTATAAAAATATTTAGGAATATACGAGTAGTTGTAATGGTAGAGAGTTAAAATATATAGATATTCATACGATATGAAGAGATTGCGTCTTATATCTAGGATATGCCTCAACTGGACCTCTCCTTTCTTACAAACTAAAATCGAGCTGTTATTCTCCTATATAGATAATAAGTAGTAAGTAGTTTCTGTTTGGCTTATTAGATTCTGGCTGTCCTCGAAACGTTCGATTTGATTCGATTCGAAATTCACAAAAGAAACAATCAAATCAAATACATATTGAAATTATAAAATTGATAAAGTATAAGTTAAATAAAGTCCATTGATACATAAATTCTCTAGGAACTAGATCGGAATTAGTCGGTACACAAGTATGCTTACAGTTTTTGCATTTGCATTTCTTAATCAGCGTCTCGTCCTTGATGTCCTCGTGGCAGGCTTTGCAATAGAACCAGGCACTACGAAAGGGTAATAACTGCATTAGTATAGGTTTTTTAAATTTTAAGTCCAGCACATTTATCGAATTTGAATTGGGTTTCCTTATGAAAATAGAAAAATTAGCCATAAAATTTATGGTACCTTGTCTTAAATCCATGAAAACTTATTCCTAATTGTAGACATCAAACACTTTCCTAGTTTTTGGGTCCTTTTTTAAGGGTTATTTTTCTTAAATATTTAAAAATATACATATGAGTGTAGGGACATGAGACAATATCTGTCAATTTACGTTAAATCATTAAATCATTTTTAATTACCCATTTAAATATTTATTTTGTTTATAACCCTTGTTCGATAAATGTGTTAGCCAGAGATTTATTTAAACAATCTCTTACCGCTTCACCTCGTCGGCGCTTTGTGCTATGAAGAAACCCTGCGTATTGGCCTGAATCTTGGCCCCCCTTGGATTTATGGAAATCTTGCTGTCCGCCCCCTCCTCGGCGCCCTTGATCTCGATGGCCAGGAGCAGGAGCTTCAGCTTGGAGAAGCACAGTCTAAACGCGGGGAAGACGGGCGGTAATCAGTGCCTGTTCGCAGACTCGGCGTCAACTTAGTCTAGGGCTTTGCTTTACAGTTGATTGAACCTAGTTTAGTATGCTACAAAGGTGTAGTCGAACTCTCTCAAAAAACAGGGCATGCACTTGGTGTCATTGATAGTGTGTGAGTGAGTGTGTATGGTGGGGTGTTCGAGTGTGTTCGAGTGTCTATGTGTCGGTGTTCGTGGGTGCTCTCAAAGCGTACATTGTTACGAAAAAAGAAGGAGCAATCAAGACGACGATTGACGAGTCAAAAAATCGGCATGCTAGGCAAAATGCTTAGGTAAAACTAAGAAAAAAATATTTTAAAAATTTTAAAAATGGTAAATAAATTAAAACTACATATCAGTGCTGCCATAGGACTTTTTTCAGAGACATATATCTACATATTCTCCATGTTTTTGCCATAAACTAAGTTTTAATATTTATTGTACATGTAAAAATCTTCACTTTATTCAAGTTCTATTAAAATATGTTGGACATATTATGTTATTTTTACAATAAAATATTATACAATTTATATAAAAAAATGTATAATCAAAGTTTAAGCTTAAATTTTACATTTTGTTGCCTACTTTTAGACTCAATTTTAATTGTTTTTTAATCTACAGGAAAACTTTCTTATATCAGCATAAAAACTAGTAAAATGAATCGGTTCTTAAATATATTTCCGTATTATTTTCAAAAAGTCCTTTGACAGCACTACTACAGATAGCAAAACACTACCTGCAATCCATTGCCAACTAGGGTACACTCTAAAAAAAATTAGGTGGGGACACAAAAACGTTACATTCTGCACATGCAATGAGTTCGGGAGTTCGGGGTGGAGTCAGAAGTGGAGCTGTTCTGTGGAAGTGAGCGCTGACCAGGGTGGGGGTCTCTAGAATTAATTGCAGTGTACGAGTCTACGAATCGCAGCGAGCTGAGTTCGGTTAGCAAGCGATTGTAGAGTTACGGTTACGGATACAATACGGTTTTTGAGCCAATTACAATGAGTGTGGAGAGATATATACGATACGATATACAGGTTGTTCAATGCGTTCGCCCTCGAGAGGGTTGGTTTTCGGTTCGGGTACTGGTGGCGGGTACGGGATTACTGGTGGCTAGTTTGTTGTTTATTTCTTTCAGTGGATACTAAGTATGGATTTGAGTTGAGTATTCGAGATATATATATGGACAGAGGTGGGATTGAGTTGAATTGAGTTGGGGGGAGTTGAGAGGCGACAAACAGTTGTTTAGTTGTTGTTATTATGAGTAAGGAGAGTAAATCAAACGGAATCGAATCAAGTTGGTAAATAATAGGAAAAAGAATTGGTAAACAAACTTATTTTGTACAATGCAAAAAGGTTGTAGTAGTAGAAGTAGTAGTAGGTAGTAGTATTTTTTATACAGTTTGCATATAATTTTTTTTGTTTTCGCTAATTTTAGAGTCTCATTTTAGAGTCTTACTCGCTGGCTTGTGGGAATGTCATGCCGGTAAATGAAGGTGATAGGGTTTCGGTGTACATCTCACACCCTGTACCTTGAAGATAATCATTTTGCCAGGCCTGTGTGTCTGGTGACTGAAAGTTAGAAAATGGTTTTGTTGTGGTTTGCATTTAGTAGATTCGCTAAAGTAACTACGTGGCGCATTATCGGTTTGTACTAAATGGTATTTCATTGGTTTGTTTGTTTGTCTGTTTTGGCAGTTTGGCAGTTTGGTGTGGCAGGTGGCAGGAGTACTGACTGGCAGACTGGACGTCTGACCAGATCCTACGCATCTCACAGCGGGAACTGGAGCTGGAACTGGAACTGGGACTGGGGACTCTCTGCTGGGTCTACGTTTTCAACAGCTGGCTGGCGAATATCAGTGCTGAGAGTGTGTGGCTGTTCTTGGTTGGTGCATGTTTTTTTTCTGGGGTCAGTTTCAGGCATGGCATTGCATACGCATACTCTGGCTTTGGTTTGGCTTTGGCTTTGGTTTGGCTTTGGCTTGGCATAGAAATACTGCTTCTCTGGCTTAGTCTTTACACTTTCTGGCGAACTTTACAGCATTGAAGAAGGCACGAGCATTTGGGGTGGCATCAAGACTCAACCGAACCGAACGTGTGTCAAATGAGCAGAAATCAAAAGGTCAAAACGGAAACCATCAGGGAACGGAAACGGAAATCAAAGGGAAATCAAATCACAAACTAAAATGCACGCTGCAAACTTAGAACTGTTTTTTTTATTATTATACTGAGATACAGATAGATATTGAGAGAGAATTTTAGGAGCGATTTGCTCACACAGATACCATACATTTAGCGATTGTGTGTGTTGTGTGTGTATGTGTGGGTTTGAGTCTGTTTGTATTGTGTGTGTGGGTGTGTATCCTTAAATAAAGAATGTCAATAGAACTGTCTGGGCAGCTTTGAAGTTTGTTTGCTTTTGAAAATGAAGGATAAGAAACCATATATTTTGTATTTGCAAACATTGAAGGCATTTTGAACACTTAGAACACTCAATTACACAAAGAATTTGCTTGAAACAACGACTAATTTTCACAGTGTAAGTGTTTTGTTGGTGTTCTCTGGACTCGTGTATCTCGTGTGAGTGTTTTTTGTGTGTGTCTGGTTTGGAGAATCGAAATCATAAGCTAAGTTCATTATTGGCAGGCACATTTACACGTTGCAACACTTAGATCATCGGTGTAAACGTGCCGGATCTCCGATAGATCTTCGAGAGAAATAAAAATACAATCAACGGAAGAGAGTTTTTACAACGACGATCCGAACTGAGTGAAAACAAATAACAATGTGTGTACACTTGTGGTGTGTGTGAGAGTTGTGAGGTGTTTAAATCCGGCCCCCAGGAAACATCACTAAGATCTGATTTATAATTTAATTAAAATGTATATTTTATATAGGTTTCTAGGAGATCATGACGAGTATACTGTGAGCCGGATACATCTTATGTTGTTCATGGTGTTGTATTTTTTTTCGTTCAACGCTGCACGATTAACAAGTAGAATAGAATAGGTAGTAGTAGATACAATATAGTATTTTAATTTGTTTTTTTTTTTTTATTCTGTTTTTGTTTTTTTTTTTTGGTTGCTTGTACGAATAATACGGATATAGCTTATGTTTGGAAAATTGGAAAACTGCCTGCTGCGTGACTTACTCAGTGGCCTGAGCAAATGGTATTCCAATAAATGTGGGACTCAATGTTTCAGTGTACATTTCCATGCCAGTGCCGCGCAGGTAATCATTTGTCCAAGACTGCATGTCTGGCGACTAAGGGTTAAAGACACGTAATATAGAGACATTTTTGATTTGATATATACGGCAGGAGGTACACCCCACACATAACAGATATATATTGCGCGCCTCCACGCGAGCGGGACAGTATGGTACAATGTCTGCGGATCTGTAAATCGTTAATCTGGAAAAATATCTAACTTCCGGCCTGCTCTCTCACTGGGCGCCAGTAGTGTGATTGTGTCAGGTATTTCGTTGGTATTTTTGGTTGATGAGCACTGTCCTTGGGGACAGCATCAGCGTCACCCCTCACTTACCGTCTTGAACGAACGCATCGCGAACAGGTTGGCCATCATGGTCGAGAATCCGGGCGCCAGGCAGCTCTGGGCGATGAAGCCCAGCTTCAGCTCCGCCAGGCAGATGACGTCGTCGCCCTGTTTCCAGTCCCACGATGGGATGTTCAGCAAGTACGCCTAAGTGCATATAGAAACAACAAAAAAAAGGAATTATAATCGAAACAAGAAAGTGAACTAACTTCGGGAAGCCGAAATTTGTATGTCCTTGGAGTTTTCCAAAGGTTCATGATTCATTTGAAATATATATATATATATAATATATACTCTTGTCGATCCTAGATCCTCTGCTTACTCACCTTATTGTGGTACTGCATTAGCTGGATGATGACTCGAATGTCGTCGCTGTAGTTCTTGATCGAGATTACTCTCATGATGTTGGCAGCATCTTCTGCGTCGGGATCTTGGCAATATTTGTTAGCTAGCACGAGGCAGGCGTCGGCTTCATGAACCTGTTTCCGGTTTCCGGTTTGAGAGATTGATAAGTTATCGATTAGCAAAGGATCAATATGAGCACTGGGGTTAGCTGGTTATGGTCAGACTATGTCTATGGGCATTTGATGTTTGTCTCATGTGAGTTAGTTTTGTTATGTTGAACTGTTCAAAGTAGTTTGTTATGGTTCAGTGATTGTTATTGTTACTGTTATTGTGAATATATATTGCAGAGGTGTCACGTATAGAGCATTGTCCACAATATAACAATTAGTAAGCGGTTTACACGCACATCGACTGGACAACTATGGTACGAGTATGAGTACTTAAAATGCCACAGGTGAGTGTTTTGGTTTTGGTTTGATCCTGGTTCGATCTGGCTCGGATCTAGGCCAGGCAATATCTTGCATATACATTGCGTACGTAGTAGGGTTCTTTTCAGGGTACTTTAAGGGAGTAGTAGTAGAAGCCACTAGGGGCTGTTTTTAAGGGAGATAGTAAGCAGTTGTACAGTTGCTGGGTGGTTGGTTGGGTGGGTTTGGTTGCTGGACACAGTCTTTCGGTTTCAACTCCAAACTAAGGACACATTAAGAAATCATAAGGCGAACGCTCGGTGCATTGCAGTGGGCTGTGGGCAGTGGGTGTCGGCGGGGGAGATTGGTGCAGTTCAAAACAACTTAATTAAATACCAAAGCCCCGCACAACTGAAGAGAAAACTCAAGTGGGCATTGGACAACGGATTAGCACTAATTACAAGCATCTTTATCCGATCAAAGACATGCAGTCGGCTTGCATGCAAAGGATGCGATGTTTATCGCACTTTACAAGGACGGGCGATGGCATTAGCAAAGGCCGTTCAAAGGCGCCAATTCAAAGGATATCGATTAAGCTGTTATATATATTATATATTTTATATTTACTATACAGACTAAGACATGTACTTATAGAGGCATACTATACAATTTATTTAAGTTTACACATATTTAGCTGAGCTGATGTTAATAATTTCCTCCAAAAATTGAACCCTAATTGCTTATCATTTGAAAAATGTCACTTTCAAATACTCTATAAAAGTTTATAATTAAAAAAAAGATAATCTTTATCTGGTTAAATAATAGATTATTGAATTTTTTACCGATTTGTTTAATTTTTTGTATATTCAAATGGTATTCATATTGAGAGAACACCCAAATAAAGACAATTTCAAGTTTCCAAATACTGTTAAATATTTTTAAAGATTTTATATTTTATGAGATTTATGTGACAAAGAAAAGAATAGTATTTAAATTCCCAAACATAAATATATAATAATTTAAATATGGCTAACAAAATATATTCCCTCTATTTAAAATATAACTATAACTATTATTCAGTGTCATATATCATACCTGGACCTTTTTTAGTATTAAAAAAAAATAATCTCCTTAAGCTCTTCACCATTTATTTTGATTATCTATCAATACCCAAATATTTGTAGTAATCCAAACTATACAGTTAACAATTAACTTAACAATTACAGTAACATACTTAGCACATACATACATAAAGAAGAAATTACATTTACGTTAATGGCTTTGGGTAATGCAGCTTAAAATAAGGATAAATCAAAGGAATTATTCGTTTCTGTTTTTACACAACAATGTCAACAGCAATTTACGGTGTCCGTGTGTGTGTGCTGTTAGTATTTATTCTGTGTGTTTTTATTTGTTTACTTGCTATTCACAGTTTGTTTATTTGTGTAAATTTTTGGTGTAATTGGGTTTATGTTCAGGTGCCGGGGCCAAGAGAGATACATGTACTAATGAGCGCTGTGATGCTGTTGCTGTTGACCAAAACTAAAACCAGAAAATGCATATTACGTATACGTATTACACGAATATCGCTGGTACATGTAGATAGACAGTACACAGACACACACGTACAGGGGTATAGATTAATAGGCGGGTTGTAATTACATTTGAGCGTTCGTTACATAAATAAGTATACGGGTACGTAAGAAGTAGTAGGTAGTAATAGTACGCTTATTCTGGGGTTCGGTTAATACATAATGAAACGAAAGCATAGCGCACGGGTCGAGACGAGAGTACGAGTACACTGAACGGAATAGGGTAAATGAACGGTAAGGAACGAAAGGCAAACGAACACATAGAACATATAGTGAAACGGATAAAATGAAAATACATTTTTGTTTTACCTTAACCCTCTGCAGATCGATCGGATTCATAATGGTTCCTTGGAAGAACTCCACGGTGGTAAAATGACGTTTGAACAAACCCTCAAGTTCCAAATCGGGTGGTTTTCTTTATAAATTTGTTTTAATTGATTTGATTTTTTTTTTTTTTGTTGGTGGTTGATTTTTGTGGGGAAATAATACAAAGTTTTTAGAGTTTTCAATGATTCCAATGTACACACGGAGGAGATTACGTAGATTGGATTGTAATCAAAGAAACAGAAGAATATCGTTGCATGTGTGTGGGTTTGTGGGCGTGTTTTCGAAACACAACAAACAATATACAGATATATATATATATATAGTATATATGTGTGGTTATTGTGCGATTTTCGGAGTCCGCAAATATGCAAATGAAAATGAAAGAGAAACAAACAATGCAGACAGAACTGTCGGTAAAGAAATCTTCAAGCCGAAGGTGCAACAAAAATCGTGATTCATTAAAACTAAACTATAAAACGGAAATAAATCGTAATCTCCTTACTTATATTAAGTACGTCTCTATACTCTAGACAAGGAACTCTGCTTAAATAACTAATTAACATTACTTAACTAGGCTCTCAAGGCTCAAAGAACTCTATGGGAGAATATAAATGTCACGAATATATTACAGGAGGGATTATTTGAATTTACTTTAAGGTTTCTACGATTTAAAAAATTGAAAATGTATATAATAAAACGTGAGATATTTGTAGCTTAATGTAATGTCAAGTAAGCTTTAGCTCGTTTCGAATCAAAAGGAAATATATATGGTAGGTACTGAAAAAATGGAAACTGGAAAAAATTCAGCTAAGTAGGTCATTCCATTATTAAGCGGGGATAAATTACGTTAAGCGAACGCAAAAAGTGAACGAAAAATAAAAGAAAATGTTTTAAAGTGAAACTAAGATATATCTAAAATTATGAATAACATCATTTATCACGTGGCTCTGGGAGGAAATTTGAAGAAAATGCCGTTTTCTTGAAAGCCTCGTCAGCAGCAACCGGAAACCATTAATAATAATGCTATCATAATAAAGCTATAAAATTGCAATAAAAATAAATATAATTGAATTGTTCAAGTTCAAAGTGAGAGAGAGAGAGAGAGAGCGAGCATATATATATATATAGAATTTATGGAGGTAGGGGGCGTGTCTTGACTCGATTTTTGATCTTCGATTGCTGTGAGAGATGTCAGCAGCGAATGCGAAAGTAGTTCTCCTAATTCACTTTGGAGATGGAGGGCAGACAGAGTGAAGTTGCATCCTCCACGGTCACAAAAACATTCACAAAGTATGAGTATGTTTCATTAATGTTTTTTGTTCTTTCTCTCTATTTTTTATTGTTTTGACTGTTGCTGTGGTTGTTGCTGGGACACCTGGGTTCCAATCGTTTATCGTTACTTCTGCGTGTCTTCATGTATTGCTCACTGGTCTGTAGGTGTGTTTCTTTGTTTGTTCCGTGTCTGTGTCTGAGGGGTGTGTGTGAGTGTGTGTGGTGTGGTGTGTTGGATGTTTCGCGTGTTTTTGGTGTGCTCTCGGTGTGTGTTTGTGTACCTTGACTCGCTCCAGGTCGACTGCGTTCATCATAGTGCCCTGAAAAAAGGCCACTGTGGTATAGTGACGCTTCAGCAGTCCCTCTAGCTCCAGGTCAGGCTCTTTGCTATTTTGGTTTACATTACATTACATGATATGGCATATTTATATATATATATATAGTTGTATTTAGGTATTAATAATTTAAAAAAAAAGGGACTGTTCAAAATCAAAAATAAAATCAATCGATATCCACTGTCTGTGTGTTCGCTAATCGCTAGATTAATGCAAATACTTAAAATAGTGCCTTGATCTAACTTAACTGGCTGGGAATTTAGGTCCCAACTAGGGGGTTAGCGGCCAGCAGTTGTTAATAAAATAAAAAAACGTATTTTAGAACCGATATAATGGAGCAAAAACTAATTATATAATTAAATGTATGAAATAATGCAGTTTTTTATAGAATAATTTCTTGGTAAGATTATTAAACTAGCTCTCCAACTATTATTAATTCTATTTAATTTGAAAAGTATTTATTTCAAACCCGTAACAAAATCATTGCCTACTTATTCGCGCAGCTGCTGACCACAAACCCCTTAAGTCTTGGAATCTGCTTAGGTACTGCTCTATTATTTGTTCTCTTTGCTGATTTTTACTGATTAAAACTGAATCGAAAATACATTTAGAAAACGATAATTTCAACTTAACAACGACACAACAAATTAGCAATACGATTGTAATTAGGTTTATTATTCTTCTGCATAATTTTTGAGTTGGGCATTTGATGAACTTACCGATGGAGAAAGACCACTTCGACATCGACATCCTCCCGATCTTCGTGGAGAAAGTCCTTCAGGAAATGCGACACGGACTCGTATGTTATGTGACCGCATACCACAATATGTCTGTTCCGGGTTGGGGTTCAGGTAATGTTGAGTTTGGGAGAGAGATAAAAAGATTAGTTCCGCGGAAATGGCATTGCTTTCAACGATTAATGCAACAATTTGGCTTAAATCTAGTGTGGAATGCGTTGAAGCTCTATACATGTGTGGCTTATGTGACAGTGTATGAAATGAGGTGTGTGTTTCGGTATTAGTGTGCGATTAAAGCGGCAAAAGGTCCTTGAGCCCGAGAAAAATGCTTTTAATTTGATTAAATTGAATTAAATGCATTCGCTCGAGTCCTCTCAGATTTAATCACATTCCATGAATCTGAATCTGAATCGGAATCTATAATATACATATTTGCGGTGTCAGTGTCTCGGTGTTAGTATTACTTTATATATATGTATGCGTGTGTGTGTGAGTGCCTTGAATGTGTGTGTTCGAATGAGTGCATGTCATTGGGTGAGGTTATAGATACGAGTATATTCATTGTTTTTCGTCTTTTGTATATTTCTTTATATTGATTTAGGCTTTGATCTGTTTGTATTATTTATCAACTGCTCGTCGTTGCCTGGTTATGGTTATCTTTATGGCTTTTGTCAGTATTATTTGGTGGTAAAGTATAATTACTTTTTGCATTTTCTTAGGAAACAAACATTTATTAAAATTATACAAAATACAAGAACTCATAATTGGTAAACTTAAAACTCAAATGATAAATTCAAAATGCATGAATTTAGTCTGCTACCCCAGGGGCTTGTACATAAAAAATTAATCAATCAATGGCAATAAATCAGGAGTCACAAAATGAGAATCTGGCTGGATCTCGGACTCTGCATCCGCCAATGTCCAGAGGTGAAAATGAAAAGTTTGTAAATCAATACGGTTTCTAGTAAAGGCTTAGCTACGCACATCAGTTTTGTATATATATATATATTTTTTTATTTTGTTGTAATCAACTTACATGCATCAAGTAAAGCATCAAAAGTAGTCAGCAACTGGCCAACACATTTGTTTTCTATATACACATTGTATGATACACTACGCTCATTCCATATAATAGATATAAATATTTTCTACAGGTGCTAGGCTTTGTATAATATAGGTAGATTATTACTGTAGTCACAGTCATGCAATCAGGCAGTCAGGCAAACCGGCAGGCATTCTTCCCAAAAATACCTAATACATATATGGTGGTGTGTTCAGTGCCACTACACATGCATACTGCTACTGTTCCGTGTGTATATATGGGGGTGGTGTTTGTTGGTGTATGTTGGTGTATGGGTTTCTTGGTTTTTATCATATATAGATCACCTAGGTGTCTAGCTACTCAGTCAAAATATAAAAACAATAAACCAAAATCAAATACAAAAGAGTCCTTTATCCCTAGAGTCCTTTAAAAATACTTCAAGTACAGTCAGTGGATTGTCTCAGTTTCAAAATCAAAAGCAAAACTCTACTGTATCTTACTAAGTCTTGAGAAAAAGTGTATTCAGATGTCGTGTTTGTGTCTTGGTTGATCAAATCCGAATGCAAGGCTGTACAAGTGGCAAACTCGTTGGTTACCTCTACGGTGGCAATAAAAAATGGTGCTCGACTACGGGGGGTCGCTAAAAAAAGGAAAAAGAAGAACTTCAATTTGCATTTAACGAACAAACAAACGAAATAAATGTTCTACATTCGATTAGTTCTTGTGTCTATTTTTTTCATATTTTCATTGCTGCAGCTAAAGAAACGAATGGTGACTTTTGGATTGAAATATTCATATTATTTGTTGTGGTTTTATTTTCTGGAAATGATATAAACATAGTGAAGAGGTTGAACATTTTGATGCCTGGCCACGCATTTTGATCGTTACATTTTCTGGCAGCTTAGCTGCTAATCAACATGAATCAGAAAGTAAAAGTTAATTTTAATGTTTGTTCTTCAGATGCGCCAAAAACTATCATCTCGGAAATGTGCAATGAGAGGTGAGTGGGTTTTGAGGAAATCAACGGAAAAAAACTATGGATAGGAGAGATCTTTGAAAGAGAGACAGCGAGATAGAGAGACAGTCAGGAGATGTGTGGGGCTCGGATACGGATGCGGTTACGGTTACGGTTACAGTTGCAGTTTACGGATTGTATTCTGAGTACTCTTTGGCGAGCATATTACTCTCTCCTGATCAGTGATCCCTAAGCTGGAGACAACAGAGTAGTGTGGTGTGCTTAGAGGGGCCACGTCAAATCAAAACATACAACGATGCAGGACCTCGGCTTTGTTTTGTTTCTTGATTCCTACCTGATCCGAAAAGGCGGGCAAGGGTATAGTAGATCGAATGAGATCGCCGAGCGCATCCATACACAACATTGGGCTACGACAGTTTTAGTGGAGCGAAGTGCAGTGTCATCCGATTCTGGCCTATGTGTGGGTTATGCTTGGTTATATCTTTATATTGCTTGATCATACCGTTGTAATTAAATGTTTCGCAAAGAAGTGGAAAGTCGAAATCATAAGTAAATAGAAAGTATGTTTGTGGGTGTAAAGGGTGTATTTATGTTAAAGTTGTCCAAGAACTACAACACGCAGAGTAGCGGATCGATATAACTGATTGAAGGTTTGAAGATAGAGAGAAAGATATACAGAGTAAGATTAAAATATGCTGGGAAGATACATGAGTTTTATTGATTGATTGATAGGTTTTATTGATTCGCTTTACACACACTTTGACGATGGTTCCGTTGCTCAGATGACAGCTGCTGCCTCTAATATCGTACATTTTCTAGCCAAAAATATATTTGTATATATATTATGAAGCAAATTGAAGTCTTCCGTGAGAGTGGCTTGGTATTTACAAATTGCTGTCTGTACTTGGAAAGAAAAATCTATCGAGACTTCGAGTTCGAGTTGGTGTGTGTGTACATTTTGAGTATGGATTCTAACATTTACGTATACAATCGATCGGATATTATTATTATTATTATTATTATTGTATTTAATATTTAGTATTCAGTATTTAATATGCATTATTATCGTTCGTTTAAGATGGATATACAGTTACGACTTCGATATCAAGGGCTATATAGACAATTACGATAATGTAACACAATAATAAACACCAATCACTGATCCACTTCAAGGGCTAATACAAATGCAAAACGAGGCTAGGATGATATGGCATACAGAAAAGAGACAAAACTTAAGAGCAATACGCAATACGCATGTTGAATTTCGGTTAATGCCAATCATCAGCTCTGATCTGACTTCACACTCGACCTGCAAATTACACGTAACCAATTCGTTTCTAGATGAACCAAAAGTTTAACCAAAAACTAAACGATAAATAAGTCGAAAATCAAACACGATTAAGCCGCGTTTTCTCAAGAAACTCAAGAGAGTAAAACAGAAGAGAGAACGTGCAAATCAAACGATAATATAGGATAGGAGAGCTAAAGAATTTAGGTTCAAGATCAAGATCAGGATGGTACGAGTACGATATAGAGAGAGTAGAAAGTAGCAGAGAAGAGTAAGTTGATAATTTTGGCGTTCAAATTCAGGATGTAGTAGTAGTATGGAAACTCACAACAAGATAGCAGAGTACGCACATGATATAGTAGATACACTCAGAACAGTATTTTAAGTACGAAACAATTGATTTTGGTATGTGGTACGGTATACGGTACGGTTCTCAAATACGATACGAGTATCTGCAAAATGCCAATTCAAAGAAAAACCAAAAAACGAAATGTTGAAAGTAACTGGCGCAAATCAAAACGCAAAACGATGGGCTCAACGTAAACTTAATGGAAACTAATGTTATATATAATACGCAATATGTCATTATCGACTTCCTGGGGCGAGGCTGAAACGATATATCTTACGTCTTACGTCGGATTCTGTTTTTTTTGGGTATCACGTACTGGAACTACGTAGACACACACGTACGTCTAAGGTCAAAATAAATAGGAAAACCAAACTGAAAGGCAACGAACACAAAATGAGTTTGCTCGAGAACTAAAAGATATACACTGGTTGTTGTTGTTTTTCGTATTCTTTTTTTTTCATATATGCAATATGAGTATTTTAGTTAAATTTTCTTGTTGATTTTTGATTTTTGCTTTTCTTGGTCAATTGTTGTGTGGCTGTGTTGCTGTTGCTGTGGCTGTTACTGTGTTTTTGTGGCAAATGTTTGATCGATTAAATGTTTTGAATTTGGGCTGGGTGACTGATTGATTGGCTGATTGATTGATTGATGGCCTGGATAGTTGAAATGTACAAATGTGGTGTTGTTCTCGCTTTTATTGTCGAGCAGCCAGAGCATCTTTGGCGTTCCCACAGGGCGTATGAGTAATATATGGGTATCGGCGACAATGATTGTGATTGGATTCATTTTTTGTGGCCATGTTCTTGGTGGCTTTGTGTGAATGGCTCGTGTTAGGCTTGGTGTGTGAGAGTGTGTCTCTCTAGTGTTTAGAATCAAAATCAAATTTCCAGCTACTCCTCCACACTGGGAATAAAAACGTTTGGCATGAATGGAAGCGCAAACAAAAAGTAAAGTCTATCAATTTTTCAGGGTTGACTGCTTTTGGGCAGAAATTTCATTTTGATTTGGTGTTTATTTTGGTAACATAAATACTCGGTTGTTGGTTAGTTTTATTTTTAAATTTTAGGTTTGTTGATCTTTGGGATTATGGCTTAAAAATTATGATTGTTTTTTGGTTTTTATTATTTTTGTGGTAAGTAGTCTTATTTGTATTTGTTGGTTGTTGTAGTATTTTTATATATCTTTTGGTTTAATCAGTTTGTTTGATTAATTGTTTTGATTGGTTGAAAGAAAATTTGGTTTGTCTCACCTTCGCCCTTTTTCATTTTTTAATGTGCCCCCATATTTGGCTCTTGTTCCAATCAAGTCTATAATCTCAGGTATACAACTTGCAAAAATCGCCTGTTTACAGTATGAAAGATAATGATGACAGTGAAGTATTTTTGTTCTATTTTTCGTTTTGGATTGTTGTAGTTGTTGTTAAACTTAAATAAAAAGCATTACACAAATTTCGTATGACACACAAAGAGAGTAACAGAGAGAGAGAAATAGATAGAGAGAGAGAGAGAGTAGGAATCGCACGAAGGATCAACGAGAGGGACACACTGATGGGAAGGAGAGAAACCGAGATGGGGGGACAAACAGACTCGAAAAAGGACCCTTAGAAGCACTATATGATGAAGGCATCGGATCGGTATCCTGCTGACGACACTCTTGTGTTTGCTGTGGCTTCCAGGACGCTCTATAATTATGTATGTCTATTCGGAATCACCTTGGACCGTTGTCAAACAAGGAAAACACAAATTAAAACACAGTAAATGAGATCAAATAAAACGGAAGAGGTATGTAACATATTGTCTTATTATCTTCATAAATCGATAAACCGCTTTAACAGTTTGCAGCTAAGTTCTTATGGCTCTAATGGTTTCTTGGGGTTACGTGTTGTGTGGTTAAATAACGAGTTAACACATACAGATATCAACGAATTCAAACTATACGGTGGTGTGGAGAAACTTAACCCTAGTACAGTGGTGGTAATTCGGTGCCAAGTACACACGCACACACAGCGACCGGAAGTCGGCTAGCAACTTCCGCTTCTCTCATTTTATCAGTGCCTCAAATCTACGCTACCAAAATCATCGATGGTGTGTGTGTGCTCGTTCATCTAGGAAACTAAACTAAACCGCATGTGTTATGTTTGTGTTTCGGGGCGGGATATGGTTCGGTTCGGTACGGGATAGAGTAACGAGTAACGAGTACATATAATGTGAAGACATGATGCTGATACTGAATACGATATTACGGGATACTGCAACTCTTTACTGATCACAAGAATACAAATATCAAGGCTCCTCTAAGTGATGATCATCGTAAAAAACATATTTCAGCGCCCGATGGCGCCGGTTTCGTACTGCTTTCGTTTCGTATTAATATTTTGTAATTTTTAGTTTTAGTTTTTTAGTAGTTTTTTTTTTTTTCTATGCGTGGCTGCGGCATACAAAGTGGGTGCAAGCAAATTAACGACTTTGAAATAGAGATGATTAGTTTGATTAGGTAAGGGATAAAGTGTGGAATTAGTTTCGTATTGGTATGGTAAGTAATTACAAGTAAATTCGATATAGTATGTTGGATAAATTGAAATTGCAAAAATCGTAACTACTGCAACTTTATTTATGTATGTATCGCATATAGAAACAATTGGAAAGGAAACAAAAAAACAAGATGAAAAATAGTATCCGGAAATCAAGACTCTATATGGGGGAAACCAAAGCAGCAACTGGGTGTAAGTGTGTTTTTATTTTTTTTTTTTCAAACGGAAAATAAAGAACTTGTGGAAAATGTACAAACGAACAAACAAACAACTCAACGGTAATGCATTTCGGTAACTCAGGAAGAGAAGCCATTAAAGGAATAAACGAACAAGTTCATACATATATGTAGATTGGTTCAGCGCTAGTTTCGGAGCTTCAACAGTTCGAACTCAAAAAATCAATGACGCAGCTGAAGTTGCATAAAAACACGCAAATAGTGGCTCTGGTCTAGGTACGGTAATAATCAAAAATCAAACGGAAACGGAAACGGAAACAAAAGACGAACTCAACTCAAAAATTACACATTTCAAATACAGCGGCGAGTCTCTAGCTCTTTTCAACTGTCTCGTTCTCGATCGTCAGACCTGGGCTGACGACGACTGGCTGAGGAGGGGAACACCTTCTTCAAATACTTCTGTAAATTGTCTTCTCCAAAATATATATACATATAGATTGTGTCGGGTGGTGATCGTTTAATTGAGAGTGAATAGCTTGTCGACTTCGAAATGTGCATGCTTCAACAAATGAGTAATCCCCTCGAGAGAGGCAGAGTTCCGGTTATAAAGTAGTTAGTCTCCGTTAAAAAGTTTTAGTTAAGATTAGTAAGTGGGCCCAGAGATTCCAAAACGTGTTGCACACATCCTCGGGAACCGCAAATGAACTGGTAAATAAATAAAAAAACATCGCATCTCTGTTCGTTTCTCTTACTAAAAATGTTTGAAGCAATTAATGGTTTCAATTTATTTATTTTTCTATCTAAAAACAAGCCTAGTGAATCGCACGCAAAAATGAAGCAATATAGTTTGTAGACAATGAGTGTAGAGTGTGTGTGTGAAAGTAACGACAACGAGAATTACAGAAGGATTTGACAAGTAAATTACATTATAACAATATATATTCTCCTCTGCGGAATCATTTTTTAAATCGTTTTGTGTAATTCTTGCAGTGACTCTTTTATGTGTTTCCCTTTTGATTTTTTCTTTTTGTTAATTTACTAAATACAGACACATGCCGCCAAGAAACCAATGCCTTCAAGTCCTAATTATTTTTCCATTTAATTTCTTTTGTTTGTTTTCCTTTAGCTTAGCTTTTTATGAAAATAATAAAACAAAGTAAAATATTTGATTAATTTGTTCATTAACCCAGATTTTCGACAGAGTTTGGCATTATTTTTATGCAATTCCAGGTGACGCCGAAAAAATGTTCAAGATTAAAGGGTGAAAAATAATAAAAACAAAATAGGAAATCAAAGTAAAACTTAAGCTGTTCGTTGACTGAAGTTTAGTAAAGAAAATTTAGGTAATACAAAGAGAATTCAAGATTCTTCGATTGCTGCGATTGCGGTGTTGTATATATTTTGTTTTTTTTTTGTTTTTTTTTTGGTATTTGTTTGCTTTTATAATCATTATCTTGTTTATCTTGATAGTTGTTGTGTTGTATATATAGGTTTTGATCTTATATATTTCTCTCTTAGCGGTACAGCCAGCAACGTGTTCGTGTACCTTTTTCTAGGATCCTTGCTATATGTTCCACCATATTTGCTTCTTTGGGCAGCCAGTTCAGTGATTTCTGGTATCCAACTAGCGAAAACGGCCTAAATTCAACAACACACATACACATTTAGATTGATTGAGAGGTGCCAAAGAGGGTTCAGTACGTTTGTTTCAGTATTTCTGTATTGTTTTTCTTTTGTTAAATGTTATTTTTTCTGTTGTTGAGCTAACAAAGTAAGGCTTTGCTGTGTGTTTGTTTCGGGTGTGTGTGTGTTTTATTTTTGAAAAGAAATGGACAAAATTATTATGCGTACAATTGTTGAAGAACAAAATCAACGACGACGTTGATAATTCGCTGACGACGAAGAACAGTGCAGAGTGGAGACCGCTCAACCCGTCATAGAACTTACACTCGCCATCAGTCACTCGCTCGCAAAGCACTCGCTCACATCGCACTCGTTCCTTATTTACACGGACGCTCACTCGACACGGCACTCGCTTCTCGCTCACTCACTCGTCCACACAGATACTTTACGGCTAGTTGTACATTACTTTACACAATCGCTTTGCCAATTTGTAGTTCGCATTATGTCAACGGCATCTATTTACTGTAGTACTCTTACTTGATACATCTAATAATTTACATTTGTAGTTTACAATACACGACAGTGCTGGGGCCTAGACAGAGACAGGTTTTACGTAGTAAGATCGGCGTTAGACTCATCTGGAAGTCACAGTGCGCTAAATTTTAGTATTACGCTATAAAGAATACCGTACTTTGTACAATCCTATGTTATATTAGGGGGTAAGTTAGACTTGCTGATTCTTCGGAAAAGGGTGATGAAAAGCACAACTTCGGTCTCCTCCGAATTTCCAAGGCAGTTCCTTATCAGTCTCTCCTCTTAAATCATATAAGGAGACCGGGGGAATGGCCTTATGTCTTATTTGTATATTATTAAATGGATCAGCAAGCCTCTGACAAATGTGTTTTGAATTTAATAGGAGTAAAAAGGGAGTTATGAATCGAAAAATACATATTGCAAATATGTGGCTGAAGTTTGCTCTTTTAAAAAAATACAAAATATTATAATGACTTTGGATAAATTAATTATATATTACTTTTAATTCAATGCGTGACCGATGCTATATTTTGGAGGACTTTGTGTTTGTAAATGTTTTATTAAGTGGGGCTCGGGGGCTCTATAAATCTGTGTGGGATGTGTTACAACAATGCGCCTAAATAGTTTGCACAAATGCTTTAAGATATCGAAATAAATATATATGAACCTTGAAACTATTGCAAATTGATAAACGCATATCTGGTATCATAACTCTGGTGTTAATACGAAACGTTTAAAGCATGGCAAAGTATAAAGAGTTAAACGATAATAATATCTTGAGTCCGAACGTGTATTCTGGATCCAAAATTCAAAAGTAAAATGAACGAAAAAGATATGAACTCACGCTTGCCTACTAAGTTATTTATATGATAGACATGGCCAAGTTCAATAAAAGTGTTTAACGAAACGAAATAAATCAGGGAAAACAACGCAAATACATCGGTAAATAAACAACTTAAACTGGAGGAACCTAAGTGAATGGGACATTAAAATGTTTAATGACTGGAACAAATAGATCAGTGTGTGTTCGAATCTTCTGACAACAAAATAAACATAAGGAATATAAAACTTGGGAAATAAACAAAGTACAAATCGTGGTGATAAAATTGTACTTTACTTTTATTACTTTCTTGATGAATTATCAAATGTTGTCATATCTGTTTTGGTTTTGGTTTTCATTTAAATACTTATTTATCAAGGAACAAAATAGTTAAAAAACGAACGACTTAAGAGTCGGCTGAACTACTTTTTGATGCGGGTAAGTCAACTGTATATATGCGAGTCATAGAGATACAATGAAATTAGGGAAACAAAGTGAAAGGGTAACAGACTAGTTATCGACTTTTAATTTAATATTTGAATTCATCTAATTGGAACTTCGGATTACCCCACAGGGGTCCAAGATACTAGTATACTAGGAATATGTGTGTTCTTTACAAAGGTTTTCTTCTGTGGTCCAAGTAAAACCTAGCTCTCTTTGGGATATAGTCCTGAACAGATTTTTTTTGTTCCTCACTGACTGACTATGCTTGTTGGTATTTTATATATATGTTTCATAAGTTATACTTTTAGGTTTATTTCAATTTATAACATTTTGTGGATTATTTTTAAGAATGTAGCTTGGTGTTTTTCACATCAAATGCGATTATGTATAACTATTTTTATTGTTTTTTTTTTTGTTTATTATGGTTTTGTATAGACTACCTCTTTCCGTGTTCTCTTTTCAGTTCACCGCCATACTTATTGCCACTACCGACGAGTTCAATTATCTCCGGTATACTGCTGGCAAACATTGCCTAAAATATTCCATCATACACGAGATTAACACAAAAATCAATTCAGCAAAAATATATGTACGGGCTTAGAGAGGTATAAGTTGGTGATTGTGTCTTAGGCTTAGTCTAGTTGTTAGCATTATGTATCGAACAAAAAAAAATCACTCTTAAATGGGTACGAAGTCAGGCCGGGACATTCACACCCAAAAAGGATAGCTAAACCTAAAGCGTTTCCGGTTCGGTCCTTTGGTTTGGTTACATAAATATATGCGGCAGCCAGCATTAAAGCATGCAGAACATTAACTCGGGATATAACAAGTACGAATAGTAGTATATGTGGTAAGGCTCTCCTGGTCTACACCGAAATATTTCCCTGCTCGGGGCCCTGACTTTCTTGGCTGTGTGTGTGTTGCGGGTATTTCTGGTGTTCGGTGTTCTACAAATCTTCCATTACAAAAACCAAAGCAAATCGAAAGTTTCAACTGAAAAGTGAATTAAGGTAACTGCATGCATAAGTATCGAGATTATCGGATGGGCTGCGTGAACGGATGATTTGGGGGCCGCAGACTGCTGCCTTGCCCCCTGTGTATATATATGTAGTATCGTAACTGGCGGATATCGCAAGGATATGCCTCCGTAGATTCGTATTCGTGTGTGTGTGGGTAAAGGTAAAGAAAACGCGTTAAGCTTGGGTGATGAGTTAAGCTAACGAAACTTTTTGGAGGAGGGATAACGCAAATACGAAACGCGGCCGCAAGGCCCCAAATAAAGTAGTTTCATAATTCAAAACTTGTGCAGCGGTATTAAGTCGTTCTATGTATTTACATAAACGTGGCATGTACATAGTAGAAATGCAATTAACAAATGTATTTTGAGTATTAAGTCTATTGTTACGTAAGAGAGAGAGGTCAAGGGGCAAAGGGGTCAACGCATCTATAATGTTACGTCTAAGAGAGTTCGAATTCAGTATCGAGTATTGAGTATTCTATCGGCTAGTACATGGATACTGGTACTGGTATCGCTCTGGCTACTCAACTATTATTCTGAGCACTTGTACTGTATGTACTGTACTGTACTGTACTAATACTGGTACTGGTACTGGTACTGGTCTAGTAAGTAGATTAGGCGGCAAGGCAACCAAAACTTAAATCATTCACACACTTTTCGGCACTTCAGCACTTGCAACCCCGCTGTGGCTTGGCCTAAACTCAATGGGCATCGAGGCGGACAGAGATGGAGAGAGAGAAAACATTGGCTACATCTGTATAATATATATAGTATATAATACTTGGTTAAAACTAAAAGGAGGCTAAGACTTATGTGTATTTCTTTTTTTTTCGGGTTTATTTTGTTTAATTGTAATTGTTTTGAGGGCGTTGCGTTGCGAACTTACCAAGCCGACGAGCAGAAAGAACACGAGAAATGTTCTTCCCAGGACAGTCTCACAGTAAACGTCACCATATCCTACCGTTGACATGGTCACAATTAGGAAATAGACACAGGTCCAATACGATAAACGATGAGCATTATTAAAATCCAGCGGATCGCCAGAGTTCTCCAGCTAAATTTTAAGTAAATGCAAATGCAATTTTATCAGTCGCCTCAGCGATCGGTTCATCTATTTGGACACTCCATAAACACATCCTGGCACATAAATATGTGCAGATATAGTGTAGGGATTCGGGCGTGCCCACAGGCGGTCTCTGTGCCAGAATGCAACGCGGCGTATGCGTAATTTTTTTGGTACTGGCTCTGTAGCACGCGTTGCAACCATGTCACAGAGGCACTCACCCAAGCAGGCACAACCGATCCCAATTAGTATGTGTGTGTGTTGTGTGTGTTTCTACATACCAGATGTATAATGCCCGCTGCTGTTAACCACACGGATATAAAAATTGATACTAGTTGAGCCAAGCGTATGGAGCTCGATGTTTTTAGTACGTTTAAATATTGTAAAATATCTGGAACAGTCATGAGACGTAGCGCTCGAAGAAATCGAAGACCTGTTCACGATAATACACACTCTATGTAATATAAGGCACACACGTCGATGTCTAATGTAGAGTAAGGCACATTGCATGCATACAAATCGATCAGGACTCTTGGTTCGATGTCTTAGCGTGTGAGTGTGTGTGTGTATGTGTAAAGCAATATAATTGTGTTTTGCGGGAAAAGGGGAGTCTTAGTTATCTGATTGCATTCCAATCACAATTGATCAACACCGATTTGTATGCATATAATTGGATAGTTTGGAATTTCATGGTATTAGGTTAATTTAATAGGGATTTGTTTCGCTTACCGATCCATGTTCGATCTAAATATATTGATACGAAGGACGGGGGTATTGTAAAATAATCTACAAAACTGTACATTTCTAACATAAACCAAAGCTTATCGGACGCCGCTATGAACTGTAAGGAGATTGTCAGATTGAAAGAACGAAAGGAAAAACGAAAGATTGTTTTAAGAATTTTCTCGTGTAAACCATAAATCATCGCTCCAACCAATTGATTCAAATAATTCGTTAAATCAACTCAGTGTGTGCGTCTGTCTGTCTGGCAGTGTGCAACTTACTCGTATAAAAAAGTAAACCATAAAAAATATATTGAATGCGAGATCGATCTGTTGAGTAATGTTATTACTCCACTTTTGGCATCTTTCGACTTCTTCGCTAGATGCATCAACAAAGTATATAATGAGGGATGCGATGCTGAGTATAAATACGAGTACGACCTGGAAAATAAAAGGTAAGATATATTAAATACTTATTTATTAAAAGTTGTGAAAATGTAATGAAAGGTGAATGAATGCATACACTTAGAATAATACAAGGATCGGTAAATAATTTCAAAATAAAAACATATTCAAACAGACTTACTTATACTAAACTTTGCATAAAACTATGCATAAAAGAGACTTATAAAAATGTGATATTTCTGCAAATACTACCTTAGCTTCTAAATTTTATTGATTTCCCCCCAAAATGTAGCAGCAGTTATTATGTTTAAAGGCCACGTGAAGTTCATTTCATAACTCATAAATTCATTGGCTGTTATGAAATAATCCCATGAACAATATACACAAGAGCCACCCAATCGGAGCAGCTGCTACAATTCAATTCCATAAATCACGGCCTTGTCAGATGACAACCACATTCGAACGCTCCATTGAACTCGCAGCCCACCTCCCGCAACCCCACCCACTCCCGAAAAGAGAAAGCGAAATAAATTGGAAAAAGGAAAAGGCCGCCAGCCGTAGAAAGGATAATCGGAAATTGTGCCTGCGACACACAGAGAGAGAGAGAGGCAAAGAAAAAGAGGAAACCGTAGTAATGTGCATTTTTAATTGCACACTTTGGCAGAGACCACGGACCCCGGGACTCGAACTCGAACTCGGACCCGTACCCGGACTCTGGCCACGGATCATTTGCCTCATCCGGACGGAAAACGCGCACGGCTGCTGGGCAATTAGTCGAGGCGCCCCGTTGATAAATCTGCGGCAGTCATGAAAGTTTTACAAGGTAATTTTGGATGCGACCGACTGGGCATTGAAATGCACTTGCGACGGGCCAGGATCCTGGGTGGGGAACTACTTAAATGTCAGGGCTTGCCAACAAACAACAGTTTCATGGCGGCCAATCGAGGTAGTTCAACTTCAGCCGGCTGCACTTTACCGGTGGTTACATATACAGTTGTGGTTGAAGTTTTAGAACTTATATGTAGAACAAGACAGAAAGATGACTTCGGATAGCTTCACAGTTCGCCATTTGATTAAAGATCCGAATTTAAAACCCATGATAAATGTAAAATTGATTATAAAATATTAAATATTTAGATATTATTAAGTTAGGATTTTAGTGGAGAATGGGAATATTTGTAAATGAATTTTAGCAATCACATGCTTGAGCCTCTTAGGCCCTTACAAACCCTCAAATAAACGCATTACCCTTCGTGTGAATATATATATGACTCCTTTACTACTTTGCAAGCGTCTGACTTAAATAAGATTACCCTGAAAGGGTATAAAAATACGTATTTAATATATTTATGAAGGTAAATCTTATTTCTTTACCTCAGTTAAGGACTTAATGTTGTTAGAAAGCAAATACTTGACTTTTACATAATTTAAACCGATAACAAAAACCCCTGCTATTATTTTGCACCCAAATGTATGCAAATATGTATCTGGTTATATGTACTTAATGCCAATGTAATTGCAATAGCTGATGTGCTATCGTTTCGTAATTACTTGGATAATCGAAAGCGAAGAGCCCGAGAGGAGAACTAGAGAAAAACTAAATTTGGCACGGGACAGGCACGCAAGCTATTTACTTAGGGCCATAAATTGAAATGTCTTGGCCCGGGCCTGGCTGGTTACTCATTATTCTTGCTCTGCGGCCTTTTGTTGGCATGCAAATTACACACAGAACCCCCTCCGTACCCCAGGAGTCCCCTTAGAAAGTTGTTAGTTGCGCAATAAAGTTTTTTTTGGGCAGCGGAGAAACTTTGCTAATATCAGAAGCCAGACAAGAATTTCAAAGTAAATTGCAAGGAGTTCGCAACGTGGCTGGTATTGCGTATACGTCATGTGGTGTCAGGCAACTGACATTTTCATTAGCCGCCTTGATCCCCACGAACTGGAGACCTAATGAAGCTCAAGCCCCATCTGACGTCATAGACAGGTCAAAGGATGGGAGGTAATAAATGCAGACTCCTTTTCAATATGGCGACAACCTTTTCTGACGTCTTCACTTTCACTCTGCCGCCAAATGAAGTTGGTTGGAAAGCGTGAAAACTGGGTCAATCACTCAGCAGAGCGGCCAAGCACCAGAGTTTTTCTTTGTAAGAAAAAAGCACTTAAGCCCTGCTGCCACCAAATTGCATCAGCAAGCGAACTTGGGAATCTGGGTCACGAGGCGAGAAAACACGTGTCCCACTCATAACATTTTCAATTCGATTTGTTGGCCCCTCTTTGGGCTGCTCTGCAATGATTTGTTCTGGCCATAATGCTGCGAATAGGTCAATCAATCTGAGAGCCCGCAAAGCGGACGTCAGTTTAATGGCCTCAAGTGCACGGCAAGAAAATGAAGAACTTTTAAAATATATCTTTTTTTTTTCTTTTATAGTTCTTTGAGAAACTACTCTTATTACCTATGAAAAGTGATCAGAAAAATCTTATTCAAGAAATTTAAAAATTAAACCATTTGAAAAGTTGTTTAGCTCTGAAAATAAAGAATATCGTTTTTATATACTTCCTTTTACAGAAAACCAAGAACCTTTTCTCTTTGAAACAATTCCTATTATTTCGAAAAGTGTAGCACTTAAAAACACAATTCCATTTCTGTCTGCTTCAGTTAAAATTTAAATATCTTTTTTATGGGCAGATGGAAAAACTCTTTCTGCCAGCACTCACATCTATGGCGTGACCAAGTGCAATCGGATGTGGGCGTTGTGGCCATAAGTGCTGGCTTTAAGCCGTTGCAACCAACTTCCGCGTTGGAGTCGCGACGCGCGGATTCCAAAGCCAATTAGTGCCAGCAGCAGCAGCATGGCTTTAATCCGCTTAGAGTTGCAGATAGTTCAATGAAATCAAAACGGCAGACAGCAGAGGAAAATCAAATGATAAACCAGAGAGTGCCATTGCCAGTGAAAGTGAAAATAAAAGTGGCCCAAAAAACAGAGCGGCAGAAATTGTGTAATATCCAAATGGCAAAGCCATTTATTTTGCCAGCCACAACAACAAGGATAAACAATACAAAAGGCAAAGGCACTGTTATGGGACACGGAAAGGGGCGCCTCACGAAAGGGCCACAAGGACTTGCCAAAACAGCTGCAGCCCACAGAAAGGCAACTCGACACTGTCTGCCAAACAGCGGAGCCAATTGGCTGCCAAAGCCTGGCGCAGGACTACAACTATAGAAGGCACACAAAAAAAAAACAGAAACCAGCTAGTAGCTACTCTAGGCCTGGTAATAAGCATTCACAATCTCCCCGCCAAGGGTGAAAGTGGAAATGGAAATGGGAATGGGATTGGGGATGGGGACGGGGCCGAGGCCGAGGAATGGGAATATGGATGTGCGCGCTGTTCCATCGATTTTCTTGCTGGTGGCATTTCCTTTTAAGCGGCTGCTATCCTGGCATTTACCATATTATTTACTGTTATTTGTTGTGGTTCCTTTGCCACCCACATACACACGCCCCAAACATATGCATACATCATTTTCTTGGATCCCTTTTTCCATTATTAGCTCCGAGGAGAGAGAAGAAACTATCGATAAATGTGCCTGCCATACGCAGGGACCCATGCGGCGTCGGGGGTGTCCTGAACATGGCAATAGTCCTGCTCGACCGCTGTGCAATTGTGTGACTGCCATTGTCCCAGTGACAACAGCTTTGAACTGCCAACTGTGGGGATACGGATAGTGCGTGGTCCAAGGCTGGACGCTATACATTTGACCCCTTGCAATCGGCCAGAGCCTGTCGCACTGCGGGAGAGAGGCGGTGTGTCCTTGACTGCGGAAGATTGCTTTTTGCCTTGGCCTACAGCCTGGCAATCAAAGTTTTAGTTGTTGCCCAGGATTACTAAAGATTTTTTGTAAATAACTTATATTACTTATAGAAACCAAAACCTAATAATAAAAGGTATGATAAGCTTTAAAAATCCCTTCAAACCTTGTCTAATATCAGTAGATTCTTGTTGAATCTGTCTGAACTTTCTGTATACATTCAAAATCATTATAATAACCTTTTCTTCCAAATTAAAACCAACTCCAACTCATTTCTCTCTGTGCACTTTCTATCAAAGTTATTTGCGACATATCACCAGAGGATTTACATGTTTGTGAATAGATTGCACAAGAACTTTTTCCCGGACAAATGCAAATATCTAGACGATAAGCTCCCGTCCAAAGTGTCGGCAACTTCAAATCAAGAAATGCTTATCGACGACATTACCTGAAATGCCCCAATAAGACCCACTAAATAGGCACCGAGCCCGGTTGAGTAATTAACTAACTCGCAGTAATGGATGGGTGGCGGTACGCCATGACGTATGCGTAATATTTGGACAAACCACTGATTCCAATCGGTCTTGGAGCCCATTGAAGTTAATTCCTTCTCCGCTGAGCGAGAAAGAGTGTAATGGCAAAAACCATCCCACACCCACTCCTCTCAGTCAATTTGTGCTCATGTATTTATTGTACATGGAAATGGCACATTTACTTTGCTGCTTCCGCTGTTGACACGAAATGGCTGCCCGAATTCAGCAATCGCAAACAAAATTGTACACGCAAGTGGGAGCAGGGAATAACATGGCTCGAAACTTGGCCAAATGCAATACCAAGGCACTCTCCTGCCACTTGGGTGAACTTTCGCAGCTGCAGCCAGGGACAAGGACGTTGTGTTTGGCTATGACTAGCAATAATTCCAGTAGATCTTTGAATTATTTATTGGACTTAGCGGACACTAAGAGAAATTATAGGTTCAGATATATTAAATATTACGGGAAATAATAAGGGAATTATTTATAAAAAAAAGAAACAATAGTAACTTTAAATTGCTAGATATCTTGTTATTTACCCAAAAAAACAATTTGAACTATTTAAAAAATGAATCCTTTAAATCTAAGTTCTAAAATTCCCTTTAATATTATATAAATAATAGTAAGGACTTCACATTTTTTTCAAGTGCTTTAATGCCACCATATGCGCGGCCAAAGAAACCCAGTGACCCCAACAACAAAAGAAATTCATAAATGATGGATGGTTGGTTAATGGTAAACAGTGAATGGCAAAAAGCGAATGACCAAACAGCCAATGGCCAATGGGTACTTACCAAAATTCGACCAGTTGTTGTTTGACCCGAGATAAGCTCCCCAGCCCAGTCTTTCGCTTCTGTCATAAAGGTTCCCTCGAACTCCTGTTTGTTGCGGGAGGCCTTCTGCTCCTTCTGCTTGGGATCGTTGGGCCCCAGGTCCGGCTCCTTGCGGCAGCAGATGAAGGCGAAGGCGCGCCATAGCAGCACCACGAGCAGGCCAGCAAGGAATGTAAAGATGCTGGACAGCAGAAAGCACCAGTACTTGCGCACCTTGAGACAATCATCGGCGTCGAATGGTGAATCTGTTGGATCGTCGGCCAATGATTCGACAGTGCTTTGGTCACACCCCGACATCCCCTGCAAAAGATCGGGACACACAATAACCAATTAGCGTTTGGTATTTGGCAATTTGTTAACCGAACTTGGCATAAATCAATACGACAAATATACAAATAACTGGCGGAAACAATGTTTACGTCATACACTTGACATTTAGGATCGACGGAATGCCTTTCTCTATGCATATATACGAAGGCACACTCGCTCGCTACAGAAACAAAATATATAGATACTATATAGTCTATAGCATATATTCCTCATCTTGGCGACGCTGGCAAATGTAAACAAAAACTGTGCCCGGCCAAGGGTGCCACTATGAAAAGTCTTAGCGCAAAATGAGTTCACAAATAAAAGTCTTAAGTTTATTTAGCCGCAAAAGTTGTTATTTCTACACAGAAAAATGGAATGCTAAAGAGTTGAATGCATTTTTATTAATAAATTTGAATTAGGAATAGGGCAAACAGTGTTTTTTACAAATATTTCTTATAATTTAAACATAATCTTAAAACAAAACTACAAAAGGAATCTTAAGAACAAGCTCTTTAGCTTCAAAATACGTAGAATAAATGTCAAAAGTTTATTTAATTATATTACATCTAAGCTCAAATTATATATAAAACCAACTTGGGTGAATATTAACCTATTACATTTATATTTTTCCGACAATTTCACATCAGTTTTAGACTATATATTCATTAGATACTAAATGCATCCTCCTTACATTTGTCAATGTGCTGCTAAAATTCGTGCCGATCAAATCGCTCGACATTTTGGCTGTTTACATTGCGCCACTGACACACACACACGTCGTCGAATTAATATAATATTCACTTGATATTCACTTGATGGGTTGGATATTCAAGTGCAGGCGAGTAGGACCGAAATCCGAAAGCAAAAGCCAAGTGCCAAGAGCCTCACAATGCGAAACGGAACGAAAACTTGGCCCGCCTTTTATAAATAGCATCAAACAAATCTGTTATTTTTAAAGTGATCTCCTCCGCGGACACACGCACAGCGACACGGGCGAAGACGACGGCGAGAACGGCGACGACGACAAAAATTCTCATAACACCGGCCAAAGGCCATCTACACTGGGCATGGGCCTGGTTCCGATCTATATCTATTGCCGATCTGGCCACTCAAGGTGCTATTGTCGCCTGCATTCACTGGGGACTTGTGGAACTCAAACTGGGGACAATTCACAACCGGAAAGGCCAACGCACTCGGTGAATCACTGCACACACGCATGTGTGTTTGCAATTTGCACGGATATGGATATGGATACGGGCACGGATACGGGTGTGGGAGCGGGCACGGACCCCCGGTATATATGGATACCGAATATATTATTCTATAATGGTGGATGTCACACACGACACGCACGCGATCTAAAATCGAGCTGAGTGAAAAAGGAGGCACCGAGCGAACCGCACAACTGGCGTCCACCAACTGAACGAGCCGTTTTCCAATTGCCCCGCCGACGACAACGACGATACGCGGGCTCTTGGCGCTTCTATCTATATCTCCTGCTGACGGAGCTCCGACTCGCTCTCACTCTCTGCCCAGCTCACCCACTCTCCGGGCCGCTCGCCATGTCTCCCCGCTCTCCGGCGGATTGCAGATTGCGGCTCTGAGGCTCTATGGGAATACGCCTCTTCGGCTGACCGCCAAAAGTGTCAGGGCAGGCGACAAACTTGAATTTAATTAAAAGGCAGCGCCAAGACAAAGAAAATTGAATAGGGTATTGGAATAACGAGGATATACCCTAACTTAAGGGTCATTACTAATGCTGGGCACTTCTAGGATTTCAAGGATTTAAAAGGAATTAAGATCAGAGATGATTGAATTTGGTGAAAAGAAATATTTGTTACATTTTGATTGCTTAAATATTTTTACAAAATTTAATATAAAATCTATAAGCAATGAAAATATTTTAAAAATCTGTCTACTTTTAATACATAATAATTATATAATAAATAATATTAATAATATAATAATCAACTTTTTTAAGTTACTTAATGTTGCTTATTGTTCATTGAATTCAGATTAAAGAAACTCTTTAAAGAAACTATTCACATAATTTATGTAATGTGATATATTATATTTTTTTATCATAAATTTGTTAATTAATAAGTTTTGGTAAAATTGTCGACTTTATTGTCTGTCCAGGATGATGCCCATGTTGACAGTACCCTTGGCAAGGGCAGCCAGCATATTAAAGAACTTTCTGCATGTGTGTGTGTGTTGCCAACAATGAATTATTGTTACAACAAGAAAAACAACGGCAGGCCGAATATAAATAAATAAATTATGAGTTCGCTTCTATACATTTTTGTTTTGTCTCTCTCTGCTTTGTGCCGTGCGCCTATACACACACTTTTTGCATTCCTTTTTGTATGACCCCACGGTCCCCGGGCAACACCCGCCCCTAGAGCGGGGGTTGGGGTTGCTGGGGGTACCTGTTAGTGGGCGGGAAGGTGGAAGGTTAACGGTTACTGCTACAGTTAACTCGGGCGAGTCACGCCATGCCGCCGCCAGTTAGCTGTCGTTTCATAATTTACGCGCTTTGTTTGCTATTTCCTGCGGGGGCAGCCGTGGTAACAAGTTGGCCCAGTTTGTTTGCACATGCCACTATTTCCACTAGCCCTCACATCACGTTCCTATCCCCATCCCCCATTAACCTCAGCCTCATCTCCGTCCCATCATCAGCCTCAACATCATCATCATAAGCCAACGGCGTGCACTGTATTTATAGTTTTCATTTCAGTTTTTTTTTTCTGCATGTTTTTTTTTTTCAATGCTTGGGCGGTTAGGTTCTCCGCTTCATTGCATTTACGCAATTAAAAATAGCGAAGAAGAGAAAAATTGTTATTCAATAAAATTTTGTTGACTATTTTTAAGCAGGATTCACCTTGAATTTATGGGCGAACATGGCGAATGCGCAATATTCATTTATTTTATGTACAAAGTGAAAGTTAAAAATAATAAAATAAATGTATAACTAATTAGTAAATATAAACATTAACATTTTGAATACTAATTTTCATCACTTTGCCGTTAAGGGGTAACGAGGCGTATACGCAATATTTCATGAGAAGGGATTACTATTTGAAATATTATATCAAAAGTAATGGAACTAAATTCCCCTGGCCATTAAGTCAATTATGTTTACACATCCAATCCTTAATTTGTTAGTGAAAAAGCCAAAGTCAATATACTAAGGAAATTGGTTAAAATTTAAAAGTGGCATCGCGTTTCATTTGTGTAAACACACGGACACGTTTCCTTAAAATTACACGGGTCTTGCCTGTTTGTGTATCTGAATTAATTTCCCAGCGCTTTCATCGATCCAAGCGAAAATGCAGTGGCCGGCGTGGAGTGAATGAATTATTTATAACATGGCACTGGGCACCGAGACTATGGCTTTTATTCGACCAAGTCGCCTTAGCTGGCCCAAAGATACTACTGGGCCAAGTCAGCAGGGACAGGCGACTAATGAATGCGGGTGGTTGCGATAGCAAAAAGATATAAATTATGCCGCCAGGCCGATTTCGCTGTCATTCCGGCGGGATCAGGTTGGGAGGTCGTGGCGGACACCAATCTAACGGATGAAGTCACACGGCGGCCGTAGGCGGCACAGGCAGTGGCTTGATAATAATTTACATTGCGAACTATCGATTTTGGGGGCGTGGGCGAGCCCCTGACCAGCCCTATCTTGACGCATGTCCGTCAAAGCGAAACGCTCATAGAGAACAAGACACAAAAGCGGAGACGGAGAGCTGACAACTGACGAAGCTGACAAATACCCTTCGACTTTTTGAGCAATTTATGGCCAGCACTTGGCCCGCTGATTGGGTCCGTTGATTGCCGGCTGGCTGCCCCTCCATTCCGTCCGTTGGACACTGGCCAAGGCCAGAGGGCTTAGGCTGCACTTGGTCGGTGGTCACTAGTGAGTGCCGTGTCGGTGTTCTATGCTCGGTGTGCCACATTCTCAAAGGTCACGCGAGCCACTGCGAAGGGGTGAACCCCTGGATGAATGGACGGGCGCAAAGTGATGGAAATCCCATTTATTAAATGAAGCGAAACGAATTCGAAATGTATAGTAAAAGGGCTGTGGGAGGGGCAGTATAAAATCGAAAAGAATTATATGGGTTATATGGTAGTAAAAAAATGAAATATATATATACAACTTATTGATAAGTAAATAGATAAAGAACCGCTATCTTTGGAAAATCTATTTAGGGGAAATCACATTTTTTCTTCTAAGGTCTTTTAGCTTTTTAATAAGCTTTTTTGGAGACATTAGACATTAATAATATGACAAATATAAATAAGAGAGCCGATTCCAGAAGACTTATAATAAATAAATAAATATATATCAATAGTTCTTAATATTATATAATATTTCCTAAATAAAAATGCATTTATAATACTTCTTAAACCCTCTAAAACTAATGAATAAAGCTATATGCTCTTTATAAAGAGCTAATGATGATAGATAGCCTAGGTATGAACATAATCCAAGAAATATTTAGTGTGAATTTTATTTAAATTGTTTATTTTATTTATATATTTTATATTTTTAATATAATGATGATTCCAAGATCATTGAAATGAGCTCAAAATGCAAAACAAATTGATAACAGGACAGGGGTCAAGAGCCAGTAGGAAAGATCATTGAAAATGTATTCTTTATATGCAAAACGTTAGCTCGCTTGATGGATTGATTGATTGATTGACAGACGAGCTGTAGATATGACCCCTTGGTGGAACCTACTAAACGTGGACGTGAGTTCTACAAACTGATTGCCTCTTCACAAGCGCGGCGAATTTACGAGTATTTTTGGGGATTCACGTATGACATCAAGGGCTTTACCTTTGGCATAATGGGCGGATAGAACGGTGGCAGTTCGTGACAATTCGGACACCAGCTGGCCATGTTTGATGGATCGCTTTTCCGATGGGAGGACCCAGTGTAGTTGTTGGCGATGGACGCGTTGTGGTCGTGGTTGTTGTGGAAGTTGTGATTGATTTCCGCCGGCTATCCGTTTTCATATTCGCTTTCCTTACGGAAAAGTGTTTGTGTGATATTCGGTATTGGATTGGTGTTGTGGCAATCGGGCTTGTGTGCAGTTGGTGGCTTGGTGAATGTGTGTGCAAACTACTGGCGGACGGGACTACTCACCTAGTACTGGCTAAACCACCGAGGCAGGGCTCCAGGGCTGCCAACATTCACACGCTCAAATCGCACATCAATGTGTAGACGATTTGTGGGTTGTTGCAGCTGCTGTTGCACGTGGCAAATGGCTTGTAATCTGGCTTGCGTTTTCCTTTGTCGCTGTTGGGGGGCCTTTTTTCCGGTTATTTCATAGTTGCCTCTCGAATTTCACAGCTCACTTGCATGGTGTTTATACGGGCGTTATCAGTTTCATTGTGCGTTGTTTAGGTTGTGTTTTGTTTGCTCGTTTCTTTGTAATTTTGATCGATAGTTTTGCTTTTGAATTTGAATTTGAATTTGTTGTTAAAGTTGTATTTGAACTTAATTAGATTAGAAATTCCGTTTAGTCACACTGCTCCTCATGTTTCCTTCAAAATTTCTCAAATGTGTTAAGCTGCAAGAGATTTATTTGTGGTTTCGAGCGATATATTAAATATTATTTAAATTGGCTTCGCACCGGCAACCGGCGAGGGTAATTAATTATATATATCATTTTTTTAGTTATGCTGCTGTCATCATTATTTTTATTTTAATTTCTTTACGACCGCCGACATTTGTCAATGTTATTAAATGCTTTAAAAATACTTATATATTTGTATTTTGGCTTGGGACTGCTACCGCTGCTGTTGGTTTGTCATTTACAATATTCACGAAAAATAGATAAAACTTTTAGGTATTTAATTGTACTTTTCCCGATTCTTTTTCAACAAAAAAATAAGCACGAAAAACAAGGCGGTCAAGTAAATAAATAAATAAAGACGCGAAGCAAACTTCAAAGCAAAATCAGTTGAGAAGCCCAGCTCTTTTACTCTCTCTCTTTTTATCTGCCTTTCTCTCTCCCTATTCTCAGTTCTCGCTGTCTCAGAGACTTCTCTCTCATTTTCTGGCTGCTGGTAGGCTTCTGCGCTTTAGAGTGATTCCGAAAATGGTCGAGGGGGAAAGCTTTTTCTTGACCAACAAACGTCGCACATGGATTTTTATTAAGCATACGCAATGTGGAACCGAATCCTAGGCAATTTAACAAAAAAATACTATTCGTATATTATTTCTAGCTTTGATTTACTCTCAAGATGTGAAACTGTTTTTATTTTAACTATTTTAAGGGGATAACCTAGTGCTCGTTGATTGTACAAGTTAGCGGGGCTTTGCTGTCCTGGGGCTTCGTCCTTTTGCCTGCGGCATGTCGTTGAAACGGAAACACACTGCCCTAGTTTTTAGTTTTCCTTCGTGTCGTGCCGCACACACATACACGTAACACATTAAGGACCTAGCACACACACACACACACACCAGCTAAGGACACAGGACTTAACAAGCTTCCTAATGCGACTGCAAACAATAGAAGCAGGACAAATGCCGAGTGAAATCAAAGTTGCATTTCCATAATAAATAAGCGGGCGACACAATTTCCCGCAGCACGCCAACAAGCTGGAGGAAGGAGGTGCCAGGGAGGGGCAGCAGGACGAGCGAGCGGCTCCGAAGGGGAAATGTAAACAGAGCTGAGCTCTCGTCCTGGCCGCGCATTGAACTCGCCTGGGCTGCCAGTATATGCCAGTGGATATTGGATGGCTTTGTAGGTATCTGCGTATCTACTCCTGGCCCACGCACACACACCAGAACACAGACACGAAGGAACTCGGCCAGTGACTGACTGACACACATATACTCGTAACACACGAAGCCAGAGGCGGACAGCGAGTAGGAAGCAACAAAAATAACATTGACGATGACAGGGCAAGGGGGCCCCGAACGATACAAGTGTATCTCCGGCCTGGAACATCGACTTTATCATCGGGTCCCTTCGTTTTTGGGGGACTTGTGGTGGTGTGGTGCTATGGTGTGTGCTCGTTTTGTGCGTTCGTTCGCATGTGAAACGAAAAACTGGCTCACTGTGCCGTATCTATGCGCATGTGTGTGTGTGTGTGTGTCACTATGTTGTATCCTTTAAATGAAAACCTGCAGCAGCAGTTCCTTTAACAGCTCGAAGAAAAAAAGTCCCTTTAAAATTTCCATAGCCTACTTTCAGGCCTCGCATTTCATTTCGCAAAAAAGGCAACCTTTATTGCCATCACTTTAATTATTCCACACACACACGCATGCTTGGACATGCTATTTTTTAATTGAATTTCCTGTGTGTATGTGTGTCGTCGCACATTTTCACATTTTCTTTGGTTCACTCAAGACCGTCTTTAACGGATACCGAAATTTTGCACAATTTCCACGATAATTGCCTGGACTTGGAGCGCTTAGCCGTTCATGTTTTTTACCAATTTTGCACACTATAATTGGCAGAAAACGCAGTTTGCAAAATTTTTCACTTTCCTGCCTCCATGACTGTGTGGGTGTGTGTATATAAAGGCAGTTTTCCACACACACACACACACACAGCACACACTCACTTAGGCCCAGACGCGACGCGCTCCGGCCAATAGAACCAACCTTTCTCGTCAGCAGCGTATACAATTCTGCGCGCTATGGACTCCGACGACTTGCAACTCGGCGGCGATACCGATACGGATACGGTTGGTCTAAGCTCGCCTTCCGAGCTTTTCAACTTTTTCGGAGTGTTGCGGTGCCGTGGGGCCACGGGCCACTGGACGACGCTATGTTCGATTCATCAGAACTGGCGCCAAAACACATTCACTATGAATGACTCTGGTTGGTGGTGTGCGTGTGTGTCAGCCGCACTTCCTTTGCTGGCGGCACATGCGGCGTATGTGGCATATTGGGCAGGATTGAATACCATGCCTTGGGTACTATAAAATAATAAATAACTATAATGTATTTAAATACACATAATAATAATAAAGCCCAGAATTAGCTGTTTTTCACGTATTTATTAATGATTTTAGGAAATCGGAAAAATACATAATAACAAAGAAAAATTTCATATTTCATGTGATATTTCTTCTTGGTAATTAGTGAGTTTAAGGAATCGAGAAAAATACAAAATAAAAATTAAATTCTTCATGTGATATTGATTCTTACTTTCTAGATTTCATAGAATTTGAATAAATGCGTATGGAAATGTTATTATCAGATCTACGGTTTTGGCCTTATAAGCATTTTACACGATTTGAGAGAATTTCGTTGGTTCATATTCCACGAGCCCCACCAAATGCCATCAGCAGACTCCAATATGGTTTTACAATTGTAGTATTTTCCATTCAAATTGCTTAAATAAAAATATAATAATAATTAGTTGTGATATTTGGTAAAGTAATGACCTGTAATGCCGCAGAAATGTTGACTTTTTTAAGTAACTCTCTGTTATTTTTATAAACAAATTTCTGAGATATCGCTTTTATGTATTATATTTTATTATTCTTACCAATCAGTATTATTCCACCATCCAACACGTTCGTTTATACTTTGAGAATTACATTGTCTCGTATATCCATTATGTTCTTGCCGTTGCCATAAAAATTTGCAACTTACACCACGCCTCAAGCAATCGCCAGCATTTCCAGAGTATTGACCAAGACTCGTTAATGTGTAGTCTTCTGCGTGGCTGCCAACCACAAAGTGATCATATCGAGCATAAGCCGTCGCATTATCAAAATCAACGAGTTCAATATATAATTCATATCTTTGGTTTGTAGTCAGCTCATTCAATTTTTTAGAGCCTAGCCAGAATTCTCTACTTAGGTCACCAAAGCCTTCATTATAATCTGAACCCGAACCTCCGAAAAGTGTGACACTTCCATTGATTCGACGCTGTATGAGCATCCAACCAGGACCGGCTTTTGGGAGATCCTCAAAAACTGCCGCAAATCTAGAGCCATTAGGAAGCTTTACAAATTGAATTAAAGGCATTTTAGTGCAGTTAAGGTAGACTCGAGAGTTACTGTTATCATCACTGGAGTGAATTTGTAAAGTATACCTAGATAGGTTGTTTTCTAGGTTCTTTATCTTGGCTGCATCCGCTTTAGTTTGGGACTCCAGCTTGGCGATCTGCTCATCTTTATCCTTCAGATCGTTTTCATATTTCTGAGTTATATCCAAAGACACCTTTATTTGGGATTCTAGGTTAGCGATCTGCTCATCCTTCTGTTTAAGATTGATTTCGTTTTCCTCCGATTTATCCTCCAATTCAGAGATTTTTTCGTTTCTACTCTTAAGTTTACATTCTAATATCTCAATATCAGCAATCAATTCGTCAATTTTAGTTTTATGCTGATCGCAGTTCGTTATTTTTAGGCTTTGAGCAGTGTTATCTTTAATTAGATCGATTGATAACTTCAATGATTTAATTACATCCTCTTTATCCTTTGTCTTTTCCTTTTCAGTGGCCAGATTATTGTCAGCTATTGTCAGCTTGGCAGCAAGATCGTTGATTTTTGTCTGATTCCGCTTAATAGTTCTTTTAAGACCCTGGATAATGCGTTTTTGATCGCCATCTGTTATACCCAGCAACTCCATATCCGAATCGCTGCTCTCCTGAAATATCAATATATAAATATTTATATATACATATGTTCATACATATGTAAGTATATATGTATGTATAGAAGTCAGCATGAAAAGTTTTTAAAGGTACAACATATATTTACATATGTATGTGCAAACATACGCAAGCTTGTAGAAATAGGGGATTCCCACACTCAAATGTAAGAGGAACGTAGCCCCGTGATCAGTGGCGAATATTGACTTCTCATTGAGGGGTGCGGTCAGAGTAAATCTCAAGTTGGTTGGTGGTCAAATAAAGAATCACGACCTCTTGGAAGGGCGATCGGACCCATTGTCCCCCTGCATCCATCACTGCCCTTGTTAAGCGAGGGCCAAGTGTACATACATACACACATATGAGCATATGCATGTTTTTACACTTACCGAATTATTCTCTGTGGTTGACTCAAGTGCTGATCCACAGGACTCTTGGGAGAGATTGTTAAGGTTGTCAACGGGTCGCATAGCGATCAATGTTATGCGCAATTAACTTGTACTTAAACTGCGCTTAAATCGCGCTCTACAGAAATGTGCAATCTTCAAAATGAATGTGACCAGCTACAAAAGTTCAAGGCAAGATCGGAGTTTTCGATAAACACCGCTTGATCGGCCATCGATGTTCTAGGACCTTTTTTATATCGAAATAGGCAGCACTGGTCGATTATAAGGGTTTCAGCGTTTTTAAACAATAATTACCTACAAAATTACGTATTTTAATAATAATAATAAAGCCAAGAATGAGGTGTTTGTCATATATTTATTAATGGTTTTAAGAAACCGGGAAAATACATAACGAATAAAAAAGAAATACTCAAAGTGATATAACAAATTAAATTTAAATGCTTCATGTGATATTAGTTTATACTTTCTAAATTTTCATAATGTTGTATGAAAAGTTTATTGTCAGATCTTGCTACGGTTTTGGCCTTATAAGCATTTTACAAGATTTGAGAGAATGTCGTTGGTTCATATTCCACAAGCCCCACCAAATGCCATCAACAGACTTCAATATAGTTTTACAATTGTAGTATTTTCCATTCAAATTGCTTAAATAAAAATATAATAATAATTAGTTGTGATATTTGGTAAAGTAATAACCTGTAATGTCGCAGAAATGTTGACTCCTTTTTAAGTAGCTCTCTCTGTTATTTTTATAATCAAATTTTATGTATTATATTTTATTATTCTTACCAATCAGTATTATTCCACCATCCAATACGTTCGTTTATACTTTGAGAATTACATTGTCTCGTATATCCATTATGTTCTTGCCGTTGCCATAAAAATTTGCAACTTACACCACGCCTCAAGCAATCGCCAGCATTTCCAGAGTATTGACCAAGACTCGTTAATGTGTAGTCTTCTGCGTGGCTGCCAACCACAAAGTTATCATATCGAGCGTAAGCCGTCGCATTATCAAAATCAACGAGTTCAATATATAATTCATATCTTTGGTTTGTAGTCAGCTCATTTAATTTTTTAGAGCCTAGCCAGAATTCTCTACTTAGGTCACCAAAGCCTTCATTATAATTTGAACCCGAATCTCCGAAAAGTTCGACACTTCCATCGATTCGACGCTGTATGAGCATCCAACCAGGACCGGCTTTTGGGAGATCCTCAAAAACTGCCGCAAATCTAGAGCCATTAGGAAGCTTTACAAATTGAATTAAAGGCAATTTAGTGCAGTTAAGGTAGACTCGAGAGTTACTGTTATCATCACTGGAGTGAATTTGTAAAGTATACCTAGATAGGTTGTTTTCTAGGTTCTTTATCTTGGCTGCATCCGCTTTAGCTTGGGACTCCAACTTGGCGATCTGCACATCTTTATCCTTTAGATCGTTTTCATATTTCTGAGTTGTGTCCAACGATACCTTTATTTGGGATTCCAGGTTAGCGATCTGCTCATCCTTTTCTATAAGATTAATTTCGTTTTCCTCCATTCTATCTTCTAATTCAGAAATTTTTTCGTTTCTACTCTTAAGTTTACATTCTAATATCTCAATATCAGCAATCAATTCGTCAATTTTAGCTTTATGCTGATCGCAGTTCGTTATTTTTAGGCTTTGAGCAGTGTTATCTTTAAGTAAATCGATTGATAACTTCAATGATTTAATTACATCCTCTTTATCTTTTGTCTTTTCCTTTTCACTGGCTAGATTATTTTCAACTATTATCAGCTTGGCAGCAAGATCGCTTATTTTTGTAAGATTCTTTCTCTTAAGACTCTGGATAATGCGTTTTTGATCGCCATCTGTATTACCCAGCACCTCCATATCGGAATCGCTGCTCTCCTGAAATATCAATATATAAATATTTATATACATATGTTTGATGTGTTTAAATGTTTAAGTTTTTACAAATGTATAACACCAAATTTAAACAATAGTTTCTTTGTTTTACATTTTAAGAACGTAACCCCTTAGTTTATAATAAATCCAAGTTTCGCTTAACACGAGTTTTTTTAGAAACGTAGCCCCGTGATCAGTGGCGAATACTGACTTCTCATTGGGGGGTGCGGTCAGAGTGAATCTAAAGTTGGTGGTCAAATAAGGATTCACGACCTCTTGGGGCCGATCCCCATTGCCTTCCGCCTGCATCCGCCACTGCCCTTGTTAAGGGGGTCTTCTCATTGGGCAACTTTTTTTTTCGATTTTTTTTTTTTTGCATTTATTTATAGCTTGGGATGGTGTGTATATGTCCCCAAAAGGATTTTTAGAAATTCGAAATACTTTAGAAGATACAGTCTTTTTTGTGAAGCAAGATCTATGCAAAATGAGCTTTTTTCAAACTTCAAACGCGTTTATCTCGAAACCACGTTTTTCGAACTGGCGGCCATATCTCCAGTTCAACTAAACCGATTTTCATGAAACAAAGTGGAATCGACGCAGAATTGTCACCATTTTCGGCTGACGGAACAGATTTTTTAAAATTTTTTTTTCTATTTTTTTTTACACTAAACTACAAAAAAAACGCCCGAAATCGAATTTAATTAAAAAAAAAAATCTGTTCCGTCAGCCGAAAATGACATCTATTCTGATTATAACCCCGTTTTTATTTTTCATTTCGGACGCTCTGGAGACCCTGAATCGTGGCCGCCAGGACGACACCTTTTTTTTCGACCACCAAGTTTGAAGTCTCATTACTCTTTGAACAACCCTCGTATCGAGGCAAGAACAACTTTTTTAGTTACTTTGAACATTTTTGAATACAATAAATAAAAAAAGTTTTCAATTATTCTTTGCGTTTTCAAATAAGAATTTTTTTAAAAAGGGTCAAAAAACGGCTTTTGAATGAGAAGACCCCCTTAAGCGAGGTCCAAGTATACATACATACACACATATGCGCATATGTGTGTATGTATGTTTTTACACTTACCGAATTATTCTCTGTGGTTGACTCAAGTGCTGATCCACCGGGCTCTTGGGAGAGATTGTTAAGGTTGTCAACGGGTCGCATAGCGAACAATGTTATGCGCAATTAACTTGTACTTAAACTTTGCGCTCTACAGAAATTTTTTGCAATCTTCAAAATCAATGTGACCAGCCACGAATAGTGTTTTTAAGACAAGATCAAAGTTTTCGATAAATATCGCTTGCTTGGCCATCGATGTTGTAGGAGTTTCGCTATAGGCAGCACTGGTCGTTCATAAGGGTTCCAGCTTTTTAGTGTGCCCGAGAAGCCGCGAAAGCTTTCGATATTTTTATCAAACCGGGCGTTGAGTTTTTCCCCAATCCTCGCAAGTCATCTCAACACTACTCCATAAGTTGTCAGAATCCGCTCAAGGATTCTGAAGACATCAGGAGCAGCAGCGGGAACATGAAGACGGCTGTGCTGGGCGCCGGTCTGAGCGGCCTTTCCGCCGGCTACTATCTGTTGCGCCGGTTCGGCAAGCCGCTGACCATCTACGAGGCCCTACCGCGGGTCGGGGGCTGGGTGCGGTCGGAGAACCGCAAGGATGGTAACTTCATTTTCGAGAGCGGACCGCGAACCATTCGGCCCGTGGGAGAGGCTGGAGCCAATACCTTGGAGCTGGTGGAGGAGCTCAAACTGGCGGTGAAGCCCATTCCACGCAGTCATGTGGCTGCCCGCAATCGGATGTTGTATGCGAAGGGACAACTGTGTCTTCTGCCCAACGGACCCAAGGGTCTCTTCGGTGTCCTGCCGCCCTTCACCAAGCCGCTGTACAAGGCGCTGCTGCGGGATCTGTTCACCAAAAGCACACCGGTCAAGACGGGTGACGAGAGCATCTACAGCTTCGTGGAGCGCCGGTTTGGCAAAGAGATCGCCGACTACGCCATCAGCCCCATGATCTGCGGCATTTGTGCGGGGAACGCCCAAGAGATTAGCGTCCGCTTTTTAATGGAAGGTCTCTTTGAAAAGGAGCAGAAGTACGGTGGTGTGCTCAAGGGGACCCTCTATGCGCTCTTCCAAAACAAAGAGAAAGACTCCAAGGAGGGGTTGTTCGCCCAGGGGCAGCCCAAGCTGTATACGCAGGCGCTGCAGGAGAAGTGGGCCATGTACGGCCTGCAGGGTGGCCTGGAGATCCTGCCACGCACCATGCGAAAGTACCTGGTGGAGAGGGATGTCAACGTACAGCTGAGCAACGAGTGTCGGAACCTGTCCTTCAACAGCTCTGGCGCCCAGATGACCATCAAAGATGCGGAAGTGCCGGTGGAGCATGTGGTCAGTGCCCTGCCAGCTCACAAGCTGGCGCCTCTTGTAAAACAGCAGCATCCCTCGCTGTGCGCCGAGCTCTTGGAGATTCCTTACGTTGACGTTGTGGTGGTGAACCTGCAGTTCCAGGGCAACCTCCTTAAGCAGGATGGATTTGGTCTGCTGGTGCCGCCCGTAGAAAAACTGCCCATTCTGGGCGTAATCTTTGACAGCTGCTGCTTCGACATGGGCGGAAACACGATCCTCACCGTGATGATGGGCGGCCACTGGTTCGAGCAATGGTTCGGCAATCGTCCCAGCCAGAAGCAGATCCTCGACCTGGCCACTAGCCATGTACAGAAGATTCTGCAGATCAGCGAGGAGCCCAAGTTTAGCCGCATTCACACACTGCACAAGTGTATCCCGCAGTACACGGTTGGCCACAAGCGGCGCGTGGAGAGCATTAGAAACTATATCAAGTTCTTCAAGTTGCCTTTGTCGCTCTGCGGAGCCGCCTACGACGGTGTGGGCATTAACGACGTCATCCTGTCCGCCAGACGTCAGGTGGAGGCAATGCAATAGCGGAGCAGGCAGTGTCCTGGTTTGGTTTAAGCTTACTTAGCTGACATGCCCCAAAATCCCATTATTCCACATTTCTTTTCGTTTGTTACTTGTTTTAATATTATAAATCTGTACATATGAGTGGGCTGAGGTCCTTTGCTTACTTTCCGTGGCCACCTAAACAGGGAGGACTTTTCTCCGGCTCCTGCTCCGGCTCCCACTGCTTGGGCGTCTTAGCTTCTATGGACAGGGCGTGCATGAACTCGAAACCCGCTGCTGCCAGTGCATTCTTGACGGTATCATTGACCAACCGATGGCGCTGTGGCGGAACAAACTCGTTAATCACCTAAAAATCCAGGTGTTTCCACACTCACCTTGATCAGGGTCAGGTCGTTGAACTTCTCAGAGACCACAAACACTCGGAAGTGTGACTCCGAACGCTTGGGCACATTGTGCTGCGGCGATTCGTTGATGACCTCCAGGAATACCGGCTTCAGTTCTGTGGTCAGCGCCTTGCGCATTGCCGACTCGATGGGTGGATACTGCCCTGCCTGCTGCGACATGGTGGCTCTGGAGTAGATCTGTCCCAGCCCGCTGATCGTGGGTGCCAGTTGATTCAGGTTTCGGGAGGAAACTCCAGCGAAGCGGCGGAGCGTTAAATTTAACATGATTCCAGTATGCTTCTCGCACAGCTGTTCTCAATTACATAAACAACTATCGGGTGACTATCGTCGTCGGAGGCGTGCGGTAACACTTATCGATAACAGCACCGAGTGAAAGTTTTAAAAAATAAAATTTTTTAACGGAAATATGCTTTTGACAGAGTTTTCTGGGATTGAGGTGGAATGTTTAAGTAAACATTATTATATTATTAAAATTTGCATATAAGCGTACAAAAATGTGCCATCAAAAGCAAAGAAATCGAATCAGTTATTACTTAAATTACTTTATTGGGGCCAAAATCAACAGTTAGCGCAGCACACGCTCTAGAAAAGATTCCTATGGCTATAAACAATCATGCGAATATCAAGAGTATAATCAAGTGAGTACAAAAAGTCTCCTTCACAGCACTGCGCCAGGTCAATAGTCAACCAGTTTCTTGAGCTTTGGTGGGGCCGATATGACGACCCGTCCCCGATTTGACGAACCACTGTTACCGCTGCCGCCATGGCCGTAGTCGGCCTCTCGGTCTCGATCCCGTCCCCGCGTCCGCTCGTGCTGCTGCTGCTGTTGCTGGTACTGCTGTCTGTATCGTTCCCGCTCTCTATTCCGCTCCATGCTGCGCTCCCGCTGTCTCCTTCGCCGGGACTGACTGCGCCGACTGCGAGAACGACGGCGATCCCGACTGCCACTGCGCCGCCGGCTGTGGGAACGACGTTTCCGTTCCACGCGACTGCCACTCCTGGAGCGGGAACGCTGCCTCCGGTTGTACCTGGGACTGGGCGTTCTTGTGCGTCGCCTCCGTTCCGTTCGGCTGGTGCTCCGCCTGCTGTGCGGATCCGGTGGAGGAGTGCGCCGGCGACTTGGCGATCTGCTGCGACTGCGACGAGTTGAGGACTTGGCCAGCTGGCTCTCCGATGCCACCGATTCGGCCTCACTGCCAGAGAGCTTTCCGCTGGAGGGCGTGCCGTATTTGTGGCGTAGCTCGCGACGCCTGTGAATATGGTGATGTGAGAGGACTGGCCGCCAGAGCCACCCACACCCACAATACTCACCTTCGACGCAGTTTCAGCGCCAGCTCCCGCATCTCGTCCTCTCGCTCCTGTTGCTGCAGTCGCTCCCGTTCCGTTTTCTCAATTTCCGCCCGCTTGTCGGCTTTATCTGCAATAAAAAAGGAATTTTAGTATTTTACTCCGAAAAATAAAAGCAGGGGCTTGGTGAACATCACACTACACTCCGGGGGGCTTACATTGCCGGTTCAGCAGGTTTTGCATCTTTCGCTTAAGCCGCTCGCGCAGATTGGGGCGACCTCCACTGCTGGGATGTCCAGAGCCCTGTAAAGGTCACAATGTGGATATTTAGCAAGGCCGAAACGAGATTCAGATATCAAAGGGAGCAGGGTCGGTCTGTCGAAAGTGTGGTGGGAAGTTGGGTTCGTTCAATACGTTGTGTGACTTCCACTGACTAACTACTAAAGGGACAAGCAAGGTTCGGCCACTGAAATTGTTAATGCCAATGCATACTCTGCAGCAATCAGTATTGCTGAACAATATAGGGATTTTTTTTAAGCTTTATAAATAAATAAGTACATTTTCTTTTATATACAATAAATGTGGTGTAACCCTTGCTTCTTTCAGTCAAGCTGCATGCTAAGGAGGGTATATGAAAAACTTTAATTTAGTTATATTAATCTACTCAAGCAAATTCAAATATTTGTTATAGATAAACGGCAAAATTACCTTATTAAATTTAAAACATTATAATATTACAACATTTAAACAATTTTGTGTTAAATTTTGTATTCAACATATTTAGAAGTATAAAAGTTATAGGGAATCTCCGAGAGCCCTCAAAAAAAAAAAAAAAAAAACACAGAATCTCCCTCTAAAGTCTGTGAAATGTTCTTCCCTGATACATCATAAATTTTGCATTATTCAATTTTCTCAGCTTGGCAACAAGAAAAAAAAGAAGACGTGGATAAGCAGGATTCAACCAACTTTCAAGTTTCAAGGGGTGGGAAATGAACTTTTTGATTGCATTGCCGCATCTTTCATATACTGGATTGCTGCATTGGCATTAGGATAAACTAGGGACACGGAACACAACTAGGGGACTGGACAGGCAGGGATGGTAGCGTCAATAGTTGGGGGATGGAACGAGAACACGGTGTTGGTGGGGTCCCAACTGTTGCTCTTTGGCTTGGATTGCGGATGGCGGATTGCGGAAGGCTGAGACGTGAATTTTGTGGTGTACTCCAGTTGGGTGGGGCATGAGACACTTGGCTTTGCTTACTGACTTTGGTTTCGGTAGCAGAACTATATTTGCCTGTTTGATTACCCGTGCTGCTTGACGAAGACATGCCCGGCTGGAGAGCATGGGAGCGCTCTGACCTGAAACAGAGAGAGCACAGCATTAGTAGCTGGACAGGATGGACACAATCTTGGGCGGGGAGGGGACACTCTTTGGCGGTTCTACTTTACCACTCTGCAGCTGAAGCACAAACTTACGCAGTGTCCACTTCCATTTCATCGGAATCCTCAGTTCGCTTGCCCGACTGCTGCTGCTGCTGCAGATCCTCGTTGTCGCTGGCCTCGCTGGCCTCCGCTCCCGACGATGATGAGGACGAAGTATCATTGGCTCTCTTGCGACCGTAGTAGCGCTTCAGCGGTGGCGGTGGTGGCTCCACCACCTGCGGTTGCACAGCAGCGGGAGCACTTGCTGTCACCGATTGGTTCAAGTTAAGCACGCGCGATGGTAGGGGATAGCTAATCATGGGAGGAGCAGCTTTGACCAAAGGCGGCTGCTGCTGCTGCTGCTGGAGCATCTTCACAGTAGATGTGGTCGTGGTAGTGGTGGTGCTTAGGCAATACCCCCCCACTGTCGCTGCCGACATGGGTGCCACCTTTTTCTTGGAGTGCGAGCGGGAGCGACTCCGCCGCCTGTAGGAGCTGGCACTGGAGCTGCGCGAGGAGTAGGAGTAGCGCTTTCTAGACCGCTTGTAGCTGGGGCTGCGAGACTTGTAGCGCTTCCAGGAGCTAGAACGCGAGCGGGTACGTGACCTAGATCTAGACCTGGTGCGGGTTCTGGATCTCGACCGTGACCGGGATCTAGACCTTGACCTGGAGTAGAACCTGCGGCGGCGGCGCGAGCGTGTCCTGCTTCTTCTGTGGTAGCTGCGACTGCGGCGACTTCGTCTTCGACTGCCACTGCGGCTTCTGGAGCCAGAGGCACTCCTGGAGCGGGAACGGGATCGGGAATACGAGCGAGAGCGACGCCTGTTGCGCTTGGCCGACTCGTTCATCATCTTCAGTTTGTCCAGGTTATCCTTGACTTTTTGGGCATACGAAACCGAGGAGGCGGCAGCCGCCCCACTGGTCGCTCCGCTGCTGGCATTAATGCAGGACTCACCCAAGGTCAGGCCGGGCTTCGTCAGGCTGATAGTGATCTTCGAATGCGGCTGCATCTCATCCTCGCCGCCGAATGAGGTAATGTAGGTGATTTTCTCGGGGCCCGCGTCGGCAGGCGAGGGCGACCTAGAGTCGCTGTCCTCCTCTTTGTCCTTGTCGTTGCCTTTGCCGCCTGCCTTCTTGTCCTTATCTTCCTTGGCCGCGTAGCTCGGCGGACTAAAGGGTCTATTTGCGATCCTCCGCTCTTTTTGAGCCCGGCGCTCGCGGCGCGACTTGCGTCCGCTCAGCAGCATCTTTTCCTGCTCCTCTTCGCGGGCGATGCGCAAGGCATCCGCCTCGTCCGCATCCTTGGTCAAGTGCGAAAAGAAGTCGTTGCTCTTCATCCCGTAATTTCGGCCGCAGGCGTTAAGTTCGTGGGCTTGGGTGGTGTCCAGTTTACAAATGTCAATGGACACGTCCATATCGATGTCAGAATCGGATTCGTCGGAGCCTTCGCCCTTGTCGCCCTTGGCAATCACAGCTGGTGCTGCTGTTGATGCTGCTCCTCCTCCGCCTCCCACAGCTGCCACCGAACTGGCCGCTCCAAAGGGCTGAGGACCAATGGTGGCTGCATCGCCGGCATCATCGTACGAGTAGCCAATGGTTGCTCCCCCCGATTTCTGCTTCTTCTTTGCTAGATTGCGTTCCGCCTCCAGCTGGGCATTGGCTCCGAACTGCTCCTCCAGGTAGAGCTGGTGCAGAAACTTGTCCTCACTGACATTTAGAAAGTCATTTTGGGCCAGAATACGGTAGCGCTCATAGTTCAGCTGTCGCTCCTCGGCGGTGAGCTCTGAATCTGTCTCTGCTCCATCACCACCACTTTTGGTTACCGCTGGGATGTGGTCTAGGTGAGCGCGCACATCGAAGCGATCGATGAGGTTATCCTGTTGACCCTGCCAAGGCACTCTGCAAAGAGGAGGAAGCACTTTTAGTCATTCCAGCCAACGCAAAGCCTGAAACGTAGAGGGTTTTAAGCTCCAACTCAATATCACTTGCATGATTGCGGCTCCATCGCCGGCGGCCGCCACCGCGGGATCCAGATAGATCTTGCTGCGCCGGCCGTGCAGCTGCAGGAACTGCGTGGGATCCGCTTGGATCTTGTCGTAGAAGTACTGACGCCGCTCCGCCCGCTTGCGGTAGTCGACGATCAGGCCGCGGATCTTGCGCTCCTGCTTGCGCGCCTCGTGCCACATGTTGCTCCGTGCTGTGCCGACTGCCCAATGAGTTGCTTTCGCCACTCACAAAGTCCTCACACACCCGGCAAATCGAGTCCCGTTCCGATTCCTTCGTCTGCTTCGTTTCGTTTCGATTTTTTTTTTTTTTTGGGAGTGTGTGCGCAGTGTGACCGTGGCAGCACAGAGCGAAAATGTCGGAAAATATCAGGGAATGCAAAGGGAGCCGGCTTTTTATTTTTCCAAGGATATCTTGATTGATTTATTATTCTTCCTATTATTTATGTACAAAGCCTTCCTTGTTTATATTTTTCCGATTTTATTTGAATTCAGTTTGAAGCCCCTAAGATACACTCCGTATATGCAACATATTTTTTTAGCCGCCTTCCAACACTTATTTTTCAAGCGTCCGTTATTTTTTCTTGCTGCTGGCAACGCCGCCGAGCCTGCGCCTTGTCCACCATCGGTGGTGGAAACAGGACAACAAAGGGACAATAAATAACAAGCCAAACTGGAATGGGCCACAACACAACAATTGTCTCTCGCCGCCTTTAGCGGCATCGATTTTGAGGGGGAACACATCCACAGCTACATTCGCAGGACACTCACGGGGATTTGCGAGTGCGGAAGAAAGCGGTGCAGGAACGGAAGAGAAGGCAAAACGAGTCCAGCTCGTTTTGCGGATCCAGTTTTGATGTCCTCTGACAGACGCTTCTACTTCGCAACGGATCTCGGATATAATGCCACAGCCGAAGTGGAGGACAATGAGGGCGGCGGGCTCTATACGTCCATCTGCAAGGACCGGATCGAGGACAAGGGAAACAACAACGAAACGGATGTGGCAGTGGAACCGGACAAGGACGACCAGGACCAGGACCCGGACGACGCGGAATTCCTGCAGGATGTGCCCTACTCCTCGAGCAGCATCGATCGCAGCTCGGTGGGCTCCATTCCGTGGGCGGACGACGCCATCAAGAAGAACTTGCTGGACTGGGAGCGGGTGGAGCGGCTGCTGAGCGGGGAGGATCCGCTGCCAGAGCAGGAGCCGGAGCTGCGCAACGAGATAGCCGACTGGCAGAGCAAGTTCCCCAGCTTGCTGGGACGTAGGACGCGCCCGATGCGTCACCACAGTTTCGATAGCCAGGCGAGGGAGGACATCGACTCGATATCCAATCTCAGTCTTAATTCCCTAGACGACGAGGACGATGAGGAGGCGGAGGATGGCTTCCTTACGCCAACGGCCGAGCTGCAACAGCGGCATCATCAGCCTATGTCCCGTCCGTATCTGCGTCCCAGCCAGAAGAAGCTAGTGGATCTGCTCGATAGAGATCTGCGCGTCACCTCCGTCTCGGTGAAGCTGCTCAAGCGACAACGCAGTCAGCAGCACCAACCTCAGATGCCCATCTCGGCCACGACACAGTCCTCAGCCCGCCTGCGGATGCCGCCCATTCTAAACGTTCTGGACACCAACCGGCGCTTTCGGGGATTGCTCAACAACCGCAGCTTCGTTCAACTGACCCAGGTGCAGCAAAAGGAGCAACAACAGCACCAGGCCAAGTCCGCTGTCCTGCCCCACCAGGGCAATCGGTCTGCCTGGCACATGCCCATGGCCGCCAGTCGTTTCTTCAACAACAAGAACGCAATTGTGCTGCCCTCGCTGAATCTGGGCAGGCATAGGGAGCTGGCCACCACCACGGGCACGTCCAGCCAGAGCAACTCAAGCGGCGGCGGCGGGCACAACAGTCACGGCCACAGCAACAGTTCCTCCAACCGATCAACGCTGCATCCCTTCGGACTAGCCAGCGTCTCTAGTAACACACCATCGACGGGACGGTCCATATCGGCGGCAGTGCATCATCCGCGGTCTGAGTTCGTGCCGAGCAGTGCCTTCTACATACCCTACAGTGCCTCTAAATTCAAAGCCTTTAAGTAACCTCAAGGAAATAAAACAGAAAGCAAAGGATGTGACTGCCTATTTTTGGGGATGGGATTAAATGAGGCCACCGATCTAGGTTCTGTATAGGAAGTTAAGTTTTCGTGCATATTTATAAGATAGGAAACTATTATTTACACGAAATGAAGCCAACATCGGTACGTCGAATCGTCGGCTGTTGATATATATCTTATAGAGTCCGAATTTCTGACTCAGAAACTCCATCACTGTATTGCAAACCTCTAAAATGATAATTGCCTTTAAATGGTATAAAAACTATTATTTTAAATTCAATTCAATTCAAGTGAAATATATATGGAACCAATTTTAATCGTATTTTCACTTTGATCTGCATTGTTTTTGTCGATATATTATGCCAGATTTTTCTTCTCGATATCTGGTGTTTCCTTAAGTTAAAATAATATAAATTTAGGGTTATATACAAACAATTCATTTTTGAAATTTAATTCATTTATTTTCCTCGCCTATTAAGAAAATACGCTTAAAAAAATAAATATATTCTCTTGCAAAAAACTCAAATATAATTAAAAACCTATACAATCTACAGTTTTCACCCCTCCCACTATAGGCCCATGTTGTCCAGGCGCAGACGTCCATCGTGCTCAGTGAGGTAAAGGGTGTCCGCCAGACACTGCTCCGTAATCAACTCCTCAACGCGATCGTGCATCTGAATAGGGGTAAACATAAATTAATTATTGTTTTCTTAAGCTTAAAATGGGAGATCTTACTCCTTTTGCCTTGTGTTCGACGAGAACTTCGGGATACTTAAAGGCGGGTCCAAAGTTTACGCTGACCGTGGCACTCTTGTGAATCGAAATGGCCGGGAAGTAGCTGCCGGCGTATATGTCCTCGAAGGCCACTCCCTGCGACTGACCGTTCTTGAAGAACTCAATGCGACTGCCCTGCAGGATGTGCAGATTCTTAAGCGTCTCGTTGATCTTGTCCTTGTCCTCATAGTACAGATGCGACTTGAACTTGACCAGTGGCTGTAAAATATGACACAGATGATGAATGCAAACTTAGGGTTGGTTGCTTTGTAAAGAAGCATCAAAGGGTTGAGATTTAATCAAAATTATATTGAAGGGAATTTCTGTTATCATAAATATGGGTTAATTAGCGAGTTTGACCCTTTGAGCAAGCAGAAAACGCAAACCGGTTAAATATATAGTGTATTTCTTCTCACCCGATCCTTGAATGTGTTGGGAAGATAATCCAGGGCCGACTCCTCGGGCAGTTCGATCAGGAACCCAAGGGTGTCTCCCTCTACGTACGCATCGCTGTAATGCTTGCCGTGGCTCTCTGTAAACTTTGTGCCCTTGCGGGATCGCCAGGAGTAGCCAAACTTGTCATAGCCCAGTGGAGCTTGCAGGTTGCCGTACTCCCTGCCCCAGCCAAGGCGAGTGGCAGCCCCCTCGGGCATCTCCTCGATGGTGATCTCGTAGTACCAGCAGCCTCTGTTGACAGCTACGGTATGATATTCCATTATAGACGATTTTCTTGAGAAGATTTATCATAGATTTCTTACAGTGGGTGGCTCGCACCATGCAGTAGCCCCGCTCTCCAGTCACCGCCAGGCGATCCTCGCTAATCTTCAGCTGCGGCGCCCTGTCGTGCAGTGCCAGGAGCACGGAATGCGGCACCAGGGTACGATACAGCCAGCCCGGAATGGGCTTCCCGGCCCAGTCGGAGCTTTCGTCGAACTCTTGCCTGAAGGGAGCGTGTGGATCGGGCTCGGCTAGTATGTAGCGGTAGCCATCCTTGTTGAAGGGGTGCTCTAGCGGATAGCCGTGCGGCGGTAGCTTCACGTTGGCGGTGATGTCGGAGCTGGGGCGACCCTTTTTGCCCGTGGGGCCGGAGTCCGTGCCGGGGAACTTACGCTTTTGCCTATTGTTCTTGGCAAGGGCAGCTAGAGAGCGGCGAGAAAAAGGGAGGAGCATTAGTTACCAGCTATGTACGTGACTATGCAAAGTTCGAGGCAACCGCTTACACTCCTCTTCCGGAAACGATGACGCCATGACAGGACACAAGTAGGCAGTTGGCGGAGCCAGGAGTGTTCCTATTGCGCCGCGCTCAAAATCAAATCAAATCAAAATCAATTCCACCGAGAGCGCACACATCCAAGCCCAGTAGACCTAAACACACACATACAGGCCTACAACAGTGGTGTCCATAGCGTAACTATTTATTTATTCGGATTCGTATTCGTATTTGTTAGTAATGAATGAGCCAAGTTGCGTTGAGCGCTTATGCCAGCCCCACCCCGCCCACAATCTGACTACGTGGGGCTGCCAGATGTGCTCTCTTCGCTCGCTCGCTCTCTTCCCCCTTGCCAGCGTGAGTGTGTGTGCGTGTGCGATCCCCTTTCCGCTTGTTTACTTTGCCAAAACAGCACCGAAAGAGCGTGCGAAACAGAGCAGCGAATGGGGAGAGCGAGATTTGTTTTGTTTGCGGAGAGTGTGCGATGCGGAACGGCCGATAAACAGCTCGAGGATAGCGTAAATATTCGCAAAGCGAACGAAAACCGACCCCACTGTGCGAAAATCAGCTGGGCGACCAGTGTTGCCAATTTGGCCGGTTGGCGTTTTTGCCAGCCGACTACTATGTGCGGTTAAAATATTAGTACCACTTTAATCGGTACTAAAATTTATCCGGTGTTTGCCCTGTCTGAAACCTCTTCACTTGGACTTACCTTGTGTGTAGCCATCGTCGGTCAGACGGAGCGCGCCACTCTTGCTCATACTCTCGTAGTTGGGCTTAATGATCCGCAGATCCTGGTGGAATAGCCCGTACATAGAGCCGTGCTCCGAGTGCTCCTCGTAGGTGAACAGCGTCTGAACATCCTTGACCAGGGACCGTTGCACAGTGCTGTACCAGGACTGGGTAAGCCTCCGGGGCATCGTGGTCATGGCCTCCCAGTACTGCTCGATGTAGGGAATGATCTCCTTGTCCTTGCTAAACTGGGTCTGTCGCTTGCCCTCCCTGGCAGCCGCCTGCTGCATATTGGCGATAGCACAATGGCACATCTGGGAAATGGCTGGATGGTATTGGAATGGGGTTAATAAATAACAAGGTGGACAGAAAACAGGTCACTTCGCGGTCACTTACTGGCCTGGCTCTTCCGGAAGCTCTCCAGCCCGGTGGCCGAGCAGTTCTTGCACACGAACACATAGTTGGTGATGAAGGGCAGCAGCTTACCCTTGCCCAGCTGGTAGGAGACGCACGACTCGTGCACCCAGCGCGCACAGGTGGCGCAGAGTAGCTCCACAATGTTCAGGTTGCGCTCCTTCCCGCTAAAAACAATCGCGGCTTATCAGTGTGAGAGGCAAACAAAGCAAGCCAAGCATTTCCCCTCCTCACCAGTAGCAAAAGCCGGCGGCGGAACGCGTCTCCTGGGATTTCTCCTCCTCGGCGTTGAAGTTCACCTCTGAGCTGGACTCCGTGGGCGAGCTGGTCTCCATTGGGATCTCCTCCATGGCAGTGGTGGACGGGCGCTATGGGTTTTCAGTCAGTAAACAGCATGTAAACAAAATTTTTCGCCGGCGGATTAGTGACTGCGTGGGCAGTGTGACCGTTTGGCTGAACACATGGGCCCGAGACGAAAATACCGCCATCGATAGCCGGCTGGCGATAACCGATAGACGCAAACATATCTCCACACAGGGCGACAACTCTGTCGCTGCCTCTTCGCTCCAACTCTGGCTCATACATATATATGTCCGAGTGTAGAATTATCATTTTTTTGTTGCCGAAAAACATTGTTTCGTGGTGAGAGCGAGGGCGCCATCCTAAATGGCATTGCACGACCGCCGGGAGCGAGCCGAGCGAACAACGAATACCACCGCGTCCAAGTGTACGAGACGAGACTCGGCCAGCGCCAGGGCCAGCGATTCCCCCGTCTAGAGTCTAGACTCCTAGATAGCGCGGAGGAGTCCTGCACGTACACCGACCCCGACTCGATCCGTTTCCAACGAAGTGCGCGTGCCGCCAGAGGAGCACCATGTGCGAAGTGTGCGCCGACTTCCAGAATCTCCTCGAACTGTGTAAGTGAAAATCGCCAATCGGCAAGTGTCCCGCATTCACAGACCCCCTTCTCTCCCCCTTTTTTCGTTCCTGCTCCTCTCTCTTTGCAGACGAGGTGCGCGTGGCCAGTTCAGATCTGAAATTCCAGCTGCTGCTGAAGAGCGAGATCGAGACGACGTTCAACTACATTCAGTCCTGGCCGCAGCGCCAGTGCATGTGCCTGTACCGGGACACCAAGAACTACGATAGGTTTAACCTGGTGGTGCAGTCGCTCATCTGCTTGACGGTACAGCACCTGAAGCACATTGATCACCTCATCGACAACTACAAAAGGCTCACGGCTAGCGCGGCCCAGGTGGTGGCCCAGGCGCAGCAGCAACAACAACAACAGCGTGATGAAGCAGATTCGCAATCGGAGGCGACCAAGGATGCTGCTGCCACAGGTCAGGAGGAGAGCAAGAAAGAAGAGCCGACCGGCATCGAGGAGACCCAGGGCTCGGGCGATGGACCGACTAAGAAGCCCCACACTCCAGTGGGTCCCAGCACTCCGCCGCCACTGCCTCCGACGCCGACACATAAACCCCATCTGCAGTACACCGAGGAGCCTTGGATCCTGCCCGAGGTGGAAAAGCTGCTGGTGCTGGTGTCCAAGGTGTTCCTCCTCAACTTCCCGCTGTATATTGCCCACAAGCATGGCATGCACTCGCGCCTGGACGACCTGCAGGCAGAGGAGGCCCACCACCTGGCCCTTATCTGCGATCTGCATGACAACGACCTGCCCATTTACCTGCTGCGCAACGTAAGCCTCTTTTGCAATTCGGGTGGCTTTGGGGCCATGTCTCTTTGCTTTGAGCATCCCGATTTGCCGGTATCCACCGCGCACTCGATGACCGCCGCCATCTCAAACGTGAAGCTCTGGCTGAACTACCACTGCAACACGCAGCTGTTTGTGCCGCTGCGCAGTCGCATCCTGCAGTATATGTGCAAGCTGTCGGACCAAAGTTTACGCTCAGCCGCCACCCGTGCCATGGCGGACTTTGTGTGGTCCTCGATGCGGGATCCCCTGGATGTGACGGTGAACTTTGACACCGAGGGTTTGGCTTTGGCCTTTAAGTACTTTACATCGACGACTCTGACCATGAGGCTGGCAGGTAAGATGCCCGAAAATGAAGCTGCTGATAAATAGATCCTAATAATTCCCAATAATTTCAGGCATGGCCCAAATCAATGCCCACATCAATCTCTTCAACGAAATCTGCACCACGGAAACGGTGAGCGAGGTGGAACTCTTTGGCCAGCGCATTGCCAACTGGCTGACTGAAAACCATATAGTCCAGCATCTCTTTGGTCCCAATCTGCATGTGGAGATTGTGAAGCAGGCCCATGTCCTGCTCAATTTTTTGGCCGTGGAAAACCAAATCTCTGAGGAGGACATCAAGCTCATATGGCAGGCCACACAGCTGAAGCATTGCTCCAAGACCATCTATGATATACTGCCCTCGCTGGTCAAAAATCTGGCTCCGCGTCCGGCCATGCATCTTTACTCGCTGCTCTGCCGCATGGATCCCAAGGAGCACACCGAGCAGAGCATCTACATTGCCTCGGCTCTGACCAAGCAGCTGTGGTCAAGGGAATGCTCGCGGACTCAGATGAACCTGATGCAGGATCACCTGCTGGGCTCCAATGTCACCGCCTCGAGCTCGGACAGCGGCAGCATCGAGGGCAGCAATACGGAGGATGACCATGTGGCCGATGACAGCAGTATTGCAAGTGGAGGAGGAGTTGGAATTGGCCAAAAGAGTCCCATAGATGGGGTTACGCCGTGCAAGCAGGCGCGTCATAGGCGACACATTTGTGATCCCACCACCGAGAAGGGCAACTCTCTAGGAGCTGAGGACCTGGCCAAGGTGGACTTGGTGTATGTATAATCTTATTTTCCTCAGGAGTCACCACATAATACTGATGTTCCCCTTGAATCCCCTCCAGAAACAACCGCATTGTCAACATTATCGACAACACCAGCAGCGAGGAGGAGCTGCAGTCGCGGGCTGCCTTGGAACTCCAGTTGCATCGAAGCCGGAAAAAGACCAGCAACAAGCGGCGCCGCCTTAAGACCAGCAAGCAGCTGATGCTACCCCACGAGCTGGTGGAGATCTGGGATGGAGGCGAGGATGTCCCCAGCAGCGATGAGGCCGATGGTGAGGGTGATGCTGAGGGTGATGGCGAAGGTGAGCTCCTGGCTGATAGCGACGAGTGCAGCGATGGAGCAGCCAGCAGCCAGCTGGTCCCAGACGCTGTCCTCAAGCATCTCCAGGGTGAAGGACCCTACATCCGTGCCATCGAAACCAACATCAGTGAACTGCTTAGCGGCGCCGAGAACGACGGCAGCTACTCCTCCCCCATGAGCAACAAGTCGGAGAAGAACCTGGCCGACTTTGATGACGAAGATGTCTCGCCCTGCGAGGAAGAGCTAGCCCAGTTGGTCAGCTCTCGCCGAGATGTTCCACCAGCGTTTGCTGCGGCAGCTGCTGCCATGATGGTGGCCCAATCGGCCATGGCTCTACAGAAATCTGGTGAGTCAAATGTGGCAGCTGCTGCAGCTGCCGTAGCCGCTGCTGCGGCGGCCACCGGAAATGCCCAGCAAACCCTGGCGGCCATGAATCGTCAGGCCAGTGTGGCAGCTGCCGCTGCTGCTGCCGTGGCTGTGGCTGCTGCGGCGAAGGCCAAGTCGGATTCGGATGTTGATCTGCTGGAAGTGAGTCCGGGCAAGCAGCACCAATCGCCCAAGGCGGGGGTGCAGCCCTCCTTTAAGCTGAACGACGTGTGCCAGCCGGGGAACACGCTGCTCTGGGATCTCCTACAGGACAATAAGATTGTGAGTCTCCCTTGAATTTCCTTAGATTTTTAGTTAACTACTTGCTTGTAGGGTCAACTGGGTGAATCCCTGGCCTTGGAGGCGGAGAAGGCTCTGGCCACTCTGCTGTGCTTCAGCATGGACCGCCAGCTGCGTACCAAGTTCATCGAGGGCTGCCTGTACAATGTGGCGAACAACAGGAGTGTTATAGTCAGCCTCCGCCTGCTGCCCAAGCTGTTTGCCTCCTTCCAGCAGTTCCGACCCTCGGACACCCACTCGATGACACTGTGGGCAGAGCGCAATCACCGGATGATGCAGTGCTTCTTCAACAACATACGTTACTATGCCCGCCGCCATGCCGAGCAGCTAGCGAGCCAGAATGGTGAACAGCCGCCGCAGATGTACTCCCACAAGACCCAGGTCTCTGTGCGGCTGCAGTTCCTCTCCTCAATCTTCTCCTCGGTGGGCTCGCCCAAGAGCTTCCGCCTGACCTTGGATCAACTGGATGCTTTGTGGGAGTGGCTGGCCCATGATCCTGAGTGTGCCGATTGCTACTTTTCTTGGCTGCAGGCCCAGGCCAAGGGGGGTGACCAGCATGCCCTGGGCCTGGAGGCACTTCAGCATTTGTATTTGAAGAAACTGCCGGAGCTGAGGCCCGAAGAGTTCTCCATGGTGGCTTTGGGCTTGTTCCAGCAGCTGTGCAGCTTTGCTCGCATCGCCATGGCCGAGTATGATAAGCACAGCGAGCAGATCTCCTCCAGCGCCAGTGCCGTGGGCATGTATCACCTGTGGAAGATTGCCCTGCGAGCCCAAAGCAATGAGGTCTCACTAGCGGCTATACAATACATCAACATGTATTACATGGGCCAGCAGCTGCGCCTGGAGAAAGAGTTTGTGTCGCAGTGCATGGACAACCTGGTGCAGACGGCAACAGCTTTGGAGAGGTGAGTGGGTAACACTCCTATTTTTCTATTCTATTTTTTCTGTACCTCTTCTAGTATCGATGATGAGACCGCTTTGATGCGGGTGCAGCGTGGTTTGCTCCTGCTAAACACTCATTTGGATACCTTCCGGCGCCGCTATGCCTTCCATCTCCGCCGCTGGGCCATCGAGGGCAAGGGTATTGGTTCGCACAGCAACCTTAAAAACGAGGGCGCGGGCCCGCCTTTGCGTATTGTCCTGCAGCAGGCTGGACTCTCGGAAAAGAGCGTGCTGCAGATGCATGCCTGCGACTTGATAGCTGACCTCAAGGCGGAGGTCTCCAAATGGTGGGAGAGCCTGCAAACGGGTTTGGTGGCTCCCGTCCTAGGCCTCCTGCTCAGCGATGGACCGCTGCGCATCATTACCCAGGGCCAGGAGCTGACCTCGGACTATGACGAACGCAGCCTGGGGGATGCCGGCTTCAAGGATAACCAAATTGTGTACGTCTCCCTGGGTGGACGTGGCGCCAGGCGTAAGGAATCCAACCTGGAGCATCCGTCGATGCTTCCGCCCCCCCCAAAGGAGTGCCTGCCCACGGTGCTTCTCCTGCAGCCCAAGTATTTCGAGAAGCTCTTCTGCCTGATGCAGACCCTGGGCGACATGAAGCCCCAGATCTCGGCTGGAAATCTTCAGCATCACACAAAGGCCCAGCTGCTGTCGCGTCGCGTGTGGGACATCCTGGCCATGCTGCCCACCAATCCCCACATTCTGGATGCCTTTAAAAGCCTTCTGGGGGATCTCAATGAACTGGAACAGCTGGAGGCTGCCGGGGAGGAGGAGCAGCTGGCCTCCAAGCGCAAGCAGATCAAGCAAAAGTTCAAGGATCTTCTGGATCCCAACAACCTGCAGAAATTCATGTACTCCCTGCACATTGTGGAGAGCCTGGCTCTCAGTAGTTCCCGGCGAGGCAACGAGGCCAATGGCAGTGTGGAGCAGATTCGCGTGAAGAAGTCCTCCATGGGCAGGCGGCGTAACAGCAACGAGCAGCAGCCACCGCCGCCGCCAGCACCAGCGCCAGATGCCAAGCCGGAGGAGGAGCCGCTGACCCCCACGCCCAATCCTGGCCAGCAGGATACGGAGACGGAGGCCAGCAGCAGCAGCAGTGGCGGCGACAAGGAGAACCAGCCCAAACAGCACAGCAAGCGGCAGAAAAAGATTGAAGCCTTCGAACAGCAGGAAAAGGAGCAGCGTCCCCTGGGCTGCTCGACGCCGCCGTCACCCTCCCCAGCCCCTCCTCCCCCACCGCTGGCCGCCATGGAGAGAGGGGACAACAAGTGGAGCGAGGCTTTCGTCAAGTGTGGTGGCCTGCGGCATCTCTACGAGATCTTTAGCGGCGGTCAGCTGCAGCAGAGCTCGCATCCCAAGGAGTTGGCTCTCAACGAGTGGCGTCACGACTGTCTCGCCAGCCTGCTGCGCATCATCTGGCTGCTGGGGTTCGAGGAGCTGCACTCCCCCGACGTACACGTGCTGATGTCGCGACCATACAGCTTTATGCTGCAGCTGATGGAGGTGCCCGAGTGCCTGGCGCGGCTCTCCTCCATACTCAATGACGAGGTTCACCAGCAGCAACAAGTGGCCTCGGCCAGCTCTCTGGTGTTTCCCTACCAGTTCCATCAGCTGCGCACGGGCTTCTGGGGCCGGGCCCAGCTCATCCAGTTCGCCATGAACATACTGGTGAGCTTTGTCCATGCCTCAGCGGAGGCCAGGAGGTTGCTTTGGGCCCAGGCGGATGGTGATCACTGTCGGTGGCTGCAGAAGTTTATACTGGAGGATCCCGAGCCAGCTGTGCGGCGCGAGATCTGTGCCGGACTCTATCGAATTTGCCTGGGCCATGCCCACAGCTATCGCCTCCTGCTGGCGCCGCTGCTGCACAAGCTCATAGCCTTGCTGCCCCTGGCCGAGCAGATGAGCTCGGGGGCCCAGCATACGCAGTTCCTACTCTCTGAGGAGGGCAAGGAGCCGTATGGACCTGCCTGCAGGGACTACTTTTGGCTGCTGGCTCGACTGGTGGACACCCTCTCGCCGGAAATGGTGGCCGAGGAGCACATTGACATCGAAATGCTGTGCGAAAGCATCTCGCAGAGCATCCTCACGCGGGACTACTTTGAGCTGCGACACGGCTTCCAGGACGATGGACTGGTGGGGCTGCTCAACCTCATGTCTAACCTGATCAAGTACGACACCTCCTTCAAGTACACGCCCAAGGCGTTGTCCTTCATCGAGCAGCTGATTGGCTTTCTGTTTGATATGCCCTCGCCGGCGGATCGTCAGAAGCCCAAGTGCAAGTCGGGCACCTCACGGGCGGCTGCCTATGATCTGCTGGTGGAGCTGTCAAGGGGCTGTGCCACAAACTATGCCTATCTCCATGGACGCCTCCTGGCCCAGCACAAGTCGGGACCCAAACAGCCGTATCCCTGGGACTATTGGCCACGCGACGAGGGGCGCTCCGAATGCGGCTATGTGGGATTGACCAACCTGGGAGCCACCTGCTACATGGCCTCTTGTGTCCAGCATTTGTACATGATGCCGCAGGCCAGGGCAGCAATTCTAAGGGTTCCCCAACTCGGGGCCCAGAAGCATGGACCCACGCTGCTGGAGCTGCAAAGGATGTTTGCCTACCTGCTGGAATCCGAGAGAAAGGCTTACAATCCGCGCAGCTTCTGCCGTGTCTACCAGATGGACCACCAGCCGCTGAACACGGGCGAGCAGAAGGACATGGCGGAGTTCTTCATTGATCTGGTGTCCAAGCTGGAGGAGATGACTCCCGAATTGAAGCACTTGGTGAAGAGGCTGTTCTCTGGAACCCTCAGCAACAATGTTGTGTCCCTGGACTGCGGCCATGTCTCCCGCACTGCCGAGGAGTTTTATACAGTGCGCTGCCAGGTGGCGGACATGCGCAACCTTCAGGAATCTCTGGATGAGGTTACCGTGAAGGACACCCTGGAGGGTGACAACATGTACACCTGCTCGCAGTGTGGGAAGAAGGTGCGAGCCGAGAAGAGGGCCTGCTTCAAGAAGCTGCCGCAGATCCTGTGTTTCAACACCATGCGTTACACCTTCAACATGGTCACCATGCTCAAGGAGAAGGTCAACACGCATTTCTCCTTTCCTCTGAGGCTGAACATGTGCCACTATGTGGAAAAGACCCTGATGCCGCAGCAGTACAAGGAGGAGCGGGAGAAGCGGCTAAGGGAGCGGGAGAACGATGAGGCAGAGCCGGGCAGAGGCGAGGAGAACGACAATGAAAGGGCAGAGGCATCCCTAGATGCGGACATTGAGGAGTGCTACGAGTGAGTAATGGAACCATTTCACCTGTTATCTTGTTCCATGTGAGTAAATCCTTGCAGGTACGAGCTAGTGGGGGTCACGGTACACACGGGCACTGCGGATGGCGGCCACTACTACAGCTTCATCAAGGAGCGAACGAAGAGCAGCTACCATCCGCACGAGCGCTGGTTCCTGTTCAACGATGCCGAGGTGAAGCCCTTTGATCCCTCCCAGATAGCAGCCGAGTGTTTTGGTGGCGAGATGACGGTGAGTTGGGGGAAATCTCTCTTCTCTTTCTTCCAGATTTATTAAGTTTCCATGTTGCAGAGCAAGACCTACGATTCTGTGACCGAAAAGTATTTAGACTTTAGCTTTGAGAAGACCAACTCCGCCTACATGCTGTTTTACGAACGGCGACTGCCGGAGCACCTGCAGCGCCGGCACTCCGAGCTGCTGGTCACGCCCACGCCCAGTCCCACCGTAGAGGAGAAATTGGAGGTTGAAGAGCCCACTACGCTAGAAAGCAAGTCGGAGGTGGAGGTGAAAGATGAAGGGGATAAGGATAAGGATAAGGAGAAAGAGCAGCTGGTTAAGGAAGACAGCAAAGAGGAGGCCAAGCCTAAAGAGGAAGATTCAGAGAAGAAAGAGTCGCCAGCACAAGATCGGAAAAAGTTAGAAACGGCGGCTAAGACATGTGAACTGAGCCCGGAGGATGTGGAGAAGCCAACAGCCAATTGTGATAATCATAAGCCAAGCAACAATAGCCACAACAAAGCCAGCAACGACCCGCAGCCCTCCACATCGAAGGCTGCCCAGAAGCTGCAACTATTTCGTCCATTGCTAAATAAGGAGCTTGAGGATTGGATCTGGCAGGATAACCGCCAATTCCTGCAGGATCGCAACATCTTTGAGCACACCTATTTCAAGTGAGTGGAAAAAATAAACCTGAGAAGCCTGAGAAACCTCATCAAACCCTGTGTGTTTTCCCCTAGCTTTATGTGGCAGATCTGTGGCCACATACCCCAGTCCTTGATATCGGAGTCGGACGTCACTTGTATGGCCGCTAAGCTGTCGGTGTCGTTCTTTATCGAGACCTTCATTCACGCCAAGGAGAAGGTAAGGGTGTTTCATTGAATCTTATGGATGTATATCGTAGGGAAAAGTCTTAAATATCATATCGAAAATATCGTAAAAATTGATTTATCCCAATACATTAATATCCATTCTTTAACCCTTTTTGTATTCAGCCCACCATGGTGCCCTGGGTGGAGCTTCTCACCAAGCAGTTCAATGCCAGCCAGGAGGCTTGCGAGTGGTTCCTCTCGCACATGTCTGTGGAGCCCTTCTGGCCCGTGCAGGTACTCATCCAGTGTCCCAACCAGATGGTGCGGCAAATGTTCCAGCGCCTGGTCGTCCATGTGATCCAAAGGCTGCGGTAAGACGACTCAATAAATCTTCGCTCTGCCCCCCCTAATGGATTTCTCGATAGGGCCTCCCATGCGGACCTGTATCTGGATGTGGAGACGGATGAGGACGACAAGGAGCTGATTGGCCAGGCCTCGTGTGTGACCCGTTTCATAGGTTCGCTCATCTCGCTGCTGGAGCACGGAGCCCGATCTCACCTGCGCCACCTCTCGGAGTACTTTAGCCTGCTGTGCGAGTTCTCGCGCATGGGAGACGAGGAGGCCATGTTCCTGCTACGCATTGGGATACTAAAGAGCCTGGTGGACTTTTATTTGGGCCACAAGCAAACGGATAGCGTTAGTTCGGTTGCAAAGTAGTCTTTAGCTCAGGATTCTGCTAAGCTGGAAGGTATTTTTTTCTTTACAGATCGACATCAGCTCGGACAACGAGGACAACTCATCGGACGAGGCGCTGTCGGTGGAGAAGATGCGGCCCGCTTCCCTGGACAAGATGATAGCCCTGTGCGCCAGCCTGGTGGAGAGATCCCGGGGCGCTGACTTCCGGCTAAGGCTGTCGCCTAAAGACTTCAGTGCGATTGCCGGCGGCAAGGTGATTCTTAAAAAGCTGGAAAGCGTTGTCTATTCAGTTTAAGCCATTCCATCCATTAAGCATTCCAACAATCAACCTATCCATCTATCAACCTGCACGTATCCCAAAATTCAAGATTATATTCCCTACTCCAAGCTTTTTGTCCTTGAGTTCTTGTGATAAATGTTTCGCATATATTTTGTAGGGATTTCCATTTTTGTATCAACAAATAAAGGACGGCATTAATCCGCACCAGACCAAGCATTTAATCCACGCCTTGTGCCGCTGGGACGAGCGGCTGGCCACGCAAATAATTGGCATGCTCTTCGCCTCGGTGACCAAGCACACGGAACTGTGCGCGCCCTTCTTCAAGCTGCTCACCCTGCTCACCGAGACGCAGGCGGGGCCAGTGGGTCTGCCCTGCTTCACCCAGCTTATACTGCCGCGCATGTGGGATGCGGCCGAGTACTGCCCGCAGTCGGTGCTCGATTGGCTTTCGTTGCAGGCCACCAAGAACAAGATAGCGCACACCTGGATTCTCCAGTCCGCGGAACAGTGGCTGGAGCAGTTCCTGCTGGCCCATGACAACACGCGTGTGAGGAATGGTATAAGCAGCTACAGCTACTCTTCGTCTCACTTGGTTAACATGCTTTTTTTTATTTTAGCTGCCGCCTTCCTGCTGGTGGCTTTGGTGCCGTCGCAGCCTTTCCGGGCCAACTTCAGGGCTCACTCGCAGCACAAGCTGCTGGCTTTAAATCCACATAGCTATCGGTAAGTGGGGTTCCACAAGGTGTCCCGATGGCTTCTCCAAGAATCATGTTGGTTTACGTATTTCCATATATTCCCAGCGACATCAACAGCGATGCCCAGGTGGTGCTGCACCAGGTGATTACCTTGCTCCTAAGGCTGTTGAGGCCCGCTCGGGTCTATGCTGATATAGGAGCCCATGGCACCACCAAGCTGACCGCCTACTTCAACCTGCTCAGCTATTGTATGGTTTCAAAGACTGAAAAACTAATGGCAAGCTTTCCCTCCCCTCTGCTCCTCCAATGTCCCCCCACTAAATGTGCCTTTGCCCTTGCAGATAGGTTCGTTCATGCGCTCCCTGTGGGAGCTGTTCCATCCCAGGCTATCGGAGCCCAGTGTGCCGGCCCATCACAACAAGCATGCCTTGCTTACCTTCTGGCATCACTCGCTGGTGGACTGTCCGGAGAATGCTGCCCAGGTGGCCAACTGCCCGGAGATTACCCGCAACATAGCATTTAATTATATACTGTGAGGATTTCCTTTATATTTACTTGATGAGTCCTTTGTGTAATCCTGTTTGTTTTCCTTTATTAGGGCCGACCATGACGATGCGGAGATTGTCACCTACAATCGTTCAATGCTGCCTGCCTACTACGGTCTGCTGCGGCTGTGCTGCGAGCAGAGTCGCGCCTTAACCCGCCAACTGTCGCAGCACCAGAACCTCCAATGGGCCTTCAAGAACATCACTCCACATCCCACCCAGTATGCGGCCGCCGTGGATGAGTTGTTCAAGCTGATGGCTTTGTTTGCCACCCGTCATCCGGATGCCAGTGAGCAGGAGAAGCTGGATGTGACCCAGTTCCGGAGGGCAGTGATTGTGTCCTACACTAGCAGCCTAGATGCGCGAGTGTCCTGGTCCACGCTGATCAGTGCTTTGAAGATACTGGGTGAGAGATCTTTGTTAGCTTTTACCCAGAATTCTTTCTAAACTTTTTAGTTTCCAGTGGACAACGAGGAGGATCGCACTATGGTTATCTTCAACGGAGGCATTGAGATGTGCTTTGAGGCCTTGCACACTCTACATTCCATGCACCACGAGGCCACCGCCTGCCATGTGGCCGGAGATTTGTTTGACCTTCTAGGGGAACTCCTGCTGCTCCTAGCCACTTTGCGCACCCGCACGGACAGTCCAGCGCAGAAAAAGCAGCAGCAGCAACAGCAACAGCTAGAGCAGCAGTTGCAGCTGCAGCAGCAGCAGATGCTACAAAAGCAGCAGCAGCAACAGCAGCAGCAGCAGTCCCAAAGCCAGACGCAGGCTCCTCAAACGCCGCAGCAAAAGGAGAAGCAGCTGCAACAGCAAATGCAGCAGCACCTGCAGCTGCAGCAGCTCCAGCAGATGCAGTTCCAGCAGCAGCACTTCCTGCGCCAGCAGCACCAGCACTCTGCTCTGGCCAAGGCCCTCCCGGATGCAGTCAAGCGGCTGGCCACGCTGCTCAACACCTTCAACTCGCCGGAGATTAGCCGCATGGCCTTGGAGGTGCTCAAGGAGCTGGTAAGAAATACTAGCTTGGAGGCCATTGGCATCCTGGCCCCCATCCTGATCAACTGTCATCTGTCTGTGGCGAATGCCCCCAATGCCATTGGACCCCTGGGACCTTACTTCCCTCGTCGCGGAGCTAAGCACTCGCCCTGGCCCCTTGGGGCCAAGAACTCCCCGCGACCGCCGCGACCCATGGTCCAGATGTGCATAGCTCTAGCGGAGCTGACGCCGCGCGGGTTGGATGCGGAATACGACGCCCAGGTGGAGGCCTTTTACAGGCCGTACCACGACTTTATCGATGTCATGATGCGCATGTGTGTCAACACGGGCACGCTAAACGACACGCTGGTGAAGCTGCAGTGCCTGGTGGCCATCGAGTCGACGCCGCTGCACTTTAACTACTTTCCGAAGTTCTGGGTGGGCATCCACAACAATGCCCTTACGCACAAGTAAGTGATCCTAGGGATGCCTATGGAGAGAAGTGAATGATATAATCCTCACTTACCTTCCAGATACGTGGATCTGCTGGTGAAAAACCAGTTACTGGTGGAGTACTTGCACAATGTCCTTAGGGACGAGCGCAGCATGCTCAAGGATGCATGTGTCCGCGAGTTTCTGGAGCTTTACTATCACAAGGTGGCCGCCCAGCTGCCGGTGGCACGCATGATCTACACCATCAACTACGGCATGCACTCCAAGGATGACATTGACGAGCTGTGCGGGGATCTGTTTGCCATTCGAATCATTGCCCAGGCGACCGGAGTGCCCGCCTCGGTCAGGAAGGAGTTGCGAGGTTCCCTGAGAGCGCTGCAAAACAAGAGCGAAAGGTTCAGGAAGGAGTCGGAGAGAGGTAAGAGATACTAATGAAGTATATATTTTGTTTTAAGTGTATAAAATTTTCTCGTTGTTCATTTAGTTCCCAATAATTAACCCTTGTTGATTTCTATTTATTAGCAGATCAATTCCCGAATAAGAAGCAAAAACGCGACCCCCACAAGGACAAAGCAAAGGATCTGGCAGAGCTTGCAGACGGCGACGAGGCCCTCGCACAGGTAGATGGCGCCGATAAGCCAGCGGATGTTTCCATGGAGACGGTTGGAAGCAGCAGCAACGAGCCAGAGACTTCCGATGGCACGGCCAAACCGCCCACACCCGCCGGCAGCGACGACGAGCAGATGGAGAAGACATCGATACCGTCATCGGATGACGAGACCGAACTAGAGGACGAGCTGGAACCCACACCGAAGCGCAACAAAAAGGCGTCCAACAAGAAGACTGCCCAGGATCGTCTAAATGAGGATCGGGAAAAGCGCCTGATCACTCTGATAACCATGGAATCGTACATTCAGAGCATTTTCGCCATTCTGAAGAGGGATACGAGTGTGTCCAGTAATAAAGAACCCAATGAGGAGGCTTCTGGGGAGGCCTCCACATCAGCGGCGGCAGCTTCAAAGGCGCCGCGGCCCAAGGGAGCCTGCACGCCGCCCGAACCCATGCCCCCCGTGGTCAGCGATACCAGGTGCAACATGGAGACAGAGAGGGACATGGAGACGGAGCCGCAATCGCCAACGACCAGTCAGACCAACGGCAGCCAGCCAGCAGAAGAATCCCCAGCAGCGAGCAGCAGCAGTGGAGAACCCGCACCAGCTTTGTCGTCGACCGTTGCCTCCACGTCCCAGGCAGCGAGTCCGACACAGATTTAGTTGTCATTCAACGATTTGCTCAGCATTTTGTTTTTCGGCAAGCCGCTGGACTGATAATGGGCACCGGGGGGCGGCGGCGGAGCTCCTAACTTGTAAGAATTTTGTGGCCAAAGGTCAATGTTACACAATATGTACTCGTAGGCAACCCAAGGTTGGTGCTAATGGTGGGCTTGGGGGCGAAACACACACACGCAAGCTATTTGTATATGTCTATCCCGGGAGACGAGTCCTGGGGCTGGTAGACACTTGGTTAAGCTTAGCCTAGCAAGGTAACTCACAGATTCAATCACATTCACGACCGAAACACACACATATATTCAATATTTAGCGATAAATGTAACTAAGTTAAGACTTCCTCCAAGCACAATAATTCCCATCCCCCTTTCAGATGGAAGTTTACTATAAAAACCATTGGAGAAAATTTGTTATGCCAAAAAAAAAAAAAACAATATAAAACTTGTGAATTAGAGGCAACACTAGAACTACAAATTGAATGTTTGAACAGGAGAGCGAGCGAACGGCTTACGAGACGCTAATATCTATATATGTTGTATTAGATCCATTAAGTATCATTTATGAAACGATGCTAAGAACATTTGCTTACCCTCTTCTCTCGTCCTAGTCCCCACTCCCCCCCAATGCACCATAAATAATACATACGTTAGAAGTGAACCGATATTATTATAATAGAGCGTAAAGAATCATTTTAAATATTGGATGTGTTGCAAATATGTCATAATCATTTTCAATTGTAAATTGCATAACCAAGCCGATCGAACGGAAGGAGCAAATGTAATGTTTAGCACGTAAGGAGAGCGTTGTCCCAGGGTGAAACACAACAGGACAAAAATGATAATGATTAAACAAATAAATAAATAAAAAGTGAACAAGCGGGTGGCGTATATTGATAGTTCTAAGCACACAAATATAAACGATCGAAATCCACACACACCCAATGTAATGTTGAAAAACAAAAATCAATAAAAACAGAAAACAACACAAAAAAACAACCCAAAACTAAAACTAAATTACACTTAAACAAGAAAGGAAGCTAACTTCGGCACGCCGAAGTTTGTATACCCTTGCAGATTGGTTTTCATATTTATATCATAAATATAATGCCGAAAACAGACACTAAACAGAGTTTCATAACATTTTACCTATACTTATTATGTTTACAGTTTGAAAGTTACAGTTATACATTCCCAGCTTTACATTTTCTCTACATCTACGGATCGCTTCTATGGCAGCTATATGATATAGTTGTCCGATTTTCATAATATTGTTACCAAAATTCTGAAATAAGCTCATGTCTTAAAGTAAATGAAAATACGTTGAAAAACAACGAAGTTATAATTTTGTCTATTACTTTCCCTATCGTTACTATGGCAGCTATAAGATATAGTCGTCCGATTTTCATAAAATTTATACCAAAATTCTGATAAAATACCAAAAGCTCATGTCTCAAATTAGATTTAAAATTTTTTTCTAATATTTTAACTTTTTTTTTAGATTTTTAAAATTTTTTTAGAATTTAAAAAATTTTTTTAATATTTTAACTGCCAAATTTGAATTTGAATTTAACTGTCAAATTTGAATTTAACGACGATCAGTTTCAGTGTGCCCAGGTCCAGTTGTAAAATAACACCTAAATTTGGATTCAAAAGGTTTGAGTCTCCGCTTACTTCCGCCGGCTCCGAAATGGTTTGAAACTTGGACTTTTTATAACAGTTTATACCAGTTTTCAGTTGCTTGCTGCTGATTTCTGTTCGCCTGTTACCCCAATTTGGGAAACGGGCAATTTGCATGGAAATGTTCGGAAATTTGGATTGGCTGCGTAGGGATGTTGTTGTAAAAAGGTTGTTGTTGCCATAAGCTGTTGTTGTCGGCAACAAATAGGTATAAATGCATAAAGTGAAATATAACAGTTTATACCAATTATTATTTTTGCCCAAATGTTTTTATAACAGTTTATACCAGTTTTCAGTTGCTTGCTGCTGGTTTCTGTTCGCCTGTTACCCCAGTTTGGAAAGCGGCCAAATCGAATGAAAAAATTTGCTCACTTGCATCAGTGATGCTCATCTCCATCAGTGATGCTCACTTCCATCAGTGATGCTCACTTCCATCAGTGATGATCACTTCCATCAGTGATGCTCACTTCCATCAGTGATGCTCACTTCCATCAGTGATGCTCACTTCCATCAGTGATGCTCATTTCCATCAGTGATGCTCACTTCCATCAGTGATGCTCACTTCCTTCAGTGATGCTCACTTCCATCAGTGATGCTCATCTGCATCAGTGATGCTCATCTGCATCAGTGATGCTCATCTGCATCAGTGATGCTCACTTCCATCAGTGATGATCACTTCCATCAGTGATGCTCACTTCCATCAGTGATGCTCACTTCCATCAGTGATGATCACTTCCATCAGTGATGCTCATTTCCATCAGTGATGCTCACTTCCATCAGTGATGCTCACTTCCATCAGTGATGCTCACTTCCATCAGTGATGCTCATCTGCATCAGTGATGCTCATGTAGCTATTTTGCAATATTGGGAGGCAATATATCAGGCGTAATAGCAGTGATGCCCATCTAGCTTTATTTCTTTATTGGGACAAAATAGATAGATGAGCATCACTGATGCAAAGTCAGATTCAGTGTGCCCAGGTGCATTTAAGCAACATTTTAGCCAAAAAATGTACAATATGGTCACATCTGGTTTGAGTCTTCGCTTACTCCAAGATCAATGGTTCGAAACTTGGACTTTTTATAACAGTTTATACCAGTTTTCAGTTGCTTGCTGCTGGTTTCTGTTCGCCTGTTACCCCAATTTGGGAAACGGGCAATTTGCATGGAAAATTTCAGAAATTTGTATGGACTGCTGAAGGGATGTTGTTGTAAAGGGGTTGTTGTTGCCATCAAGCTGTTGTTGTCGGCAACAAATAGATATAAATGCATAAAATGAAATATAACAGTTTATACCAATTATTATATTTGCCCAAAAGTTTTTATAACAGTTTATACCAGTTTTCAGTTGCTTGCTGCTGGTTTCTGTTCGCCTGTTACCCCAGTCTGGAAAGCGGCCAAATTGAATGAAAAATTTTGCTCACTTGCATCTGTGATGCTCATAAGCATTATTAAAAAATTAAAGCATACTTTTGGGGTTTTCTATTAAAAACGTGGCATCTTTTAGGCGGAAGTTCAGATTACAGTTTGATAAGCACTGGTCCAAGTGAGATTCAACTTTTACAGTTTGACAAGCACTTTTTGGATAATATAAAATGGCCATATCTAAAAAATGGTGCAAAAATGTTGAAAAACAGCTAAGTTATAATTTTTTTCTAAAAATTTATCGATCATTTGTATGGGAGCTATATGATATAGTCGTCCGATCCGGCCCGTTCCGACATATATAGCAGTGAGAGTATATAGAAGACTATATGCAAAGTTTCATTCAGATAGCTTTAAAACTGAGGGACTAGTTTGCGTAGAAACGGACAGACGGACGGACGGACAGACGGACAGACGGACATGGCTAGATTGACTCGGCTGTTGATGCTGATCAAGAATATTTATACTTTATAGGGTCGGAAAGGTCTCCTTTACTGCGTTGCAAACTTCTGACTGAAATTATAATACCCTGCAAGGGTATAAAAATCGTGAGAATAATAAGTTTAAATGATATGTAATTTAATGGACTGAAATTTTATTTATTGGGTGGTGTTTTTAATTATTATCAGCAGCCAAGTCGATCTAGTCATGTCCGTCTGTCCGTTTCACAGCAAACTAAGATTAATCTTTTATTTTCTATTGAAGGTAGGTACATGATATGTACTACATATGTAAGTCGAAAGTTATGTCCACTTTTATGATTCCTGAGCTTCAGAAGGTATAGCTCGATTCTTTCTATTTTGGTCGATGCATCGATTCGGTTTCTGTTTTTCCGGCTCTAACAAAAGGTCCTTATTAAGGACTTCAGACTATTTTTATTCTTAGATTGTTTTTGTTTAATCTCTAATAACAGTAGCCGAATCTATTATTATAACGGCAAGGGTATAAAAACATCGGCTTGCTAGCTTTTTTTTTGGGTTTCAACCTGTTGCTGACTTTTTTTCCGGTCGAGTGTTCCATTCCGGAAAATTCCTACGCACGCATGCGCTGCTTAAAATGTCACATTCCTGGCCCGAGTTGTCTGAAAATTTTGTCTGTAGAAATTCAGTGTACCAATTGGTTTTAAATTCAAGAAGATCTAAGTTTTGTGGTGTAAATTCTCTAAACAAAAGATATACAAACATGCCTTGTGAATCTTGTGGAAAAGGTAAGCCATTTTTTCACAGGATATTTGTAGTTGGTTTTATTGCCTGTGGATTGTACATAAGCAGTAGAAAAAATCGGCAATAAATCTCCATTTTCTGCCTTTGCTGACTCCACAAAAACATATTTTATCCTTCACAGCATGCAAGTGCACTCCGCAGAAATGCAGCGAGGGCTGCAAGTGCCCCAGTCCCGACAAGTGTGACTGCAATGCCCCCAAGAAGTCGGCGGCTGCTTCGGGTGGCAAGGAGAGAAGCTCGGCGGGAGCCGATGGCCAAGGCGGCAAGTGCTGCGGCGGAAAGAAATAATTCCGTATCTCTGCTGGAGGAGGAAAAATGCATTTTCTTTTCTTTTATTTTCGATGGCCATAACTGCTAGTGAGCTGTTATCATACATATATTTATTTATTTAATTGTTTAAATCGAAACAAAACCAAGACTTTTCTATACTGTAAACTGCACAAGATAAACTAATCACCTATATACCAGCATTGCTCCTTTGTGTTCGTTCAACTTTAATGGGTGGCAATGATTTCCTTATGAAATTCTTCTTTATTTTTATTTATTTTTGTTTTGGGTTTTCTTTATTTTTTTAAACTAATAGTAATAACAAAGGGGGTGGCAAAATGAGGCGCTTAGCAAACCAGCCAACAACAATGTGCAACATTCTTTTTATACATAGATTGCTTATGGAATTCTATACCAAAGATGAGATGGAAGAGGGGAAGGGGGAGAGTGGTAAAATAAACAAATTAAATTCGTTAGCGATCTTTTTATATTACAGCGTTGAATTTCATTTATATGTGTATACGCATATCGTTTCTAAAAAAAAAATAAACAATTTAAAATGTTACTTCTCAACGAATGCAAGCCACTTATTAATGATTCTTAAATATATATATATATACGTAATTTAGACCAACTACATTTCAAAATTGGATGCAATATAAAAACAATCTCCTTTTAGGGCTTTTTTAATAGCTAGACATTTGTGTTTCCGGTTCACGTTCTCACACAATATAAAGAAAGTTATCGTCGGTTTATACATACTACCAGAGAGGGGGGTCCCTAGACCCTTAGTTGCGCTTCGCTTTGCGCTTTTTGCGACTATTTGGGGCTGGGGCCGAGGGGCTTGGACCGGTGGCTTTGGCCATTGATTCGTTGCTTCCGCTAATGGTGAACTTGCGCCAGATGTTGTGGATGAAACCGCGGGCCTCGTTGTTGCTGTTGCTGCTGCTTTTGTTTGATTTGTATGCCACATTGTTGTTGTTGTTATTGCTGCAGATGATGTTTGGAGGCACCTGCTGCGGCTGCTGCGTCTTGTGCTGCACTCCTTGGGCGTATTCTCATGAGCGCTTCACCTTGCCATTCGATGCATTCACCGATGTCTGGCTTCGGTAACCGGCCGCGCCGCCTCCGCCCACAGCCATTTCGGTCGCATGCGTGGCCACATGCTGGATGCCCTTCTCCATGCAGCCGTGGTATATGGGCCGCATAAACTATAGGGGATATAGGGATTACATATTACCCAAAACTTAATAAATTCATTTCATAGGTTACCTTCTCCCACATGAGCGTGGCAAAATCATCCAACTTGCCGCCAAAGTCACTCAGCTCGCCGCTATATCTGAAAATGAAAGGATATTGGTCAGTCACAAGGAGTCAAGTAGGAGGTAGAGACATAAGTCCGATCAAAAAATGTACTACACTCACCTGATATAGGCCCACAAAGCCAGCGTGAGCAGAGCCACGCCCATGACCAGATTACAGAAGTTGGCGAACGTGTAGAGGCCCACCAGGCCGAAGATGCCGCTGAGGATGTACATGATGACGGCGCAGGCGAAGTACACCGCCGGGGTGCGGGCTGCCTTGAAGATGTTCTTGCTCTCGTTGTGCGCCCGGTAGTTGACAAAGACCTCCTCGAGATCGTCCTCCAACTGCTGGCGGAACTTCTCGGTAAACTCTTCGCCGCCCATCTTCCGCTTGGTGGCGAACTGGAAAAGGGCCTTGTCCTTGACCCGGATGTGCTCCGTCTCCAAATGGGCGGTGCTTAAGTACGGCCGCGTACCTCCACACACCTCCTCCATGAGCTGCTGGTAGAGTTCCTTGGCGGCGGCTACGGCAGTCAAATGATTGGCCTCAGCGGTGGCCACCAGCATGCTCTTTGGCTCGGGCAGCTCGTTGCCTTTGTAGATGTTCATGTACGACTGGAAGTACTGGATGAGATCGCGAGCCCGCACTCGCTGGCCGCTAATTTCCTTGTAGACCAGATTGTCCGGAGCCAGCAGCATGGGTACCAGGGTGCGCAGGCTGTTCTTAAACTCGGGCGTGATATCCTTGAGCTTGCCGTCAAATTGTGGATTCGTGGCAACATTCAGGCCCGGATGTGGCATCAGGAAGCAGGCAACCTCTGTGAAGCAGGACGAGATGTGACGGCGCAGGGACTGCAGCTCGGGATGCTGCTTGTCAGACACCTCTAGCCGCTTTTTCAGTATCTTGTCACCACCTAGGGCTCCGTACTCCGCTTCGTAGGGGAAGCTCCAGTCGCGGACAAGGAACTGAAGGCGCTGGAACGGCTTCTTGCCGGTGTCGGCCAGCGCCAGGCGGCCATATTCGGTGAAAAGCTGCAGGTGCTGTAGGTCATCCTCCTGGATGTTTTGTGACAAATTATATATCTGCACCGAGGACAGCATAGTGCTCAGGGCAAAGACAGTGGCGCAATCCCGGACTGTGCTCTGGCTATCGAAGGCGCCCTGTGTGTCCAGCAGGATGATGGCTATCTTGTCGCCGCTGGGGTAGTCGTGCAGGAATATGTCGGACCACATAAGGATGCCGGTGGTATCGCGCTCAGAGCCGCCACGCCACGAAAATCCAGACAGGGGCTCTGACTCATCACCCAGCCAATCCGAGACATCATGGTGTACATACTGAGGATTACAGTAAGTAAAAGTCAGAATCATTTGGAATATTACTAAGCTGTACTATTGTTGAGCATAAACACACCTTTGAGTACAAGTACCGCAGAAAAAAGTCCAGCAGGAAGCTCTTGCCCTTGCGGAAGGCTCCCGCCACAGAGACGACGCAGACGAACCGGTCCTTGACCTCCTCGCGCATGAGCACTTCGCTCAGGGCCTCCTCATTGAGCACGAATGTGTGCTCCTCGGAGGCGTTGATCACCTGCACTGCCGAGCCGCCCATTCTGGATTTCCCGCCTGCTTTCCTGTTATCCTGAGCTCCTGCTTTGCTTTTTTGAGTTTGTTTAGAGTTTCGGTTTTTGTTTATGTGATTGATGGGCTTCGTTTTTAGAATATCAACTTTTACTCGTTTGAGGATTTCTTAAAATGTCAGCTGGAATAACAAACAAAAATAAATGTAATGTAAATTGAATGTTTTCCCAATGTTTTCTTTCCCATTTCCGGGCAAGGGGCAGAGCAATTTACGGGGCGGAAAGGAAACAAAGCAAGTCCGGGCTAACGGTAATTGCGCAAGCTTTTCTGCGAGTTCATTTAATTTTGGCACAGCCACGAGACACAAGCGACGCGGCCTGCAATTATGAGAGGCGGCCAAAAATAAATCCAACCATGCGCTGCTCCGCGTTGTCAAAAGATTTCAGCGGCAGCGGCAGCCGCATCATGTAATCGGAATTGTTCAGGTGCGTGGGATATATAAAATTGTGTACTTTGTAGGTACAAAAACTAATCAGTGTTGGAGAAGGGAAATCTTTCGAAAGTGTAGAAAAAGGGACAAGTCAAGAAATACATAAAGAAGCAGATGCTCTTAAAACATAAGCTGTATGTTATTATTATTATTCGATGTCAAGTAATGTCCGATACTAAATATAATAAATATATATGAAATCAAACTGTATGTATCCGTAATAACATTTTATATTACCATCTGGAACCAGAGAGTTCCTCTAGTTATTATAAAAAGTCATAAATTACTTATTTTAATAGAGATCCTATACTCTTTCGTTCAATTCTTTTTTAAGATTATATTTTTTAAATAAATTATAAAGAAAATTGTCTTTATTAGTGTCAAACACTGATTGCTTAGATATTGTCAAATTTATTTATTTTAGACATAAAATGTTCACTTTTTATCTCTAAAATAAAACTACCAATAAGTATTATTGCCTGATAAGTTTATACAATATCAATGACTGCCGATGACTGGTAAAACTAATATAATACACAAATGTATTGCCATTTGATTGATATATAAGTACATTAAGGCTACAAGCAGTTAACCAATTCAAAAATAGAAAAATAGTTATCACAATGAGTGGTAGTTTGCTGCCAGACAAGAAAGCAGTTGTTTTTTTTTACAAGTGATTATAACAAGAACAGTTTTCTTTCATAACATTTAATATTTAGTATATTTTCTTATACGATTTCAATATGTTCCTTTTAATTTATGAAATTGAGTGACTAATTAGATAGATTTTTAAACCGGTTTTTCCAGCTGAAACTTTCAAAGAAAATAAAGTAAAACTCCCACACTTTCTATAATTTTTGTTCTGATATTCTTAGGGGTTTTTCGGGATCCATTTCTGTATGGAAAGGGTTCCCAAATAGGGTTCACCACAAATGAAAGTACGGGCACAAGCACAACCGACCGCAGCACTTAAAAATTAACATTAATTTCATTTGCTGCGCCGTGATGACGTCGACAACTTTGGTCGCACTACGCAGTTGACCGCGGCCGGTGACTTGAATTCTAATTGGAAGCGCAGCCAAAACAAAGAGCGTACCAGCAGCAGGAGCAACAACAACTGGAAGAACAGCAGCGGCAGCAGTTTTGGAAATTATGCCAGACACGCGATAATCGCCCGAAAAAAGCTATGCTGGCTCTTAATTGAACTGAATTGGATCGGGAATGGGAATAGATGTCGCGGAATAACGACCAGCGCGACTGTCAACCAAATCAAACTGCAAACAACACGCAAGTCACCTCTGGCTTAGTTAATGGAATAGTGAGAGAGGCGATCGCTAGACGAGAGCGCCACCTCTCTTCCGCTGCCCACATGGCGCCCGGCCCCAAGAGAGAGAGAAAGAGTGGAACGAATGGGGGGCATGCATAGCTGGTGGGACAGCTGGCAGCTGCAACGTTAGCAAAGTTGCGTCTGTCCAATTAACACTTGGCCACATAATTAAATTGGACATTGCGGCCGTCTTTGGCGCGCTGATTCATAGATTTCAAATGGGAATCGAAACGCACCTGGCAATGCCGTGGCTACCTGCCAGAGCTCGGCTTGTCAAGCAGGTGTGTGAACAGCTCAGCTATCTTCCGCTGATCGGGGGCCCAAGCTGGGCCAGTGGTCATCCTGCTCACTCTGCCGTGCCTCCGCCTTGCGGGGCGATGTAAACAACCAGGCTGAAGAGTAACAGCAACAGTTGTGCCAGCGATTAGTCAACTGGAAACGGTTGCCGAGAGCAACAGCAACAACACAACACCGAACGGTAGTGGAAGAAGCAGAGAACAAGAACTGGGCGCTTGGAAAAATGTTGAGCGGGGAAAAAGAATAATCGTTTAATTCGCCTAAATTGGGTGCCCGTGAAATAAAAAAAAAAACATTGTTTAATTAGTCCCAATCAGGGCGGACGTCGCACAGGAGGTGCTCATTTGCCATACGCCACTCAGTCGCCATGGAACCGAGAACGCGCGGATTTGGAAGCGGACACCGCCCAGTTCTGCTGCTCGGCCTCGTGGCTGTGTTCTGTTCACTGCCGCCAGGAGTGGCACCCGCTCCCGAGGAGAACCCGGTGTACTACTACGTCGGTTGCTACACTGCGAGGACGGATCTGCTGAAGGAATCCGTCTATGCCAAGACCCCGCAGACATGCATCGAGATCTGCGAGCACCAGGAGCACCACTATGCCGTCCTGGCGGGGGAGAAATGTTTCTGTGCGAACGCCATCGTGCCCACGGAGGAGCAGGATGAGCAGCTGTGCAACACTCGCTGCCTGGCCAACAAGGCGCAGTATTGCGGCGGCGTTGGTGTGCACTCGTACTACTCCACCACGCCAACTAGGCAGCCGGCACCGCATCATCTGCATGTGGCCAACAAAACAGAGAATAGCCTCACTGTTGCCTGGGATGCCTATGAGCCGAGGAAACTCCTGCTCGCAGGAGCTGCAGAGGCAGTTCTGCCCAACCAGCAGCTGGCTAGCTTCCTGATACGCGCCCAGGTGTTGAACACCTACTCCTCGCTGCCAGCCTTCCCTCAGCCCGAGTTCATGGTCCAGAGCTCGGAGACCAAGTTCGAGCTCACGGATTTACAGCCAGCTACGCTATACAACGTCACCGTACGTGCCATCTGCCGGGAACAGCCGCAGGGAGAGGCAGAGTGCGGCCAGGCCACGCTGCAGGCCAGCACAGAGGTGGGTTTGGCTTGAAAAGTGAAGAGAAAGATCTGCATAGCTAATAAAAACTAATATTTCAGGTGGGTCTGCCTAGCCCTTCACCGGCGCAGGCCAAAATTCTTAACCGCACCGATCGTACTATCACTGTAGAGCTCTCTCCCATCCGGAATGACAATGGACCGGTGAGTCAGCTCCTGGTCATTGTGGAGTATGTGGACAATGCGCTGAGTCAGCCCTTTGATGCTCAACTGCTGGGCAGTTGGCAGAAGGCACAGCAGGATGGACTGCCCTACTACATAGCCGCCGAGCTGGACTACGATCGACCGGAGGACAATCGCACCCGGAGCTTTGTGGTGGGCGATGGAAAGCGATATGGACGATATCATAATGCACCCTTAGATCAGGCAAACGCCCATGTCCACATAAGTCTGGGAGTGGTAAGTTATCCCTGGCCTCGGTTGGAAGCAGAACTTTACAAGGAACTACTGCTTTTAGGTGAGCACCCTTGAGGGCGTGACCAAGACGATGTACAGCCGTGGCACACACGACCAGCACGTGTCCTCGCTGGACGACTTCAGCTACGCCACCTTCGATAAAGGTCAGTCCTCGGTGGTAGCCTTGGCCGTTACCTGTGTGATCTTTGGCACATGCCTGCTGCTTAGCCTCATCGCCTACTTCTATTTACGCTACAAGACCTGCCGCGGTCGAAGATTGACGGGACGCAATGGCCACGAGATGACACTGCAGACGCCAATCATTGAGAGGGAGAACAATGGCTACCTGGTGGAGGACGAACCACTGCCACATTCGCCGGAAAACTTTAAGAATCAGCTGCAACAGCTGGTGGAGGGATTCGAGCGAATACCGAGGAATGGCTTGCGTCTGAATGTAAACGATGTGATCGGAGACGGACGCTTCGGAGAGATTATAACGGGAAAGGTTTCCGCGAACGATACTATTCGGGATTGCACTCTGCACGTGCTCTGCCTGGACGATTTGAATGGAGTTACCCAAGCGCAATTGCTAAGAGAGATGCGCCAGCTAGTGAATTTAAAGCGACAGGAGCACCTGCTGGATTTCTACGGAGTGTCAGCCAGTCCCGACTGGTTCTACCTAATCTTCGAGCAACAACGCGTCAGTCTCAAGCGCAGGCTGGTGGAGAGTCGCCTTATGGCCCCATCCCCTCGCATCACTTCCCTCTCGGAGCAACTGGTGCTGCAGTGGATCTACGAGCTGGCCAGTGCCATGTCCTATCTGACCCAGTGCCAGGTTGTGCATCGCCAGCTTTGCTCACACAGTATTTTCGTGACCAGTGAGTCCAAGCTGAAGCTGAGCGTCTTTGGACCCCTGCAGTTTATGAACAACAATCGCCAGCAGCCGGACCACAGCAGATGGCTGGCCCCGGAGGTGCTGCGTCACCAGCATCATCACTCTGCTCGCTCCGATGTGTGGTCACTGGCCTGCGTGGCCTGGGAATGCTGCTCCCTGGGCGGTACTCCCTATGCCAATGTGGTAGCCAGCAGCCAGCAGCTCCTCGATGCCATACGGGCAGCAGTGCGCCCCGCACAGCCAGCGTACGTCTACGGGGATCTCTATCAGCTACTGCTCAACTGCTGGCAGCTGGAGCCGAGCGAGCGCAGTAGCTGCGAGGACGTGGCCTTCGGAGTGCGTCAGCTGATGACTTCACCGCGTCATGCCCTCAGCTTCGATCGAGTGATGGGCGGCCTAGACACCCTGCCGCCGTACCTGCCGCAGCTGGAGACGATTGCATCAATGGGATGAGGAATGAGAGGTGTAGCCGAATAGAATAATTAGCTTTAGTCAGAGAGACAGTAGATTTCGGTTATGAGTCACTCTTTCGCTAAGAGAAAATATCTCTTACGAATAAGTTTGTTTGCATTTTGAGTTTGAGTGAGTTTGAAATTGTTATATTTAAAATGATATTTTATGTATTGACTATTTAGTGTTGTGCTCAAAAGAAAATAGATTTTAGGATAAACTTTAACGTATTTGCTTTACCAATTTCTTGTTTAGTTCAGTATTGCAAACCATGATGATACATTTTGTTTGCTTTATTTATTTTTCTCTACCTTTTAACCGACATCTACTGCATTTAGGATGACGCTATCAGAACAGAGTCTCTAGAATCTAAAGCATTTTTATGTAAATATTTACATGAAATGCACTGCAAATAAAGTTGCGTTCTATGTCACAGCTGATGGTATCTGTGGGGGAAGCTAATCTGTAGCTCAAAGCGAATTCGGTGCGACTTTCCTCAACCGAAGCAAAGTTCAATCGAATGTGCTCGACAAAGAGCGAAAGATAAAGTCAATAATGACGAGGAGAGCGTCACAATTGTGTAATAAAATTTGAATTCCATGATTTTTCAAACCCTCACCGGACTGTGATTCCCCGCTAATGTTGCACAAACCGAGCAAAAGCAACAACTGAGCCAAAAACCAAAAGCACAAATGCCAAAACAAAGAGCAAAATAGACAGAGAGAATACACGGAGAGAAGCCGCCGCCAAAAGTGAGCGAAACTTTGATCGCCGCTGGGAAAGCAGCAATTAATAATAGAAAATATACAGCACTGCACATGTGTGCGAGTGTATCAAAATTGACGATTAATCAGTTTAAAGGTCTTGCACCCAATGGGGTCTCTATTGCATCCATTGTTTTATGTTGTTTAAGAATTAATTAGAAAGAAATTTTGGCAGCGTCCGAGATTTTATGAATTAGTCATAGGGAATTGGGTTAATATATGTTTGTGAATGTATGGATTTGGGCTGCCACTGAAATCTTTTCAAGCTAATAACAAACCCGAGCAACGAAATCTCACTTAGTGTTTACTCAAAAAACTGAAAACCGAAAAGAATAAGAGCTGTTACAACTATGTTTAAATGTAAAAACATGGAAACCCAACTCTACCTGGATTTTCAAAGATTTTCTTGGCTATTTTCAAACCTAATCTTTTTGGATTTTGTTTTGGCACTCAACAATGTCTATGAATTCCACAAGAAATCTGTTGTCAAGCCCAAAGAAATCCCATTCTGATATACTCAAAATTTGATTTGATTAAACGTTCTGAGAAACGTATTTTAAAGATTTTTAAAACCAGTATTTACTAAAGGAAATAATAAAGGTTATTTAATCTATCTTTTTAGATGGTAATGTCTTTTTTATCAGTATTACTTTTTATAAGTTTAACTAATCTGCATATTGAATTTAAAATTCGAAGAATTTTTTCTTGACATGGCTAAATTGACTCGACTGTTGCTGCTGATTATGAATTTATATGAAATGAATCCTTTTTTGTGTTGTAAACTTCCGACTAAAATTTTAATAATACATAAAGGTTAATTGGTTATTAACACTTCAAAAAAGAAAAATATATCCATTGTACTTTCCTTTTTTCTTTAACAAATTTTTTAACTTAATGGACTTCAAAACGGCTTGCCTAACAATACATATATCCCAATTGTTTCAAGTCATAATCTTTGATTAGAAGTAGCCCTCTTATCGGTGGATCCCTTGCAGCGGCTGATAAGCCATCGACCGCTGGCAAGGCAATTGTCTTGTCGACGTGTAACCACTGAAAGTCATGATGGAATGCAAGCACATGGCAAGCGAAATTGCTATGCGACTGCTCTATAGAGAATTGCAGAGCGTCCAATGGAGCGTGGCGATACACATTGTATATCCGGAGCGACTTTGGACGCTTACCTTGCCCGGATTCAAGATTCAAGGTGAATGACGACAACAATTGAAGTCACCACTACACACAGTCTGCCAATGGGCAATAATTATTAATAAATCAAGCTCCCTGCTAGCTGGCTGGTCAACGTAATCGCCGTGCAGGGCTGTTGCTGCTGCTGCTGCCGATGATGATCCGGAATTGGCCAACTTTTGGACTGCCACACTGCGTGTGCAAATTGTTATTGTTTTCGTTACATACACACATGGGAATCCGAGAAGCGCAAGTCGCGGAGCCAAGGAAACTGGTTGCTCACACACGCACACACACGGACGCACGCACACTCTTCTGGAAAGCTCGTTCCTCGCCTGCCCAACTGCGCACATGTGACGAATTGCTGCTCCCGGCAATGTTACTCACTTAAGTTAATTGTTTACATCGGATATTGGCTCCTGCAGCGCTGCCTTAGCTGGATTTTAGACACTTTGGTGGGCAGAAAAATACGTATTTTGTTGTGCTCCGTTGCTGTGTGACCGTACGCGCGGAGGGACAAAATCTTGCTTTTGGCGGCGTTCAAACGATAAAGGGTCATCGATAAATGACTAGTTTTCTATCGATAAATGCCGGTTTGAAAGTATCAAGTTTGAATTTAAAGTAATTCGCTGGATAGTATAATTTTAGTCAGAAGCTTACTACGCAGTGAAGCAGTCATTTCCGACGCTATAAATCATATATATTCATGATCAGCACTAAGAAAGGGGTCTTTCTAGCCATGTTCTGAAATAAAATTTGTATTGCTATTTTTTTTTAATTTTCATAAGAGGTTACATCGTTAAAATTCTCAAAAATTGACCAAAATGTAGATTTTTTTTAAATTTAAATTTTATTCTGCAGATTTGTTAGTCTAGAATAGACATATACGCCGCCGCGCCACGCCGCCGCCGCCGCCGATTTTTGCCTTATTTGACGCGCCGCCGCCAAATTATGAAAATAACGGCGCGCCGCGGCGCGCCGCTGGTGCGGCATCGGCGCAGCTTCAGCGCGGCCTTCAGTGTCATTGTTCTTTATAAAACTTAAAAAAAAAAAAATAACTCATTAAAATGGCCTTTTTGCCTTATTTGACGCGCCGCCGCCGCCGGTTCTTTCTGACTACTACGCCGCCGCCGCCGAGTCATTTTGACCTCTACGCCGCCGCCGATGCCTTTAACCATCGGCGTAAACCTCTAGTCTAGAATATGTAAGATTTCCGAATTAAATTTTTCTGCTTTTTTGGCTTAGTTATGTTCGATTTTTGAATCGATGATATGATCCTTTGGCGAACTGCAAGTTTTCGAGTGCACAAAGTTAGTTTCCGTTCTGTTTATATTTTAATATTAATGTTTTATATCTAATGCAAATATTTGATTTGTCCCTCCCCTTAAATTATTATCTTAACCTAGTGGCTGCTGTCTTAAACGAGCATAATACAGTGATCCCTGAGTCTTCAGCTAAACCTCTCCGCGAAGCTTCATCGTGGCCTTCTAGCAATGCCTCCATCCGCACACATGTTCCGCTCACTAAGGCAAGCTGCGTAGCCAAGGGCGTGCGGGATGAAGTGCTGCTCATAGACTCCGGTGAAGAGCTGGGCGTAGGGCCCGCTGGCGAAGACGGCTACATCGTCGCCGCCATGGGTCTCCGACTCCAGGGGTACAGTACTGGGAAACATAAAGTCCTTGTTCTTCATGTTGATGGCCCGCAGATTCTTCCTTTTGACTGCTCCGCCCTCCCTGAGGTAGTTGCTGTCGTAACCGGGCCCATTGGCATAGCTGAGGGTGGCATAGGGCAGATCATCCGCCGCTAATTGTCCGTCGTTTATACCAAAGATGTCGTTCTTACGGCTTGAGTAGCCCGCCAGCGACATGGTGTGCGAGTGATCCGAGGAGACCACGATCAGGGTGTCATCGGTGCTGGTGTGACTCCTGGCGAACCTCACTGCCTTGTCAAACTCCGCCGTCTCGTCGATGGCTCGCAGGGCCAAGGTGTCATGATGACCGTGATCGATGCGGCCACCCTCCACGAACAGGAAGTAGCCCCGACCGGCGCTCTGGCGTTCCAGCACGTTCATGGCAGCCTGAACCATCTCCTCCAGCGTGGGCTGTTCACTGGGATTTGCGTCCAAGTGGTAGGCCATGTGGTAGGGCGCAAACAAACCCAACACCCGCGAGGTGTGATTAGAGAGGTCAAGCAACTCCCGTCGGTTCTCCACATAGTGGGCACTATTAGTGTGCTGGCTCTTCCACTCCTCAATGAGATTGCGTCCATCCAGACGACGTCCTGGTGCTCCACTGCTATCTGTGACGCTCTTGGGCAGGAAGTTCTCGCGACCACCGCCCATGATCACATTGAGCTTCTGACCCACGGGACTGTTTATCAGCTGAACAGCAGCATCTGGACAGAGACTGGGATCTCCGCCGTCTCCCACGACCTCGGCATCGTTCTCCCAGTTCCGATTTGCCAGATGCGCATAGACACCTGCCGGCGAGGCGTGCGTGACCGAGGTGGTGGTCACTAATCCGGTGGCCATTCCCTGCTTCTGGGCCCAGGCCGCAATTGAGGCCACATGGTGGGCGGTCTGCGCCTGCGCCTGGCAATCCTTGAACTGCACCGCCGCACTCACTCCGATGGTGCCGTAGTTGGCCTTGACGCCGCCCAGATAGGCGGTGGCCGTGCAGGCGGAGTCCGCCACCTGCATGTTGGCGCAATAGGTCTTGCTCAGACCCACATAGGGGAACTGCTCGAAGGCGAACTGCTTCTCCTCGCCGCCCAAGTACACCCGACCGGCCGTGATTGTGGGTATGGACATGCCGTCGCCGATGAAGAGCATCACGTTGCGGGCCAGCTGGGTATTGAGCCTCAGCTTGCTCTCGAGCTGCTGATCCAGGGTTTGGCCCGCCAGTCCTTGCCAATATTCTGCATAACGCTCCTCGGCCTTCATTGCATTAAAGACTATCTGTGGCATGGCGCGCTTGGACCGGCCTCCCGAGGGGTTGGAACCCACCAGGGAAAAAACCGGATGCATCCGCCTCTCGGACTCGTGGGAGGTGGCTATTATTTGTAGTAAATAATAGTACTGTTGGGTTAGTTTTCTGCCTAGATCACTGTGTCTTTGCTTGGGACTTACCTCCTCCGCTGACTAGAGCACTCAGGGCGAGGCACAACAAGAAGACCTGCAGCCTCATTGTTATGGCGAGTATTTTTGAGCTGAGCTGTGCTGGCTGTACGTTGCACGTTTCCTCCGGCACTGATAGTTGGTTAGCACGAGACCTGCGATATTTATAGCATTCGAGCCGCATGTCCGAGATTTCATAACACGGCGCTGATGCCGCCATCGACCTGACCGCCGGCTGATAAAGGAAAATACAAGCTGCCTTTGGTGCCCGCGCGGCTTGGTTTTCTATAAAGGGAACAGGCCACAGTGGAACCTCCTGAAGGAGTTACCCGAGGCTTCAGATAGCTGATATTGGGGTAGTAATTTTTA